GCCTTTTCTATAATTAAGACTGACAACGTGTCTGCAGTTTGAGGCTCGACTGGGGTTCATTGTCAGAAAAAGAAAAGACTTGCAGTTGAACTTCTGAATAAATATCTGAATTATTCATTGCAGCCCCATCCAGCCTCAACAAAACCGTATGTTTGTCATTCTATGTAGCAGCGAAAGGCTGCAGGCTAACAAGGCAAAGCAGGCCTTTCCCGAAGAAAATGTACTTGGCGTTTGGTGAAAAGACCAACAAAGGTCTCCAAGCTACCAGTTTTATTTTGTGAACACTGTCATGGAGACATATTGAACAAAGAAAAAACAGAATGTGGCCAAAAATATCATTGGCTGCAGAAAGAGGGGGCTTTTCTACATGCATTGACAAAGAATAGACGCTTTTAAGTCGCTTTATGTCGCTATGGAGCTGTGACCAGTCTCACACACGGAGAGTCTTCAGGCCCGTTCCTCAAAGAAAGTATTCACGTTGGACTAATCGACAGAGCTGCCTGCGTCTGTGGGAAATGTTTCCGAGATGCAGTTGCCGTGCTGACGGGTGTAAACGCGGTGGCAGATGGCGAGCGGCCGAGGCCCGCGAAGCTAAAGGGGTCCATTACGGGGGAGGGGGGGGGGGAACCTTGGCTCACTTCTCGCCACACTGAGCTCTTTTGTGGTGTACAGTCTCCCACTACAGAGATGAGAGTCCACATCAAGAGATAACATTGCTGTACGAGTCTCAGCCAGAGAAATGATGTCTCTTCTTTGTTTTGGAATGATGGATGGGGGGGGGGGGGGGGCTCTATTCCATTTGCCTGAGTAATTGTTTAGTCTGATTGCAAGAACCAAGAAAGCGCCGTTAAGTCCCGCACTCTAATTATGTGAGGCCTGAAAAACAACTACAGAGGAACAGATGGGGAAAAAACAAGTGGCTGTGGCAGCACGCGATGGGAAAAGAGAAGATCTCTGGATCAATCACGCCGCACGGAGCGACTTACAGTAGGTGGTGGAAGAAGAGCTCAACGCCGTGCAAACCATTGCATAAACACTTCCTGAGAGTCGGCGCGTTTGGCTTTGACTTGTGTGCAACAGATTGAACTCGGAGACATAAATTGGATGTAAGTGAGATATTATCTGGGTTTTTTTTGTACTGCTTTCCTGTGCGATCACCGCACGGGCCTCTTTCGTGAGCATTGTTGTTTTTTATTTTATTCTTCTATTACTCTGCCGACATGTCACCTATATGGAGATTAATGACTTCCTCGCTGTCCCAGATCCACTCAGCCTCAACAGGAAGGGGGTGGGGGGGGGCGCAGATTCCCACAACAGCGTAGCAACATGCACGTCCCGCCCACCGACAAGCAGCTCAGGGAACCCCCCCCCACAGGATGGACCCGACCCAAGCCAACTGACATTGCCTTCAGGACACAACCTGACACACGACCACACGCACACACACACACACACACACACACACACACGTGTGACACGGGGAGAAATAGACCACCTGCATCGCAGCATTCCCCCACCTGAGGCTGTCAACAGACTCATCGCCCTTTGTCTCGTCTTCTGCGTGAAAAGAAGACTCATCCAGAGCCGACGTCGGCATGCTAACATGCTCGCAAGGACAATGCTAACGGGCCGATGTTCAGCAGGTGTGTTCATCCTCGGGGTGCCACCAGTTAGCATGCTAATATTTGCTAAACAGCGGTGGACGGATTACAAGTGACGGGGATATGGTTGCTTTTGCAGGTTACATCATTGCAGCAGTGCAAAGTATCGTGGCAATCCATCCAAAGGTTGTTGACGGGTAGTTTGGAAAGTTTTGTCCTCAGCGTTGTATCTGGAGCTGCTCTCTTCCAGCCGTCGAAGAGAGTTTTTCTCTTGGAGCCCAGTCTGGCGTCTCGCTCAGCGCCGGCGGCTTCGGCCCGTCGAAAATGTCTGGAGGTCACGGCGCGTCATTTCAGAAAGTGGGACGCCGTCTTCCACTTTGGTCGGTGGCCTGGTGTTTACTGAGAGGACCCGTGGATAAACACAGGTGGGCGTGTGGGCGGAGGCCTGCAGCCTAAATGCAACCGCCCCCCGGTGGGGGCAATTTCTGCCACCACAAAGGATGGATGTATACAGGTGGAGAAAACCCGAGGGTGGAGGACAATGGAGGGTTAGTGTTTTACGTCCCGTGGTGTGGGAAGTAATGAGTGCCGAATGGGAGCTTTGTTATGTCTGAAGGAAGACAGATTTGTTTAACTAAAGGTGTATTTGACTCACCGCCTAGACTCCGCAAAGATTGGTAGGCGCCCCCTGTTTTGGACTCAAAATTGTTTAAAAAACAACAGGAAACAGAGGGTTACTGATATAAATCCGTTTCCACACCACCCTCACGTGTCAGAATGTCAGTAAGAGCAGGATTCGCCCCCGCCTTTGTTTTAAGGTTAGACTCACCTCTTGCATACAATGAAACAATGGACAGTGTGACTCCAAACGCAACCTGTCTAAAATGACGTATAACTATATTTATTCTGTCTTCATTGTCAGGGTGGAGCTGTGGGAAAAAAATACACTGGTTGTAAACTGTACCCTCAGAGTCGAAAGCATCGCCTGGCGGATTCCATTTACACAATTGTTTTTTACTCACATGTAACCTTGAAAATGTGTGACCCCAAACAGGATGGAGCCACTGAGCAAAAAACAAGGCTGCGCCTTTCAGACATAGAAACTGGGCCCATCTGGTACCTCGCAGAGAGCTTTCACGCTGAAGCAGCTTGCTTTGCACATCACATCCAAACAGTGGCAGGCGTTTGGGGAAACAGAGGACACCGAGGTCATGTCCTCATTTTTTTTCTGTGATTTTGTTTTAGCGACTTAAAGTGTTCTCACACCCTTTTTAAAAAGGTTCACGTGGTGGGTTTCGATAGTTGATTCCAGCCTTTTTTAACTGAATATATTTGAATTTACCACTGACAGATAAAGGGGGTATTTCCAGACACATCACCTCGCTACCTTTAGATCCTGCCTACGGCCCGGAGGCCACTTGGGGGAAAGTTCTGAAAACAAATCTCAACGACTTGAGGTGTCGATGCATAATTGAGAAGGACAGCGGGATAAAATCTACAAACTGTTGCCAAAGAAAAATCCCAGACTCTTCAATATACAAGCGCATCGCGACAAACAACCTGAAGCCTGAGCAGCAACTTTGCCATTTTTCAGACATATTTCAGGACACCAATAAAGGGGAAGCTGAATTTCACTGACTAAATGCGGAGCACAGGAACGGCTCTGTCTGCAGTGTCAGTTATTGGATGTTGGGTAATAACTGACATACAGACACCTGTGGAAATCCCCCACCTGACAGGCATTCAAATGATGATACGTCAACATCACTGGCTGTTAGCCTCCAACTGTCAATGCTGAAGCTCAAAACATCCCAGGCATCAACGTGCACACGTGCATTGAATTGATTTTGAGCATAGTTGGAGTCCAAGTAATTCGGATATAGTTTCTTCAGAGCTGAGAGCAGAAATCCACCAAATAGGACCCATGGAAACATGCGCTTTTCACTTAATCCTGAATAATCCTTTTGGATTTAAAAGGCCGTGCGCTGTCTCTCAAGTGGATGCAGAGCAGCGGAGATACAGCCATGTCCGCCCAGCTGGAAAACCCAGACTATGATGACCTACATTGTTGCGCACTGGACACAGGCTCCAGAGACCTCGAGCGAGCAGCCCGGCCCGCTTCAAGGCGCAGGTCTCAAAGAAATCTAAATCAAATAAAAGGCAGACAAAAGAGTTCCAACCTAGATGCACAGAGGAGCGTGTGTTAAACACAGCGGCTGCAGATCAACGCTCTGTTCCTGGAGGGCCTTCCCTCTGCTGCCTGCCTCTGATATGTGGCACAACCTGCCACCTCCGGGGGTAAGGCCTACTCAAGGGGAATGCTAAATGCCCCCCCCCCGCACCCTCTTTGAGATGTTCAATATGAATCATTGATGGTGCCCCCTTCGATTATCATACCTTCTGACTAAAATAAGCAAAGCAAACCTCCATTAATCAGAGGCTAGTTCGCGGTGGATTGAGGAGCACAGAAGAAGAGGCCGCTGCGCTGGAAGCCGTCCAGGAACCTCATTGACGCATATTGATATTGATGTTACTTTTTTCTTACTTGTGCGTGCAGACTGTCCTCGTTGACGAGCGTGCACGTGTCTCGTGCAGTGAAACGGCCCTGATAGCCGGAGCCCCGTCCAGCCATGCCCGCAGGCCAAAACACGTTAATTCAATAGCTGGGAAGCACAAGGTTGGTGGTTCGATTCCAGGCTGCCCCCATGTTCCATGTCGAAGTGTCCCTGAGCAAGACACCCAACCCCTAATTGCTCCCCGGGCAAAAATGTGAAAAAGCCACGGGTTTAAAGTGTAATGTAAGTCGCTTTGGATAAAAGCGTCTGCTAAATGACCTGTAATGTAATGTAATAATAGTCTTCTGCGCGCTGACATGAGCTTGCTGGACCCCGACCACCACCTAACACGGCACAGTGGCGCTGCAGTACTTTTCCCCACTGAGCTGTGTGCAGGTAAATGTTGATGAAGTTCAATCTGCCGCCATGCATTTGACACAGTTATGCACAGCGCTGAAACAGCCTCCTGCTGCAGCTGCGCGGCCGCCACTGGCTCTCCGGTAGAAGGAGGGCGGGCTTTACGCAGGCCGTCAGGAGGTGTGACAGAGAGAGCGGGTCCGATTGGTCAAATTAGTGTGACGGCCACTTAGGACATCCAATCAGAGCCGCTCGTAGGGCGGGCCGCCCACGTCCACAGACGTTGGTGACACATTTAGCGAAATAGATGTTTTACTAATCAGATGGCGTCATATTATGGGCTATTTCTATTTGAATCAAACTTTCATTGCGATCATTTATTGGTTGAAACGTCTTTAACCAGAGTGAAAAAGAAAAGAAATGGAGAGGACTTTTGCGCCCCCGCGGCACAACCGCAAAGCGTTCAACTACACGGAATCAGACCTACCCATCCCCCGTTATCTTGTATCCAGATGTTCAGAGGTCCATTCAAATACTCCGTCATCCACTCCGCGATGTTGTCCACCTGCGACGCCATCTCCTCCTTGGCCACGCACTCCGCGCACACCGTCCCGCCGAACTCGAAGAAAGCGATGATGCGGCCCCAGTTCACCCCGTCCCGGAACAGCTCGTCTATCACCTCGGCGAACCGCCTCTGCGCCGTGGTGGAGGTGAGGTACAGCTGCCGCGACATCTCCGTGAAGTCCGGCTGGTACAGCCGCTCGAGTTCGTCTCCAGCCTCGCGCAGGACCCGGTGCGTGGCGGCGGCGGTCGGGTCGGACTGCGGCAGCCGTTTGCAGAGGCGCGGGAAGCTCTCGCCGTCGGGCCCGGCTTCGCGGCACCGGCGGACCGCGGTCGGCGGCGGGACAACCATCGAGCCGTTGCTGGCTGCGTCTTCCTCCCCGACGTCATCGAATCCGAACGCGTAGCCTCGTTTGGAGAGTTTATGGCAGATGTACTTTTCCACAATGTGGCGGTTGCACTCGTTCGACATACCGGCGTAAATGTGGCGCTTTTTTCCTTTTTCCTTTTTTTTTTTTACATAGACGGGGGTGTTTGTCTTAAATCAAATACATTATGATCGAATCGGTGCGCTGCACAACGCGCGGGCTTATCCAGAACTCGACTGATCTCTGATGCGCGCAGGGCAACGACTAATCCCGCACATGGAGCGAACGCCTCGCGAGTTGATCACAATCCCTTCATCAAAACAAAACGACGCAGGAAAACGTTTCAAAAGTGAAAAAGAAAAGAGCGTACAGAGTCCGCGTCAGTCTTCATTTCCTCGTATCCTTAAGGGGACGTTGGCGACCTTCTCTTTGCATTGAAATCCAATATGCGGAAGAGGTCGGAGTGCCGTTGCTGTATTCCCGTGCACATCAGCCAGACGTGGAAGTGTTGCGACTAAATAACATGAATGAACCCAAAGGTGGATGCGCCCCAAGTGGCTTCACGCGCCACCTAAAACTATTTTAGCGGCGTTTACGCACAAGCAGGGCGCGGGAGAGGGGGCGGGGTGGGGGTGGGGGGTGTGTGGGGGAGACGGCGAGCCAGACAAGGTCGGACTGACTCCGCTTCCACGATTCTCTCCACATATCCTCTGCAGCAGCTCCCTGCTGCTGAGCTGCTTCTGACGTCAGCCACGCAAAGTCATTCCTTTGGCTGCGCTCGGAGACTCCCAAGTGCACAGGAAGAACTGCACGGAAACACTTGGGTGTCCAATTCTCCTGCTTTCATTGTTAGAATCGTGAAAAAACTAAAAATCCACACGAATTTACCCAGAATATAAAATATATGGAGCCCAGGTAGCCTTCATTTAGTTTGCTAAGTAAAACGCGTGGAAACCTCTGTGAGGATCCTGCTTTAGCGCATGAGGGTTCTGATGAGGGGGGGGTTCTTTGATGTGGTCCAGCCACCCCCTTGTGGATGGGGATCCCACCGTGCACTTCAAAATGAATGTATCGGTAAAGAATTCCCTCTTGTCCTCCTCTGGTGCGACAGGCGAAGCGTCATTGACTTCAGGTGGATTAAAGCGATGTGACATGTGACAGAGCTCGAGAGCAGCTGAAGATGAGACAATCGGCCCATAAGCGTACATCGACAATAACGACTAAATGATGAAGACGGGGACTGTTTTATTCACGAGTATTTATTTATTTTTCTTATCATGTAAGAAAATAAGACAACGAAACGTTCCACTTCTCACATTTTCTTTCAATGGCACACAAGGTGAAGATGTTCTGATTTTTGTTTTTTTTGGCAGAAAACAAGTAAAAAGCAAGAAGGAATGAAAAGAGTGCACTCTGACTTTCATGTTCAATACTCGTACGTAACTGATGACACCATTTAATACGGGAAACTAGACCGTTACAGAACGTAAACCTGGACTATGTTCAAACATCTGGTAAGCAAAGGCTCCATTTGCATAGCTTAAAGATAAAAACGCCTGCCTTTACATGGGCTACGTGTTCTATCAACTACCTCAAGGTAAAAGACAAAAAGGTCATTTTGAAAGCAATAAATGCGCAATTATGAAAAGCTCTTGAGTGCAGGACGCCTTTAACCAACTTCAAACGAGAACTTCATCAAACGCGAGTCATCCATTCTCACTTTCATGACTTGGATTTCTGTAAGGCTTCTTTTTGTCAAACACTGGAAATGGACAAAAAAAACCCCACTCAAAAACAGTTGGCATTTTACACTGAAAGGGTATTAAGGATTAAGAATAAAAAGAAGTGGTAAACCGCACGAGGGTTAAGTCACGATGTTCTGTGGACAGGTCCGTTCTTATAGCATTAGCTTCATCAGTAGTCACGTCTTAAGGCTGGAACGGGTCCCCGCACTGCTCCACCGCTTTCAACCAACCAACAGCGACATCGAAAGAAACCTCACACGACAATTGTCTTAACACATTTTGGCATTGAAATATTGGTCTACTTAAAATAATAGGTTCTGATTTGCATGAAAGTACATTCTCCCCCGCCGTTTGTGGCGGACCAAAGGAAGACTTGCAGGAGCCAACGGAGCACTTTTCCTCCCTCGATATGCAAAGCATCTGGTACAGAGTGGTTGTCACAAGGTCTTTCTGGGAGGGAATATAGACGAGTGTCATTTGAGGCGCTGCAGAGCCCCAAAAGGTGTGTGACACGCTGACAGCGAGTCAAAATCAGAGAGAACGGGTCTTTTTACCGCTTCGGCCTTCGCCTAAAGCAAATCTCTAGCGCCCCCACTAGACCTTCAGGGACATGACTCGAACCAGCGAGCCTCGCCCTGCCCCGACTCACACCGCCAGAACCAATAAGGGGTCCCACTCGGATCCTGACTGGCTTTTGGGGGCTGAAAATGTGCACAGACCCAATAACTGCATGTAGAAATAATATGTTTGTTAGATTTCATGGCTTCAGACTCCACAGTACCTGCTTTCAGTTAAATAAGACGGGACACATTTGTTGATTTCAATCCCGAGATAATGAAAATCTAGTGGCTTTGCCGTGCAAAACACACATTCAAAAATATTCTCCTCCCATACGGCATCTAAAATGTATCATTATCCTTTTCTTTCCTATAAACTTGTGTATTTGCATTCGGAAAATAAAATGGAATAACAAACATCAAAGCTGTATCTTGGATATCCCTGCACATCTACGCTTGGTTTTCTCAAAGAGCACAAACAATCTAAACATTCCACAACAGAGCGGTTGTTCACTTCAAAAAGTTAGGTGCTTTGCCAGCAAAGACTTGTATGAAAAGGTGGAGAAGAAGGGCCTTATATATTTATGTTAAAAGTAAACGCACGGTGGACCTGGTTTTGTGATACATGGAAGCAAAATGACGAAACCTAGTTTACCATTCAGGTTGTCACTGTGGCCCCTGGTGGGAAGCAACGTTAAGCCATTTTGTTGTTTGCACAACTGGGCAGACAGGCTATCTGGAGCGTTTCCTCTCTGTGCAGAAAAACAAACAAAAACGGCACTGTGCAAGCAGAGGCCTGACATCTAGTCAGTGGTGCACAAAGCTGCCTACTTCAAAACCAGACGGTGGGATGTTAATCCGCCCCCCATTCTCTCAATGTAGAGCTGCCTCCACAAAAAGAAGCAGGTGCACACGTTGAAACTGAAAAGTCACTGGAATGCTCTGAGTAGACTAAAATAATTAACATGAGGTCTATAGAGGAATTATGTCACCGAACAAGCAACACGTAAACATCTGCCCCTTTTTTTCCCACACAACCGTTACTGATATCGGAAATGCACCAAAAGCTCAGCCTTCTTTCTCCCACCTATAGTTGGCCATTTGTACAGCTGGGGGAGGGGGGCGGGGGGGGGAGTGGTGCGGAGGAGAACGGGCATTGGGCTGCTGTTACTCCCTCTTATTAGCTGCTTTCGACTGTTCCCGCTGGATCATGCAGCGGCGCACGATGCTGTCGAAACTCCCCAGGTAGAAGAGGGCGATGGTCCGAAATAATCCCATGGTAACGATCTGCGCAGAGGAGAGAGCAGAGGTCACAGTGAGTGCGATTTGCCCCGGAGCGGCGCCGCTCTGGCCAATGTGACGAGGTCCTGTACGGGGCTGCACCTGCTGGAGACCCTCTGTGATGGAGGTAACCGGGGACATTCCACAGGTGAGCGCTGACAGCATGTAACCGTCGGGTCCCACTGAGCTGTTGAAGTTCCCCTGCTACAGGAGCAGAGGAAATAACACGCAGGTAAGACGGGACCGCAAGCGCGGCGGCTCAGCGGACGGGTGAGGGGAGTTTCTTACCACTGCGTCACGAACGATGATTTTGGCCACTTGGTCCGGTTGACAAACTCCAGAGGTTTCTGAGATCAATTTGGTCTCGAGGGGCTATGAGGAGGAAAAGAGGAAAGGGTTTTATGTCGGGGGGCATTGGTAGTGGAAGGATGGCAGCGTTGACTGGGGCGACTGCGCTCCTGTGTAAGGCAGCTCCTGTTGTCGGCGTGTGAATAAGTGAATGATCGCACGACGTGTTGAAGAGCTTCGAGCGGTCGGAAGACTAGAGAAGCGCTACACAGGTACAACTAAGCCTGTTTACCATTTGTAGTGTGTTAAAGGGCCGTTTACCTTGTTCTTGTTTTCCTCAGCCAATCCTGGAGTGTCAGTGTCGGGGGGGAAGGCCAACGTCACATAGATATTGTACGGCTTTATCTGGAGGACAACAACAGCAATACTCACTCACCGTTTAGGACACGATGCCAATCGGGAAGAAGGCGATAAAATGATGTATGAAGGCCCACTTTCGACCGATTAGGAATCCTTGATGCAACATTCACACTGACAACTCGTCATCCGTCAGAACCCATTTGGTGGCTGAACTATTTTAGCGCATAGGGAAGTTGGTTCGCCTGGTGTGTCGCAGGAATCTGTGCAAAACGGCATCCAAGCGTTCACAACTCACCTCCATCTGCAGCGATTCGGCTAAGCCACGCAGGGCAAACTTGGATGGGGAGTAGGCGGTGTATCCAAACAAGCCGATCTGGCCTGCTTGAGAGGACACAAACATGATGCGGCCCATTCTCCGCTCCTTCATGGTGGTTATGACGGCGCGTGTCGGGTAAACGCTGCCCAGGTAGTTCACTTCCATCAGTTTCTGTTGCCATGGAGCGAAAGGTTCACACATAAGACACGGTTGTCCGCTTGGCCCGCTGCACATTTATTCCAGAATCAACGGTGTTGAATTTCTCCAATATACTCCGTGCAAAGGACCTTTCGCTAAGTCCTGCCCCTCGAAAGCAGACCGGCCAATCATAACGTAGCATTGCTCAGCTCGCAGTCGGGTGATATTTGTTATTGTTTCTCTCCAGAAATAGGATTAACTTCCATTCTTGTTACCACTTAGAAACATATGACCCTACTCAAATACTTTTGTAAGACGATGTCCTTCTTTATTACCAGGTGTAAATATGATTTGTTTTTATTAAAACTGTTTTAGTACTGTTCATAGTAGCTTATTACATTCTTACATAAATAAGACCATCTGGTACTTACTTTAAAACGGTCCACTTCCATTTCCTCAAACCTTCCAGAAACAGCCATCCCAGCACAGTTGACCAACATATCAACAGGCCCCAGCTTCTCTTGAGCCTGCGCAGCGGGAAAAAGCACCTTCAGTACACTCAATTATTTAAGTAATCTAAGACTTTCCAATGCCGTTAAGAGGGTACCTTTACCTGCTTTATTACACTTTCCACCTGGCTGTATTCACTGGAAATATCCACTGATATGCAGAGCACCACCTGAGTGAGGAAATTTTACATGATGAAATGTCATGCAAAATGATGCGCACAGTGAACTTGTTTATGGTCATAACAAATAATGCTTAACCCAAACCTGTTTATCATTGATGGCAAACTTCTCCAACTCTTTCTTTGCTTGAAGCAATTTAGCCTAAGGGAAATAAAACTTCACACTTCAAAGATTCATAAAAACTTGACAAAATGAAAACATGAAGGTGAATTAAAGTAAATGTGAAATGTAAGTGGAGCACAATCCTTCACCTCATATAGAGAAAATTAACCGTTAGATGTTTTACTATGTTTGAAATTAAACAATTTGGCTATAAAAAAACAGGTAATGACTGGGCCACACGGAAAAAGGGTTGATTGGTGGAATTAGATTTTTGCTGACCTCATCCCGTGCCACCAAAGTGATGAATGCTCCTTGCCTGTAGCATTCAATTGCAATGCATTTCCCAATACCACTTGAGCCTCCAGTCACCTGCAAATTCAAAGGGCAAGATCAAGGGTCAAATGTGGAGTTGCTGTTCTGCTGCTACTATGTTGCACAGTTATAAAGGTATATCTAACACATAACTAGCTAGTACTAATTAGTTATCATGCTATGTTTTTTCTCTAACAGTTGTTAATTCAACCTCATTGTTAGTTTGTGCTGTTAAAGTTAAAGAACCCTAAATTAAAGTTAAATTAGAATCTAAGTGTCATCTAAACTGAAAATGATAACCCTCCATGAATGTGGGGTATAAAACATATGGCTAAGGATATCATGTTTTATCGGCTTGCACCTTTTAACTGGCAAAACTCGCAGGTTAGCTTTAAAACAATAGCAACGATAACGTCGCAAAACGCTGACTTACGGCATTACGCTTTGTGGGCGTGTCCCCTGCGTAACTGACAGGTGACTGTCGTCCTAACGTTAGAACGTCGTTCGCCAATCAAAGAATATATCAATTTCAGTCAACAGGTTTGAGCTGGTTATTAATTGTAACGTTGGTGCTGACACGATGCACTTTAAAAAGTACATAAAGCCTCCTTGCTAGCTGTAACAGACGTAACTACAGTGAACAACCAAACGGACGTTAGCATTAGTTAGCACTGTGGTGCACTTACCACGACGTGGGCCCCGTTCAGTTTCAGAGGTTTGGGACTTATAAGAGGCGATATCATGTACAACAGCAACACAAAAGCCACAATGAAGGCGGCGACCACAAGCAGCATGACAAATGGCAGAAGAAGCCACCAAGAATTGAGGAAAAGCCAATCCGTGATCGTTGAGCTCAGCCCTTCTTCAGAGGACATGGGTGAAATTTTGCAATCGTTAGCTTTTATTGCTAACTAGCGGGCCGGGTTATTGGGTCCGATAACGGAGGTACGAGGCAGCCGACGGCCCTGAAAGGGGGGTGGCGGAACAAAGACGTCGGAGGAGGAGTTGCTACGAGATTCGTTAATCAGTCAAAAATGTGTAACCAGAGTCAGAGTATGGCGGTAGACATTTGCTCCCAGTGACAAAGCTCAGTCTTCCTGGACCAAAACAAATCCAACGGTACACGAGCGCTTAACATTCGTAGCTGGTACTTGTAGTCTTCAAGCGAGCGGTTGCTGTGGTATCCACACCCTGCTTGTATGCACATAAACCGCAACTCCCACAATGCAATGCTGCGCTTCCTCGTTCGTCGTATCCGTATGCTGTTAACGCTCGCACAATAACGCGTTATTCTCCCATTCGAAAGCAAACGTTGTATTGACTGACGAGACAGTGATAGAAAATATATTTCATATATTGAAACCTTATTTAACGAGCCCAATGTTACAAATAGGTCGCACAAAAAAGTAAAGGAATCTTCTTGACGTAGCTATAACTTTTATTTACAGTATTCAAACAAACACAGAAATGTATGCACGAGTTCCCCCTCACAAAGAACATGGTTCAGGAGTTTGCTTTATGTATAGGCATTTACAGTAAAATAAGAGGGTTCCCCATCAAAATTCAAGAGATACGTTTTCACACATTAGGAGCAGAAGAAAGTTTGCATTCAATTTGAGTATTATACATGTGTTACTTGTAGTGACAAAGCACTGGATATATATATAAGCAGCATGATCAAATTTAGAAGAAAAAAAATTGCAGCTTTTCTAGAAGGCACATGGTGCACACTGCCGCGCATGGCTATATAGTTCATGCTTGGAGATGCATTCCTATATGGTCAACTATACAAGAGGATCTCTCAACCTGAGCCATTATTGTCGACTCAGTCTTGTCTTATCAAAAGTTATGTGACTTTATGTTAACATAAGGCTTAGTTATTTGCAGTTTATATTAAGGATAACCAGCAAAGCCTGTTAATAGTAAGGAAAAAATATACAGTAGGTTCTGAAAGAAACCTGTGAGCTGAGTGACAAAGCAAATCAAAGTTATTGAGTCCTTGACAATTTGAAAAGTAATGCTGGTCCGGCACCATTAGGGATCCACCCTTGTAGCCGTGTGTAATTCTAATAGCAAGAGTAAACAAATGCAATTGAACAATCCAACATTTCCAAATCAGTCTAATGCAGCTCTACTCCTGAGCATCTCAGTCTTAAAACTCTTAAACAACAACCACCTTGAGACAGATATATTTCACCACAGCAAACCCAATGAATGTATGCCCCGCTTCACTTCCCCAAGATTCATACAATCCAGAAAATACAGTTTATACTATAAACGCTTTTTTTCTCTTAATATAAAATAGAGAATATTTAAGGGGCATTCGTTAGTCTAGAGAGATGTATTCTGACTGGAAAATACAGATACAAGGGCTAGTCTCAAAATAAATTATCTTGATTTCTTCAGACATTTGCAATGACTGTTGCGTTTATCCGGTGTTCGTTTCCCAAGGTTTCTCTGCAAGTCATTACCTTTAGTTTTTAGTGCTTAGTCAACCAACAGTTATTTATGTGGTGTTAATTATTTCATCAGGTCAGATGGAAAGTCTTTTAATATTCTTTGGACAATGGTTAATATAAAATAAAACAATGTCCTTCCACCATTTATGTGGTTATCAAATTGCCAAAACAGCACAGTAATCTTGTCCACTTATGATAAACCACAAAGTCTGGTGTTTGGTTATGACGAGGCAGAGAGAGACACAGAGATGGAGAGGAGACACAAACACACACAGGGAGAAATGGGACAAGTAAAGGTAAGAGAGACAATCAAAAATCCTTTGGTTTGGCTGGGCTCAATCATCCCACCTAGCCTTCCTGTCCAAAGTCCTCTGTGAATTTTTTCAGTTTGTCCAGATCTTGGTCATTGACTGTTGGCTTCGTGTTGGCCGCAGACCTCAGCATGTCGGACTGAAATGAGACAAATAATATTAAAGTGAGGACTCAAATATGCAATTATATTACAATTAATGTTGCACGGTGTATTGATACTAAAAATAGCACTGCAGAACCCGTACGTTAAAAACGATATGATTTAGCATATTTTTACTATCGATGCTTCCTCAAAACAGCGCGCGATCAGAGCGCACTCACTGCTCTGCTCCCTGTCATGCTGCGCACGCGTTGCCCGCATGCAGGCGGAGCTGCCCGGCGCGTGATCGCAGAGGAGACATGGCCTCACGTGCACGCGATCTTGCCGACCGTCCTCGGCTTGTTAGAAAAAAAAAAAAAGATGCCAGAAGTGAAATCTGGAAGCATCTTGGCTATGTTAACATAGCGGTGTATAATCAATGCTATGATGTTTTTATTAATATCTTCCTGCAAGCTAATACGAATGCCATTTCTGTTCAAAAAGCTGGGCAGGAACAAGCTGGCAAAAAAGGGAACCATATTTTATTTATTTATTACTACTATAGACAGATATACCAGAATCGTATCAAATTCTGGTATTGCAAGTATTGGGTATAATGAAATTTATGGCAGGTATTGTATCCAAGTCCTAATTTTGGTATTGTGACAATCCTAATTTCCATCTATTGTTTTAACACCCTTACCATGGACACTATGGGCTCCAACAGCTTCTCCCCAGGTACATCCATCCATGACATCTCAATCGCATTGGGATCGCCAGGTGAGCAAGGAGTCAAGAGGTCATCTACAATGACGTTGGCTTCAGTTCTTGATTCACCCCGCACCTTGTTCAAATCACGACATATGAAAGGAAAAAAGTCAAGAATTAGTCAAACGTCAAACCGAATTGTGAAACAGAAAGAGATATTTGAATACATACCCGTTTGAAGTGGGTGGCCGACTGGACTTTTCGAACAGGCTGCATTAGAGCGTCTCTGACAATGACACTGATATCTGCTCCAGAGTATCCATCCGTCTTCTTACCCAGAGTGACAAAGTCGGTGTCGGTGATACTGTTGGGTGTCGAGCCAAGATGGAGCCTGAACATGAAGGCGCGCGCGTGCTCCTCGGGCAGCGGGATGTAGATCCTCTTCTCAAATCTGCGAGTTGCATTTGGAATACAGTCAGTAAAGGTGAATGAGAACACGGTTACTAAAAACTTTCCACCAGTGATGATAATCACCGTCTTCTGATGGCGGAATCTAGGGTCCATGGGATGTTTGTTGCACCGAGTACCAGCACACCCTCGTTGTTATTCCCCACGCCTGCAAAAATAAAACAGTCCGGGTAAGTGAAGACACGTAAAAACAATGATACGCTCTACTTTCACTGACACGTGACGGTTTGTCCAGCTTTCTAGTAATCTGTGACGACAGATTACACCACTGGGCAGCTGTCAAAACAGGCCATCTAAGTTATAAAATAAATCAAATTGAGACTATTTCTAAATCTGCTCATTAGGGGTTTCCCCGTATTTTATTGCAGAGGGGTTCCCTCTCACCTGAATCCTAAAACCACGTCCACACACATTACAAATAAAACAAACATATTAACTTAATATGTCTTACACTTTTCCTGTTTTTTTCTAGATTAAGATGAACTATGTAATAATATGAGTTTAGCCACACTTTAGGTTGCCTTCTTCAGACGTGATCATGAGGTGAGATGTGTCGCCCACCACCTTTGCTCAGCAAATTCTCGGGGAGAAGCCCCGTTATTGCAAACAGAGTACGCACATACAAGAAGGGCAGCTATGAGCGGTGGTTTATCATTACATAAATATGTTGCACTTCCTACCACACCTCAATCGGTGACGTCAAGGTAGGTGCATTCCCCTCACCTGTTAGAGAACATATCTGCCGTGGCATCTGACGTGTAAAGGGTGCAGTTATTTTTAGCCTCATGTTATTCAGGGTCAGTTAATATTTAAATTGTTCACACTTCATTTGGAAATAAGTGACAGTAGGAATCTGAAAACACTTCAGACTCTCCGGAACAAGAACCAGAGTTTCTGTGGCTGATGGACTTACCCTGCATCTGAACCAGGAACTCTGTCTTGATGCGGCGAGCGGCCTCACTCTCGTTCTCACTTCTTGAGCCACACAGGGAGTCTATCTCATCAATGAAGATGATAGAGGGCTGGTGCTCCCTGGCAAGGCTAAAAAGATTCTTCACCAGCCTAGAAAGTTCATTCAAAAGTTTAAGAAATGGAATAGCGACGTACTGCTGAACGCAGTACATCTTTGTGCTCAATTATGGGTGACCGTTAACAAGACTTACTTTTCACTCTCTCCCAGCCATTTGGAGACGAGGTCAGACGAAGAGATGGAGAAGAAGGTGGAGTTGTTTGCCTCCGTGGCAACAGCTTTAGCCAGATAGGACTTTCCTGTGCCAGGAGGTCCAAAGAGCAAGATTCCTCTCCATGGTGTTCTCTTTCCTGACCGTGAAAGTAGTAATTAGTTAGTTAACCAAAACAATGGCAACGGCACGCCGACCAATTTCTGTCATTGAAGATAAACGCCACGAGAAAGCGATCTTCTTACAAGATTTCATACCTGTGAAAAGGTGGGGAAATTTGATAGGAAGGATAACTGCTTCTTTCAGCGCCTCCTTTGCTCCCTCTAAACCGGCAACATCACTCCATTTGATGTTTGGTTTCTCCATAACAATCGCACCTGTACAAAGCAACATTACAATATTGAGTGGGTGTAAGTAATGTCTGAATTATAACTGGCTGCATGTAACCTCCCAAGAGATCAACACATATTACAACATTTCAGTTCTGGTTAAAAATTATATAAAGCCTACAGAGGGCCCGATTGTCCTCAAAGTGTACAAACCGGAAAGTTGATTTTGGAACTTCTTTTTCTCTGGATTATCACCCTCATCGCTTTCATTCCTGGAGACGCAAAGACATAGAATTAATATCTACTTTCACTACATATTTAGAAAAAAACAATACAAAACAATTAGCACAGATTTTTCCATTCGGGTCTGAATGGCCTCAGATCGGCCCCACCCACACACACACCCACACACACACCCTTTGTCATCGGACTGTGACTCTTTGACTGGCTTGGCAGGAGGAGCGTTTTCTTTCTTCTTTAGATACTCCTTCAACTTCTCTGCTCTGTCCAAGTATTCAGCGCACTTTGCCCGGATGCTGTGTTTGGCTTTGTCACTCTGGGCTTCATCTGTCCGGAAGAAAACAAAAAAAAGCACACACAAAAATATTTTCAGGTTTGAGTATTTCTTTCTTAATAAGACATCACCCATCTCCTCATACTTCACTGTTTGCGATTTTCTTTTGTCATTGTTCTTGCCATCATCACTGTTTTTAAAAGTGTAGAAAAGAGCCTGCGAGCCCTTTTGAGATTGAACGTCACTCTACAAAGGTATTTTCCAAAGTAATATCCGATTGTGATTCTTGTTACACTCAAATGTCAATGTGTTGTCTTACATTTCACCACATGGAGGAAGTACTGAACAGCAGCCTGGTAAAGACGCAGAGCCTCCTCGTATTTTTGGGCTTTATCTTCTTGAGCCGCCTTGCTGGCGAGATCAATGGCTTTCTAAAACGGAACAGAACAATGTTAGTTATGTTGGCACGGCTGGGTTCTCCTGATGATTCAGTTAGTGCCCCTTCCATCTGGCAGGAGGCTGAGGTCCATCAGGACTAAGACCTCCCGCCACACCAACAGTTTCTTCCCGTCGGCAGTCGGCCTCATCAAGAGAGCCGGTCCCCCACTGACTGACTATAACACTCCACTGGTCACCCCCCTTCACACTGCACACGCCACTTTAACTGTAATTCATCACTTTGTCGTCACTCGTCACTTTGTTACTTGTTTGTTACTTGTTCGTTAGTGCACTTTATGCTTAATCTTTTTTTTAAAAACTTTTTTAATATTTAAATTGTGTAACTTTATTCCCTTGTTTTATATTAACCCATAGCCTTATTCTACTAACCCATTGCATTAGCATTTCATTTTACTTTTATTACTTGTGCACTGCTGTCTTGTCTGTCTACTGTCGCCCACTACCCGCAAAGACAAATTCCTTGTATGTTTGGCATATTTTGGTTTCCTGATTCCTGATTAACGACTAAATGTCTCCCAAGAAAACTTCAACAAACAAAAACGAACGTCCAAAAATAGACAAAAGTAAGCAGGGAATTTTCTTAAATGACTCAAAAAGAGTGACAGACCCTCGCGTTTACATGTATACGGTAATCTGCTAAAGTTAGCTATAGGGGAAGATCACATTTAACCCAACACCTGTCCTGTGTGGTGACACTACGCACCCCGATCGGAATTTAAATGCACTCTTTCACTGCCCATGTGTACATTTCACATAGTCTGTACTTGTAACACAACTTGTAAATAATATAACACAATAGCTTTTCCCTTCCATTTTAAGTGGATGTCTTTTTGAAGGCCAACTAAAACCAGTTAGCTAACGTTGGCTAGCAACAGTAATACCATTAGCTAACGTTAGGTGTATTTTTCTTCAACACAGGCTTAAGCCGTTATAAGGCCATTGCCACAACAACATAACACATGGCTTTCAACAAGATACACATTAGCTTCGTAACACATACGGGACACGACGTCACCTTTCGAGGGTCTGTAGTTAAGAGCTAACTGACGAATTGATGCACGTTAGCTTAACATGCTAATTTGCGGCTAACGTTGCAAACGTCAAACTATATGACACAGTCGGAGGCGTTTATATTTAACAACAACAACAGAGAAAACCATGCCAGGCGTCACGGCTGTCATGAAGTAGTAAACACTTTAGTTTAGTCCAATACGTAAACAACTTTGTTAGCTTGTTCGGCGCAACGCGGTTTAGCTAGCTCTGCGGTTGCTTCTCAACTTACCTGTAAATTGTTGTTGGTAGCCATAACGGCTGATCACTTGTTCAATAATCGAAACGAATGTAACGCCGTCGTGAGGAAATTACTTTTTTAACACTCTGCTTCGAATCTTAACCATACAACCAGAGCGTTAAATCGACGATCGAGTTCCTTATGAAGCTTGTTTTCGTCTCCAGAGATCGCCTCAGTCCGATCGGGGAGGAAACTTCCGCATTGAAAAGTCGATACTCGCGTGCACAGAATGTGATGACGTCAACGCGTTGCTCCATTACGGTTCAGCGTTTACGGATAAAACTGTAACGCGTAGATCTGGGATCGATACAAACTACATTAACCCCCCGTCTGTTTCTAGTCTGTCACCGTTGACTTATTTTACAATTTCCTTTTAAAGACTAACTTCAGTTAGTTTTCAGATTAAGATTATAAATGCAAACTATAAATCAATTCATAAATGATATATATTATTAAAGGTTAATCTATTCAGCAGTATTTACAGTAATATACAGTAATAAAAACAAGCTCCACCTTCAGCAGCTTCACTACTAAAGTGATGAACACATTAATGCATCAATATTTTATAATGCAGAGATAAAAAAATAGGGGTCTAGGGTCAAATGGATCTTTATGTGTAATAAATATTGTACCTTTGGTATTTTAAATATATTTTAATGTTAATATTTATTTCCCTCAGAATAAATACGGGACTTTGCTTGTACGGTATTGTTATTCTATGATATTGCTGCTTTTACTGAAGCACTAGCTTCAGTAGCCTCTGAGCAAAAGCTTTGCATACTTCCTCCACTCATACTGCAGCACAACCACTCTGTCGTGAACGTGAGACATTAGTCTGATTTTATCATCATGAAAAATTAAATCCATATTTTTAAAACAAATATGATGTATTTAGTTTAGGTAGTAACCTCTTTATTCTCGAGGTACGCCTGTAATTCTTCCACTCTGTCCAGGTACTGTTTACATGTATCTCGGATCTTCTGGTTGCCATCTTTACCCTGCGGTTCACCTGACGAGGAGTAGAACATTTATTTAATAGCATTCTGTTATGGTATTGATGTAAACTATCTATAGTAACAAGCTACAAGAATGACACAACTTAAAACTGGCACAATCAAACAGAAAAACAAAGAATATAGCTGAACAATTTTGAGCAATAACAGTGACGCATACTCTTGTGCCGACCAGAAATGTGTCATTATGTAGTGCATTTTGTTTCCTGATTTAGTGACGCACGTTTTACAATGTGCAGAAAGTACTTGACAGCATGTTTGTAGGAGCTGATGGCCTCTTCATAGTTCCCAGCCTGGTCTTCCTCTGAGGCCTTCTTTGCTACGGCAATCGCTTTCTGAAAGTGCAGGAATATTTCAGACACTATCACACCTAATGTTTCTACTGAAATCGCATCATAACACATACTGGCGTCCTATAAACTGCATTAATCCATCTCTGCCAAGAGAAAAATGAGTATAATAGTGTTTTCGTGGTAATGGCAGTTGGTACAATATTATATAGATTATTATTATATTATAAATAAATCATAATAATTTCAGAAAATGCTCTGATGGTAGCGCTGAAATACACATTGTTCAGATGTGTTTTGGCACAATAGGGCCCTGGTACTGATGCACTGATTTGCTTATGGATATTATCAGATCAAGAGTACACGATTAATCAATTAAGAAATATTTGATTCACTGTACAATTGGTCAACATTTCCATTGAAACAATTTGCGGTGACCAAAACATTTTAGTATCGTAGTAGAAGAAACGTTTTTTTGGTGTACAACTATGGCCTCCCAGCGTTTTATGGTGAAATAACGTGTCAAAATGAGGTCCCATGACTTTGCACATAGAGCCTGAGTGGAAATGAATGATTCATAACAGCAGAGGATACGTGAATCCATCTATTTTGACCAACAGAACAGAACAACGCTGCATAGTTTCACTTCACAGATAGAACTTTGTCTGCTCACTGCTGAAAATATTTGATTGGTCATCGCAGACCTTTAAAATCTGAGGACCCGCCGCGAATCACTACTTTTGTGTCAGTGATGGAGTCTCTCTTGCCGACACAAAGTATCGACACAAATGGCACTGCATCCAAACGAAAAAGTGCGTATTCTGTGACACGTTGATTAAAAATAAATCTGTCAGGGTTGATCAAGTCCGTCGGACTGAATCGGTAAGGAAGCGTTTATCAAAGTGGATCCGCTCCGGCGAATAGACTCCTTTCACACAGTCCCCTTGTCACACAGCGAGTCGTCTGTTCCTCCTACCTGCAGAGTGGTGGGCTCCATAAGGAGACCCGTGGGAATGGAAACACAGCAGATTCAACCCGCACTGGCCCCGGCGGCGACTCTGGTTTCGTTTACCGCTGCGTAAAAGTGCGCGCACAACAAGTCCGTCACTCCCTCCGCGGGGACACGCGCGCGTCCCAGAAAGCGGCCTGGCCGGCCCGAAGGAATGCCGGCACCGGTGGAACCAACCCTCCCGCCAGTGAGTCACGGGGATTTATTTTGTATGTCGCCTTGCAAGTTGCTAACACAACACAGGTTGCTGAGCCTGTGTCAAAGAGCCACGTGCAAACATTGCGCCGGTGTCACCTTTCATCCTTCTGTAGGACTGAAATAACCGACAACAGCGTGGAGAGGGTGAGACAGAGGAAGTTGTCTTAAGCGTCGAACAACATAGGACCCAGTGACGCACCAAACCCGGATACTTGGTGATACTTGATGGGGGTGTGATGAGGGTTTTGTCCGCTGGAGGTCGCACGGACATCACTGCAGAACGTCTGCGGCGCGAGGAACCTGCCGCGTCTCAGGTTAGGAGATCATCTGGTCACCCTGCACGAGGTCAGACCACACTCATCTTACAAACTATATAACATGATATAAATGAGGTGTTATACAAATCAATGGACATATCTATTACACTCTATGTCTACGGACAGTTTGCTAAATACCTGTCACAATATTTATCATATATCATTGTCCAATCTATCTATATAGTAACATTTATTTCTTTCCTTTAAAGTGTCAACATTTTCCCCGAGTTCATTACAACAACGCGACCCCTGTTTTCACGCAGCCACATTATCCAAATTATTTCTTGAGGGACGCCTGTAAAATTAAAAAGGCTACAAATATACAAACATCTGAATATGCTCATAGAATAAACTTTAGCGCTATACGTGTTTCGAACTTGATAATAAATGCCAGCAGAAGAGGCCACCGCTGGGTGGGGTTGGTGGTGGTGTGGGGGGGGGCTTTGGCTGCGCTCGTGTGGATGAGCACCGCGCTCAGTGCATCGGCAGCCTGACACCGGATCGCTCCAGTATGGCGCACGCGTTGGTTCGGAGAAGCGGGAGCTGAGGAACCATGCGGCGGAAAGAGGACGCACCTTCGAAAGCAGGAGACCGACTTAAAGCTGCATCGTCGGCGGAGGTGTATGCCTGCCGAGGGAGAACCCGCCGGAGCTGGACGCGCTTCATGGAGATCCGTAGGTGATAAGGAGAACCTGCGCGCTGCGGGTCGCTCTCAGGCTTCCGCGGGGATCTCCTCTACGTGGAACATGGCGCGAGGGATGAGAGGAGCTCACCTCCTCGCTGTGCTTTTTACCTTTTCGGTCACACTTTTCAGGGACGCAGATGGACAAGGCGCTTCCAATGACTTGAGAGGTTTTAGTTTGAATCCCCCGTATTTCAACCTGGCTGACGTTTCCAGCATCTCTGCCACTGCGACCTGCGGTCAGGACGAGGCTGGGACACCGAGGAGGGAATTATACTGTAAGCTTGTCGGAGGACCCAACAACGGACCTCCTACTCAAAATATACAGGTAGGAAAATCTTTCACAGAAGGAGAATAACACTGAATATAATTCATTCAAAATGTGTGTTTGTGTCTCAAGCTGTGGCTGTTTGTCCCAGATAACCAGGCTGTTGTGTTGTCCCACCACTGTAATGGAGTTTGCTGAAGTACATGAAGTTGACATAAGTTTGGCATGGACATGTCTAAACGTACAATGTGCCTCGGGGGCCCTGGCCTCCCTCCATTAGACATCCTGCTTGTGGGTTTTTTTCTGCCATTATTTTGGTGTGCGTGTCTCTGAACTCCAACAATCTGACACCATTTAGGGTCAGTTCTGTGACTACTGCAACTCCCTTGACCCCCAAAAAGCCCACCCAGTGACCCACGCCGTCGACGGGACGGAGCGGTGGTGGCAGAGCCCCCCTCTCTCCAGGGGAGCGGGCTACAACGAGGTGAATGTGACCCTGGACCTCGGGCAGGTGAGATTATCGTACTCTACACAGCTGTTTACCTGCTGCAGCCTGCAGTGCGAGTGGCGAGGGATGTGCGGCGACGGTAGAATGCAGCACCTGGATGTTACAGCGGCACGGGAGGGAAGGTTTTCTGCCGCATTCAGCTGCTGGGAGACGAGGGATGCCAATCGCATCTTGTTGCTGTTATTTTTTGGGGGGGGGGATATGCTGTATAGACAACTGTTTGACTGACCGGTGTTTCTTGAAAAATGTATTCCAACGGGAGTTATATGGTTATGTTTATAGTTTGAGCTTTATCACCTCAGCCAGCAGTCATGTGATTTATGTCCTGCAGCCGGACGCTTGCCAGGAATCAGATTCACGCCCCCGCAGCCGGCTTATGCGCTTCCATCATGACCGTGGTCTCAGGAAGGAGTTTGGCCCCCTGTAAAAAAAAAAAGTGCACCTCACGCTCGATTATCTATAGATAAGAGAGCTGTTTTGTTCTCTGGATTAGTGACAGGAAAACGAAAATTGGAAGAGTGCAGGTGGACGCTTGGACCTCTTTGTGAGGAGGACTTTAGTCCCGGAGTGGCTTTTTAAAAGAGAGCAACAGAAGAGCTCCTGGTCACACGTGTTGCACTCCCACCGGGCGATGCGTCACACAATGGGTGTTGGCTTTTGTATTTCTATTTATAGGCAGACTGAGCTGAGCAAAGATCCCACACAGCTAAAGATAGTTCACACGTACACGCGTAGATGTCTGTCTAATACGAGGTAATGCTCAGTTTATTTGGGAATGGTTACGGGCATTCGTGTATTACTGCGTGCAAAAAAAAGAAAGCGTGGATCTCGGGTGGTGACTACAAACCGCACGACAACCCGGCCGCCCTCACTGATACACCATGACCTCAATCACACACACACACACACACCTGTCTCACACATGTTTCTGCTCGCGGCATCGGATGCAACCACCGACAGCGCTCACCGTTTGCAACCCCTACATTTGTTTTACGCACTTGAGTCTTTTTTTCACTGGAGAGGAAAAAAAACGCTGTGATAAAAAAGTGTGTGGCACGCCTTTTTGGGGGCGGATTGTCATTTTCTAATAAGAACATTATCAGTGTGCAACTTTGCAACCTTTTGTATCCAATCAACAAATTCAGCATTGGAAAAAAAAGCACAAATGTGGACAAAAAAGAACCAGTGTTTCACTAGATTATTAGGACTGCGTGATTTGTATTTGAAGGAATGTGTTTTTTCTTCGAGAAGCTTCCAGAGTTTAATTAAGTGTTGAATATCACCTTCTCGTGTAATCTCAGGTATTCCAGCTTTCATGTTGTTTGACTGCCCATTTGAGGCTTTGTTAGCTTTTGTCGATTTCTTCTCATAAGCCGCAGGCTAAATGATGTTTTCAATGGACTATGTGGGCTGGACTCTGTGGTTTCTTTCAACACTGACGCAGGTGGCTGTTCCTCTGTTTTCTATACGGCTCTTAGCAGATCTATTGGATACCAGCGCGATTGGTGTTTATGTTAAAAGGGTGAGGTTCAAAGAGAGAGAGGCCTTTTTAGCAGAGCTGTTTCCGCTTCTACTGTGTAGAGGATTGTTTGAAGCAGAGTTAAAGCTAATCTAAGACCAGAATCACACCAAAACTGTACTTGAAACACAAACCTGAGCATTATTAGAAAGGAAAACATATCAAGTGTCATACTAGTAGGCCTCTTCTAGTCCTTTACTTTTAATTTGAATGTCTCAACATTTATGGGGGGCATTGCCGCGCATTTGTTTTGGTGCAGACCTCCATGTTCTCATAAGCATTAACTGTAACTTTGTTTATCTCCTGACTTTTCATCTTGCCTCATCGACACATCAACACTTTCACGATACTTTATTTGTTGCGTGAAAACAACATTCCCATCCGCTACCGTTTTGTGTTGGTAAACGGCATGTTAGCATGCTGATGTTAGCAATAGCTCAAAGAACCGCTGACTAAGTACATTCATCGTAGAAAGGCTGTAGTCTTAGACTTGTTTTCATCCCAGCTCCTTATCTACAAATCCTGGTTCAATTCTCAAGGCTGAGTGCTTGTAGTTAAATTATTAGCCTCTAAATCTCCTTTTGATAAGCACGGCGCAAAGTCTATGACGAGCTTCTCCTTGTTTTTGTGACTTCTTGGCTCGTAACCCGTGACCCATAACCAACCCTACCTTGAACCAGGAAATGACTTCAATAATCTTCTGTAGAGAAAGACATGGTGTTTGTCACAAATGGCTCGTTTGTTTAATGGGGAATTGACTCAAAATGGGTGCATTTGATAGAAGAAGATTAAGACCTTAATTGAACTTAACATAACAGCCTGCCTTGGATTTTTTTATGTGTCATTTGGTTTTAGACACAAGTCAAGAATCAGTTAAGCATTTCTTGTCCATCCCATCATAGATGCATCAGTGTCCACCATTTCTACCTCTGTTTAACTAATTGCAGTGACAGTGGAAAAGCTATTCTTCTGATTCTTCTCAACATTTACACCACATATCGGACGGCCAGTCACTCCGTTCTTCGGGGGAGTGTATTTTAGGAGCCCTGACCACATGTGCTTATGTGCTTCAGTGAGCCCAGCGTATACCATGTGAGGCCGACATACCAGGGCTCACTGCTCCCTGTCTCCCATCCGATGAGACCGAGCTGCTTTTGGTTGGTCGGTGTCAAACACTGAAGTTTTGAATAGTTCCTGGATTGATGTTCCTGGATTAAAGGTGAAGGCTGGGGATTATTCCTGTAGGCAACAGGTGTTTACTGTGTTGACAATGTTTCAGTGTATTGCGGCTTTTTCTGTACTGATTTATTGCAGAATATCAACATGTGGTTGATTTTGTATAATACATCAGTCGCTCTGCGACTATGGTTTTAAACATAAATGCTTTTCCTTTTGGAGGGGACGTCTGAGTATGTGCAAGAAAATTGACATTATCTGATTCAGGTTGTTGCAATGGCCTCGGCACTGCTTATAGTTCTGCAATCGTCAAGAGGCAGAACTTCCAAGAACTCAATTTGAGAGACATTCCCCTGGAACCTAATCCCCCCTCTTAGGGGTCCACCTTCCCACTGAAGTTGTTTTGAATGTTTTATTTGCACCCGTCGCCCCCTTTTGTGTTAGAATCTGTCTAGGCGGTATTGTGTGACACCCTTTCTGTGCTCTTAGACTCCTGCAGAAGTTTGGTTCTTAATAAGCCTCCCTGAAAGTGACCTGGTCCCCCAAAACGGAGAGGTGGTGTAATTTGGTGGTGAGAAAGGCCTTTGACTGCAAAAGCACACAAACACACGAGTCCCCGACTGAAAACAATCCACTTTCTCTTGTATTCTGCACTCTGACTGAAGAGACATTCCGATAGAACTTTGTGTGATTCTTATGTGTGCACTTGCGTATTGCTGCATACCTCCAAATCACATATGGGAGTCAATAACAAGTGGTTTGCAAATATGTTGTAATCCCAATTGATTGTGTGTTTTGAATATAGAACTTAGAGAAAGAATAGATTCACTTGCTGTTAAACAAACACCGTGTATTTTGGTTGTAATAGATCTAGTCCAAAGCCAGAGACAAAATCGTCTGTGAGACATGACGATGGAAGTGATGTAAGCGCCTGTCTTTAGCTGTTGAGTGTTGAGACACCAGGCAAACCCAGCAGCTATTTACTACTCGCTAAGAGCTACCTCGTGCTAGTTAGCAGTACAGCGGCCTTGCATCACGGGTAACGTCAGATGTGGAAAAGCTCGTGGGGGTCAATGTGGCATCTATTCATCTTCCTAAGGCTTTATTATCAATTCATACGCGGAAAAGCTAATCGGTGGTGACAGGTTTGCTGACCCAGGCACTGATGCAAATGAATGTGTCAGAGAGCAGGAGGTTTCCTGGACCCACATGATCGGGCTCTTAATTATGTGAGAGTGGGAGGAAAGTTCTGCATCAAGTATGCAATAGTTTGCCACACATATTGTGCTGAAACATTTTCAAAACATATATATTATGCCTAAATGTTTTTCCTTGATCCAATTCAAACGCACATTCAGTAATTGCAGAGTGAGTATTGCAGACAAATATGGAAGAAAAAAGTTCAGTTCCTGATAAACCTGAACACATTGACGCTGGATAATAGGCTTTGTATATGAGTTCATAATTAAGTTTCATCAATAAGCGACTGTGTACAGGGCTTGAAACAGAAAACGCTTGAGCAGCTGAACTTCAGGCTTTTTGCAATGTTCTCTTGTAACTTCTGGCTACCCTTTCTTTGTCACCATAAAGCCTAAACTAATTCTGTCATGGAGACAGAGGAAAATACACCAGACCACCCCTCTCCCCTTCCACTGCCCACCTGTCACGCAGACAAACAGTTGTACGTCGCATTGTTACAAAGCGGAGGCCAACTGCTCCACCCCACTGGGCTGCAGCCGGCTTTGTCTGGCAGGGCCGATCCGCTAACAGAGGCTGATGCCCCCTCTCCTATGAGCTGCATTCCTCTGATCTCACATCAGACTCCCAGGAGCTGGCTCAGAGGCTTCCGGCAGGACCCCGATCTCGCTATAGATTTAGTCCTCTTGGCTCAGCGGTCCCCTTTGGGTGGAATTTGGGGTCTGGAAAATTGATGATATCAGGACCACAGAGAGTCTTTACATCTTTCACTGCAAACTGAAGTCTGAAGACACTCTTCAGACTTCACCTTGACTTAAAAAAACACTACAAATTGTAGCACTTAAATTGTACTTAGAATGGATGATGAAATGGCACTTTCTTGTTTCTTGTTCTTTTGTGTCTGTATCCTTATGGTTGAAATGCACTTATTGAAAGTCGCTTTGGATAAAAGCATCAGCTAAATGACATGTAATGTAATGTAAAATATATTTAACTTTTTAATTCTGTTTGGGCCGGCAGAGAAGGCTTAGCCGGCCCTGACGGCGCACCACTGTGTTTATAATAAGATCAAATTAGATATAAGGTTCGTAACGTACTGTGTGTCTTAACTCGACGTGGTAGCATACATCGCATGCTATTAAATCTATTACCATTAGAGTTAGAGTTGTTCCAATACCGATACCAGTTTTGATGCAGGCAAAAAAACTGGAGCAGGTATCAGCACATAAAGTACTGTATATGAATCAAATAAATATCTCTTAATTTATCAGTTCATTCACACAACCTAGGAACAATAACAACCACACATTTCAGTCTGATCTGATCCGTACATACACTCCGATCCTTACTGGGCACGTGCAGATCAGAGATAAGCGAGACGGCTTACTTGTCCGCCAGTTGGAAAAAAGTTTCATGTGTCCAAAATTGGTGATGGAAGTTTCAAGTGAGCCGTATGGCTGCTGTGTCATTTCTGTTGAAGGTCGCTACGTAGTAGCAATCGAGGAGGCGCTAGTCCGTAGCAGGAGGTGCAACATTTGCCAGGCCTGGCAAAATATGTGGCGATATTTTACACAAGTCAATCTGGACAATAAAAGAAGGTGCTATTGGTTGCCTTTATGCAAGAGTTTAACATGAGCCGAGCCATACAACCATGATAACAAATACATGACAAACGTATACAGAAGTTAAATATTGTTAATCCATCCATCCATCTGCAAACCGCTTATCCTGCACAGAGGGTCGTGGGGGGGTTGGCGTCTATCCGGGGTTGGTCGCCAGCCAATTGCAGGGCTTAAATATTGTTAATAATACCATATTTTAGTATTTGATTCACTCGAGTTCTGGTATCGCAATGGTATCAGGACTGAAAAAATGTCATCAGAGCATCCCTAGTCCAAATGCGTGGATTATGAAACAAACAAACAGTGATTATCGCAGGCACAGTAGGTTCTGATTGAGAAAGCTTTGAGAAATTCCATAGCAGTCCGTTTTACAGTACAGTTCATTTGATTAACACAAAGCGATTATGAGGGAGGAGAGCCACGTGGCAGGATCGGCAGCAGTAGAAACCGGCAAGGGATCACGCAATCAAGCTTACCGCACTCCTCCACGGCTCTACCTGAAACGCAGGCACGCATGTATGAGGCGAGGCAGAGCTGCTGCAGCTTGAACCTGTACGTTAATCGCTCTTGAGCTGTCACACACCGTTTAATCATTTAACTCCCACGGGTCAATAATGTGAATGACAACACACGGCCACAGGTGTTTTGTCAAAAGGCAAAAGGGAAAATGTTGCTATGTTGTTGACACAGGGACCCGGTTGGCTATGTTGCTGTGCTGTTAATTAAAAGGTCATTAGAGGTCGGGATTACACTTTACACCTTGTATATGTGACACTGTTATAGGGGGAATTTGAGAGGTGGGGGTCAAAGACGGTCGATGTCAACCTGTGTGCCTGGCGCAGCTCGACCCCTGACCTTTATGACACCCACCCACTCCACTAAAAACCTCCTGGCACGAGACAGCGGATTGAGGAGGTGCAGAGGAGGGCTCTGCTCGAGTGTTATTACAAGGGGCTTTGCCACTAGATGGTCAATCTGTTCCACGTCTTTCTACAACTCTGGAATTCTGCAGTGCAGTACTTAACATGCCATCACAATATTTCACGCTCCCTGCAAACAATACGTAGGCGCTGGACATATTTCAAGGGTGTGTGTTTAGACTGGCGGCACACAGATGGAGAGACGGAGACGTTCCAGCGAACGGGCGCTGACCTCAGAGATCACGCTGCCTGTTCCTCGTTGGGTTTGTTTACAGAGATTTGTTCTCCACCATGTCTCAAGACACCGTTGGAGTGAAATGGCATCGCCACAGTTTGACCACAACTAAAGGGACCGTTTCCGCCAATGTCAGAAAATACCTTTTCACTGTCTTGACCAATCAAGTCATGATTTCTGAAACTGTTGATTTAAGCAAAATTACTTTTCAGAACACAGAATTTACACACTTTCAGCATTTTGATCGCTTATTATGAATTAGAAAAACCTTTTTAAATGTACAGTAAGGATGTACAGTAGCACACAGCAGGGAGCGACATCACCACTGGTGATAACTAGTGACTAGTGATGTTTATTACAAACTAAAAGGTCCGTTTGACATGAAATACTTTTTTCCTGATTGACTGTATTGCATTTATCACTCATCTTTTCACTAGTCCACTATGTAAAACAACACCAATTCTGCTGAAAAAGCACTGAGAACCACTGGTTCAATGCCAGTGGATAACACATATTTTGTAAATGAACTGCAGCCGACCTGGAACGGATAATGCCCACTGTTACCCTCGTTGTCTTCATGTACAGAATACTTGTGTACAGTGTGTATTTTTACTGCTGTGCATTGAGATGTTCCTGAAAGCAGTGGCATTCTGCACTTTGGGGGCATTAGGAGGGAAGGAAATGCGGCGCTATGTTTGGAATCTGAGATGGGTCATGCCAGCCAGCACGTCTCTTGCCACCCCTCACCCACCCCTCACCCCTTTTTCCCCTCCCCCCATCTCACTCCCCCGCCTCCCTTTCTGTGGGCCTGTCGGATGTCATTGTGAACCACACTTCCTCCTGTTCCTCATCCAGTACATTGACAAAAGGCTGCTTCCCTGCTAAATACTTGTTGCTGTTATAAACTACGTGACGGCCCACAACCCTTTTTTTCAACATTCTGTTGCACGTGAGTGGGATTGTTTTCTGGTTCAAGACCAACTCCGCTCAAAGTGGAGGTCAGAAAGCTATTTAATATACTTACAGATTTGTCACCGTTTTCCTCAATGACTACATAGTCAGAGAAGCTAACGTAGGCTGTTTGCTACCTAATGACTGTGTTATTTGTGAGATAATCTGCAGTTTATAGAAAGAAAAGTCGAGCTGACCTCTGAACCCTCTCACAATCCATCAACCCGAAAGCTACTTGAACTTCAGACCGATATACTTCAGGGTTGGGGGGGAGAAATCCATCGGCAGAATCGTGGTTCCATCTTGACACACGGGCCATGGCTCTTTGGCTTTGACACGGGTGTTAGCGTAGCTCGCTGTCTCGTGCAAGGAGAGACAGCGGCCTAAATGTTTCAAATGCCTGCTGGGGCTTTTTATCAAGGCGCTGAGGGATGCGAGACTAGTGAGGACATGCCCTTTTTCTCTCTCAGAGAGAAGACAGCCAAGAGCAATTAGTTGTATTTTCAATGGCACACAACATCTTAGGCACAGTTTTCATCCAACCCTTTACTCCCCAGGGCCGCTACATTAGCTCCAGCCTATATGCAGCCTATATGCAGCTTATATGCAACCTATATGCAACCTATATGCAACCTATATGCAGCCTATATGCAGTCTATATGCAGCCTATATGCAGCCTATATGCAGCCTATATGCAACCTATATGCAACCTATATGCAGCCTATATGCAGTCTATATGCAGCTTATATGCAGCCTATATGCAGCTTATATGCAGCCTATATGCAGCCCAAATGCCAACGGCCCCACGTTTTTAAATCACGTGAAATTTTGCTTTTGGGATCCACGCCAGAACTGAAATTACACCGAGATCATTTCAGCCTCATGGAAACAAGAGGAGGGCGTGTCGCTCAGCCGCAGGTTCGGCTCTCCGCTGACACGGCAGGTGTCACGTCCAGGTGGGTGTCACAGGGTTTACATTCCAATGCCAATGCCATGCCAGACCACAACAAAGAGAGCTTTGAATATCACAAATTACCTCTCCGTTGAACAATGTTCGACCGAGCTGAAGTCACTGGGTTTTGGGGATTGATGATGTTGATGAACTGCAAAAGAAAACATTCTGCTCTGAGCCTGACAGGCAGTGTTGACAGAAACGATCACTGGCATCATTTTGTGCCCTTGAATGAACTGCGTGTTGTGATGGAAGGTGGAAATGCAGAGTTCAGAAAACCAACCTGAATCATGTGGGTTTAGCTGATATCTTTTCACTAAACCGGCTGCACCTGCATCATTTTGTATTGAAGCCATGCTGACAAATGTCAAACTTTGGTGTTTGGCCACACAGCAGGACTAAAAGCACAGCGCGGGAGGCCTCGACCTTCCCTCTGTGTAATGGATCCATCCTAATTAAAGTCATCAGATGGTACGCAGAGATAAAACGGAGGTCGTGCTTTCACAAGAAAGGAAATAAGAGTCTGTGCTGCCAAGACTGGGGCCATAAACACAACGACCGCTTTTTGTTCAGCGTGTTCTTTGCGTCCTGCTTTTCAGCTCTTCCACGTGGCGTACGTCCTCCTCAAGTTTGCTAATTCACCTCGACCTGACCTCTGGGTGCTGGAGCGCTCTGTGGACAACGGGAGAACATTCAACCCCTGGCAGTATTTCGCACGTAAGTTTCCATCTGAGCGTTTTTTTACACTTCCTTCACACTGACTCAAGAGTTGCACAACGGATCAGATGTTACGATTTCATTTCTCTCTGGAGTTCAGATTACGGGCTGGTAATTGGAAGCTAAAGCTATAGTATTTAACCTCACAGGAGAGAAGCAACCACTTCTTAACACAGATGGATTTGTCTTTATAATAAATAGCAGTTAAATTATAATTATCGGATTTTCTTTTAAAAAAGGGCCTTTTCGTGGCAAACATTTTAACTATATACAAGGAAATGCACAGGTGTGTGTCTCAATGCCCCGCTAAGCCATGCCAGAGATCCATCATGTAGAGCGTCAAAGCCCCAGAGCTGCCACTGCTGAATGCAATGCAGACATTATTACCGTTATTATTTACACCTGTGTTCTTCCTGCCATGACAAGTCAAAAAAAGAAAAAAGCCGCATTGTGAAGACAGATTAAATTTGTCTCCTAGCGCACATTTAATCCAAGCCCACCGATCACCCTGCTTAATAATTTAAGACTTGTGTGTGTGTGTTTTAATTTTGTGGGAAAAAAGGAATTGAGAACAACCAGACGTTACATCTTTGAGGTGGAACGCAGCGAATGTTGAACGTAATTAGCAGGCCTGTGAGGTAAAGTACCTGAGCCTCATACCTGGTTACATGCTCCAGATTGGCTGAGTCGGCACATCTGAGCTCTGATGTCTGATATCCGGGAGGCACACAGGTTGCCAGGAGACACAGCTGTTACTTATCTGATTAACAATTGTATAGTTTCTCTTTCCCATCATGTTCAGTACAGTCAACTCTCACACGCTCACTTAGCTTTCAGTCCTTGTTTCTTTTTTTCACAAAATACTGCAAGACACTCTTCCTGCGAGTGTCCGATTAAGAATAATAGTACAAAATCACACATATTTCACATATTACATATTTTACTCTGACCGCTTCAATATCAGATGTCAGAGTTTCAGGTGAGAATCTAAACACAACCCCTGTCAATGTTTCAAGTACTATGTCAATTGACAATAGAGAGTAGAATTGCAGAAGCCATCCATCAAGTACTGCGATTGGCTGGCGACCATCCAGGATGTACCCCGTCTATCGCCCGTAGAAGTTGGCTGGGATGGACTCCAGCCCCCCCCCCCGCGACCCTGCGTGCAGGATAAGCGGTTTGACAATGGATGGATGGATGGATCCATCTAGTAACACTGAAAATGAAAAATGAATAGAATAAGGGATTGAAGGGTAACGGGACTTTAAGAATACTCTTTTTTTGGCAGATTCCAAGCGTGAGTGTATTGAAACATTCGGGAAGCAGCCCAATGCTCGTATAGTACACGATGACGACCAGCTCTGCACCACAGAGTACTCACGCATCGTCCCTTTGGAGAACGGAGAGGTAAAATATCACATTAAACTAAACCCACATTTCTACATTTTTCAAAAAAGCCATCCTGTAAAAAAAAACTAAAAACATTTACTTTATCCAGATTGTGGTTTCTCTAATAACCGGTCGGCCGGGGTCCAAAAACTTCACCTACTCGCCAGTGCTACAAGACTTCACGAAGGCCACCAACATCCGCCTGCGCTTCCTCCGCACCAGCACCCTGTTGGGTCACCTGATCTCCAAGGCCCAGAGAGACCCCACCGTCACACGCAGGGTGAGGCCTCTTATGCGCCCCCTCACGCAACCGCGTCGTGCTGGCAGATTCTTGTTCGGGGCAAACCGCATTTACTACCCAGCAGCAGTTTTCATCACCGCTGAGACGGACGCATCGGCATGTCGGCACCTGCGCACGCATTCATCCTTGCCGGGTCCTCGTGGAGAAACACGTGGAATATAAGTTAAAGCTTACTTTCCTCGCTCTGGTTTCCTGGAAGACTTCTAGAAATGTACCTTCAAGATTCAAGTCTGAACTGAAACCTCAGTAAATTATCTTTACTAGACATGCTGAGAATGAATCGGTGATGTCACCGGTTGATTCTAATCTTACTCCGTAAAACGAGCCTTGGCTCTGGTTGGCTCCGTGTGACTCAGTTCTGATTTTCCCTATTTCTTAACAGTATTACTACAGTATCAAAGACATCAGCATCGGCGGGCGCTGTGTTTGTCATGGCCATGCACAGGTGTGTGCCCGGGGGCGTTACCAGGACAACCCCAACAGGTTAGTAATGCTTTTCTTCTTAAGGCTATAAACATGTGACACAATGCTTTTGTCAAACCGGTTTGTTATAAACATTTTAAAAGTCAACTTGGATGTGAAACATAAACCATAAAATCTATTTCGTGTGTTCATTCATGAACTTAATCGACTTTTTGTCCAATGGACTCTTGTGTATGAACATTGTACTGAGATGACTGACCGAGGCAAAGAGAAGCTGCTAATCTGGTGAAGTAATCTAGTGAGTGTTTGTTGAGGAAGGACGATAATCGACATCACCATCGCACAGGGCAGCAGGGAGCTTCAGTTGCTCTATTTAAATTGTAAATAGTTGGTAAAAAGGCATAATATGTCACAAAGCGCTGCCTTGAAACAATGGAAACGTAGCGTCACTAAATCCACGTGTCTTATCTTTTTATCTTCTGTCTGCAGACTCCAGTGTGAGTGCCAACACAACACCTGCGGCGAGTCATGCGACCGCTGCTGCCCAGGCTTCCACCAGCAGCCATGGCGCGTCGCCGCTCCCGACACTCCGAACGAGTGTTATCGTAAGTGAGCGTGTACGGCGGTTCAGTCAACGCGCAAGAAAAGACGCACCCTTGGCGCGTCTCGATGTACGGCCCCAGAGTCAGCGGACCCAAGCGTCCTCCCGCCTCTGATATTTAAGCCCTGTTGTCGATGCCCTGTTATGGCGCCGAAGAGAGAACCTCAGTGAAGAGTTGAGAGGACATTACTCACACGGTATGTGTAAAGAACAGCACAGCGCACAACCAGCTGCAGGATGACAGGCTCAGCTCGGTAATCAGAGGCTACCTGAGAGTCCCGCAGCCATGCAGTCGGCCTGCAGCGTCTGTGTCAGCCGCAATCTAATTGCTTTGGACTGTTGACAGATCTTCCCTCTATGAAAAATGACCTTGTAGCAGCCACCAAAGAGAGAGAGAAGTGGTGAATCAGAGTCTCTAATCGGTGCGCTCTTGCAGTGGAAATGCACCCTAACCCCTCATGAACATTACTGAGACATTCAGGAAGAGGATGTACCTTCTTGTTTGATTTGGATTTTATAGTTTCTCTTGATATTTAACAGGCAGACATAAACCTCCTACTTTTACAATGAGTAGCTTAAGGTGCTCAAACACAGACAGTAAGAGGTTATTTGGTTAGGCATATAGAATAATTGTGTGTGTGTGTGTGTGTGTCTCGGGGGTTTCCTTCTTAGCTTGCCAGTGTTTCTCCCATGCCTCTGACTGTTATTACGACCCAGAGGTGGAAAAGAGGGGAGCAAGTTTAGACACCTTCGGAAGGTACGACGGAGGCGGAGTGTGCATCAACTGTCAGGTAGGAAATTCATGTCAAGTCTAAACTGATTCCACTGTGTGGTGGGTGTAAGGGAAAAAAGTATAAAAAGTTATATTAGCATTGCGCAATATTTAGTTTGTCCAGGCCAAAACTTCATTTCATTTACATACTTTGCTCTAATTATTCCAGTTTCTTTTGTTAAAATAAATTACATGTGTGTTATATTAATATGACGTCCCTCTGAAATATGATCCAGATGCAGAGTGTACACAAAAGCATTGTGTCAAATGGACTCTTTACTGTTTCATTTTGTACGAGTTGTGGCTCACGTCAAATTGTTGTGTTCTTATTAAGCACAACACTGCTGGAGTGAACTGTGAGCGATGCCTTGAAGGTTTCTACAGACCTTATGGAATCCCTCCCGAGTCTCCCGCTGGATGCATACGTGAGTTGCCCTTTCTGTGGATGTCCCTTTCATTTAAAGTTACATTGAATTGAATCGATTTTTGATCGGATTTATTTGAGTATTTTCTATTCCTTTTGTCATTGGCTTTGCTACTGGTTTAGTTGTACTCAGATATTTATTTAAATTATTGTTGATAATTGTAAATTATGCTGCTTTAATTAATGCAATTAAAGCATATTCATAAAATATAACTAATATTATAGCAATAAGGTACTTTATCGTCCAATAATGTAACAGTTCGGGGGGGTTGTTAGGCCCGAAGGCCAGCAACCCACGAACAGTTATATTATTGAAGATAAAGTACTGCCTCAAGTACCTTATTGCTTTATGATGCGGTTACAAGCGAAATTGTAATTAGTAAGAAAATAGCTGTCTTTCAGCACAAAATATTATTAGCCACCAAACGCTGTGTATCTCATTTCAGTAGTCAAGTAAAGAGAAAATATCTTTTTACGACAGAGCATTTGTGGGATTTCCGTTTTTTTTTTTCCGGGGTTGCCAATGAGCTAAAAGCTAAAACGTCAAAGCTAACCTGCTAATTTGAGTGCGCAGTGATATGGAACGCTCGAGTCAATGTGAACAGCAACTTCCCCCGACGATAAACAAGTGAAGCCAAAACTTGTTATTCTCAGCTGGTTGTCTTGGTCGAGACACAAATACCGCTGGCACTTGTAGTATTGCTAAACTGGGCTCCACTCTTGTTTACATTACTTGTCATATAAATAGCTGCCAGTTGCGTTTGCACGTCACAACGCAATTATATCGGGGGTTTTTTAAGAGGATTTGGAGAATAATAGGCTTTCTGGAAGGAAAAATGGGGCACGTAGCAACCGCAGATGAAAATGATATGAATGTTAATGATGTCGGGCTCCACCCCCCCGCTGTGCGTTGCACATTTATCTGTAGATCAATGTTGATTGAGAAAAACGAAACATGCCGCCCCAACAGCCTGTAGGTGTGATGAAAGGACCACAGCCGGCTGTGAGATGGAGTCAGGAAGGTGTATCTGCAAGACACAATTTGCTGGAGAAAACTGTGATCGCTGTGCGGACGGATTCCTTTACTACCCTCAGTGCATTCGTGAGTATTTATCCTATTTCCTTTTTTTAATCTTATCACATAACGGATACCCAATTAACCCTTAAACATTGCCCATCTCCCTTTTTGGCTCTGAGAGCACAGTGATGTGTCTGTGTGTGGGAGCACAGTGTCAGTACAGTCAGGTGAAACCTAATCTGTGACGTCTGGGATCAGTTTCAGCCTTTTGTGTTTCAGGCGCTTCCCTTCCCTGGAGGGACGTATGCCTTCAATTCAATTCAATTTTCAATTCATTTTATTTTGTATAGCCCATAATTGCAAATTACAAATTTGCCTCAGAGGGCTTTACAGTCTGTACACATGCAACATCCTCTGTCCCGAAACCCACCATCGGCACAGGAAAAACTCCCCCCAAAAATGAAAAAACCCCTACAAGAGGGAAAAAAGGGAAGAAAACTTAGGGAGAACGTCAGAGGAGGGATCCCACTCCCAGGATGGACAGACTACAATGGATGCCATGTGTACAGAATGAACAATGTATAATACATGCAATTCAATGCAGGAGGATTCGTGTCCATGCCTTGGCATTGACCACCATGCACACAATACACACACACACACAGAAGATAGTTCACTCATCTTATCTTAGTGTGATATTAGGCTGCGAGCGCGAAGGGACACCCAGTCCTTCCTCTTTACGAGGACTCTTTTCTGTGACTGACTCTATTATTTAAGGTCTGTGAGTCAGTTTGAAATACAATTTATTTGTGAACTGTTCCTTGAAACAATGTTTCCCTCTGACTACATTTGTTTTTTTTGTATGTTGTGGAGCCCTTTAATGTCCTTTTCATCACTAAGAAAAAAAGTAGTGAAAAGCATTTCTTTGCATTTGTAATTTCTGGTCAATAACGATTTTTAATTATATCCTACAACAACATAGTTCAATAAAGGTAATATAAATGGCTCAATCAGGTTAGAGTCAATACATTATTCAATCATATATACTGACTGAGAGTTTAAGGGTTAAATAAAATCAATTCTCCGCTGTGATGAATGAAATTGAACTTTTAATTTGACTTCACGGTTCAGTAGAGATCTAAATTCTAAATATATCCTTTGCACTCAGGATATCCCGTGTACCCGACGACCACCCAATCCCCCGCAGGACCTTTTGTGGGTAAGTCCCATCAACAACACTTTCTCATACCACAGTTTATCTTGAACGATGTCTTTAAACAGTCATTAAATGTCGTCCCCGTTGATCCTAATTATTTCGCCCTTTTCCTCTCTCTCTCTGTTAAGAGCCCACCGCTTGTCCTCGCGGTTATTTCGGCTCCCCCAGCTGTCGACGTGAGTGTGATTGTGTGCTGTTGTGCTGCCAGGTGTTCGCACAGCTAAGCCGTGATAATTGCATTTACTGAATCTAAAAAACACAGGAAAACAACGTTTATACAAGGCGGGATTTTCCTTTTTCTTTGAGTCGCATTAACGTACAGGCAGCCCAGGTTGGCTGAAGGGGTTAGAAGACCTTAAGGCACCACTGGTTAAATGTTGAGGCTAAAAGTCAGATAACATTTATAGGTCTCCAAACCAAACTGGCATAAAAAACATTTATAGTATATTGTCAGAATGAGAGAGAATTCTCGCAATTTTTTCAGCAACACACTGTTGGTCCTAAACGATCTTGTCCATCAGTTGGGATTTAAGTTCAAGTGGTCAATGTCCTCTCAGGAAAGCGATGGTCATTTGTGAACGTGAGAACTAACCAGTCTATTATTAGTTATGGCCCCTGTGTTTTAAATTCCCATTTTTGGTTTCCTCTAAGCTGGGGAATGCATTATTAGAAAAAACAGTGCTCCCATTAAAACAAAGACCTTTATCCGCGTCTTATTGGAGTTTAAGATGGAGTTTTATCATCAAAAACAAACAATGATTTTAATGTTCTGGAGCTGCATTGCGACAAAGAGCAGTGGCAGCCTCCGTAGTGGCCGCCTTGCCTTAGTGCCGAGTCCGTTCACATACCAGGGGAAGCTCGGCAAGACGCGGGAACTAATGCAGCCGTACCAGCGCGTGCCACAATATGAGATTAGTTCAGAAGACGGAAGTATTTGTCCTTCTCCTGTAGTTCAGCTCCTGGCCCGAGGAAAGAGCTCGTTTAGAAGCTCGGTTAGAAGCAAGCTTTAGGGTGCAACTCTTTACAACTCCATTCCTTTACTAGTGTTTGTGTTTGTGTTTGTGTTTGTGCGCAGCGTGTGTATGTGACTACAGAGGCACGGCGGACAGGGTGTGCGATGCCGCAGGCCGCTGCCTGTGCCGTCAGGGTGTGGAAGGGGAGCGATGCGACCGCTGTCCATCGGGACGCCACTCCTTCCCCGACTGCCGGGGTGAGAAAGAGTCACCGGGCCACTGGGCATTCGGCGTGATTCATTTTGCCACGAGATGTTAATGTCAGATTCTGGAGCAGGTTCACTTCGAGCTGTTCAAGCTAAAGCCTTTTAACGGCAAGGATCCCTAAAATGACCCTCCTGAGACACCTGGACCAACAGAAATCTATTTATTCTCATCATCAGTGTCATTTTTTACGATAAGCATAAATCAGTGTTTTTACATGACTTCCAAACTAACTCTGTGTGGCTTCTCTGATGACCCTGCTCTCCTGTACGGATGCATGATTGATTATTTTGACTCTCAAGAGGAACAAGCAGTGTCTAACGGTGTAGCTCACAAACGCCACGCGTCTCTTCCTGCAGCGTGCGCCTGTGACGGGGCCGGCGGCGTGGCCGGCGGCGTTTGCGCTCCGAGTGGCCAGTGTGTTTGCCTTCCCAACTACACGGGCCGGGAGTGTGACCAATGTGCACCGGGCCACTACGGATACCCCGACTGTGCTGGTGAGTGGCCTTGATCCCTCAGCGTGACTATGACGGATCAACCGATCGGCCGCCCGGCGTCTGAGCGCCTGTGGAAAAAATGTGGCCGCTTGTTTCGCTGGGCTTATTGCGGCGTCGCGCTCCCACAGTTGTCATTTATTTATTAAAGTATTCTGCACGACACAAGCTTTTCAGAGTAGAGGAGCATGAGAAGTGTATGCACTTCCTTCTAGGGAATCACATTGCCGAGAATAGACGACTGGGAATCAGAGGGAAATCACGTTATGGAAGAAAAAACCCCCCACAGGGATCATTTTTAAACCTGTTTTCATACCAGAGTCAACGCTTGGATTTCTGATGACTTACTTCAGCGTGTTTCCGGTCCCCAGTGTGTCAGTGTTCACAGGGAGGCTCATACGGCAGCGTTTGCAACCCGGTGTCGGGTCAGTGTCTGTGTCTCCCGGGGCTGGTGGGTCAGCAGTGTGACCGCTGCGCCTCTGGACTCAGCTTCCCCGGGTGCTCAGGTAACTACATCCAAAGACGTCCTGCTTACGAATGAAGTCATATTGGGAGCATCCGAGGGACCAGCGGTATTTCATGTAGAAAGTTTTAGTATTGCAACATAAAGGTTTTATCAATTTCATGTGTAGATAGTTCTCCTTATTCGCTCTTAAAATACAAAGACATTTGCGCCACGTTTGATAATCCAATACAAAGAGTAACAGTACGTGTTCATGATCGACTCATGTATTTTACTTTGTTGTGAATTCATTTTGTGTTTCCAGGGCCCATCAACGTGTGTAACCCAGGAGGAACTGAGGTCATTGATCCTCAATCGGTATGCCCGTCCAAAAAAACATTTCTCTCTCTGCAGAAGCCCAACTCTGCCCATGGTTATATTTGGGTCTAATTCCAGCCCGGGGCCCTTTGGGTGTGGATTTACGTGACCTCACAGTTGTAGCACTGATAACACAGCCCTGCAGCTAATTTCACAAGCAATTGTTTTGCTCTGAAATGTAAACGCAATCAAACTAAAGGAAAAGAGACTTCCTTCCATTTTGGCAGAGGCAGAAAAACAAAGAGATTCTGGATGGTTTTCACCTGCTCTATTTTGGGACATGCGCTAGATTTGGAAGTAACGGCAATTTCGGAAAAACTGGCACTATGGTACAATATGCAGGCGTCTGATTTTAGACGTCTTTACAGGGCGCGTGTCGCTGTGTAGCAACCACAGAGGGAACCCTTTGCGACAGCTGTAAACCTCTGTACTGGAAACTGGCCACAGACAACTCTGGTGGATGTGTCGGTAAGTGACAGCAGCGCTGACGAGAGCAAACTGAAATCTATGGACTTTGTAGGAAAATAACTCAAGTGACTGTCAGCAAAGTGACTCGGTCTTATTTTTTTTGCTCAACGAGTATTAGTTGTGATCACTGAACACGTTTTGTTCCCAATCTGACAAGGCAGTCAGACTGATGGGGGTCCTGGCCCCTTTTTTCTCAGAGGATGTGTCAAATTTACCCCTGTCAACAAGGCCGGATCGGCCTTCCTGTCCCTCAGAAGGGAGCTGAGGAATAACACACAAATGCAGACTGAGTCCCGTTAACTGATTTCAGTGTGACTTTTCAGTAATGAGTACTGTATTTAAAACAATACCGCCCTCATCCCCCCCAACAGCTTCAGCCTATGTCCAGAATGTTGCCTTTACCGCACTACCGGACAAAAGAGCTTCCTCTGGTTGACTGGCCAGACATTGCGTTGAAAAGGAAGCCGTGAACCTCTGTTGGGCCTTTGACGTGCAGATCTGTAAAGATTGTGGGGTTTTTTGTGCCGTTCCGTTTTGCCCACGAACAAGACAAAATCATGCAATCAGAGTGTCTTTGCTGCACGTGCCCCTTTGTGCTTTCCTAACCACTGCCCCTCTCGCTGCGCGCGTCAGAGTGTCGCTGTGAGCTGAAGGGCACCCTGAGTGCCGTTGGAGAGTGTGAACAGGTGAGTTACTCGCAGTGACTGATTTTGTTTTTACAGTTGTTGTTATATTTATTTGGTTTGTCTCTTAATCTCATGATTATCTGTTTGTTTAGAAAGGCGGCCAGTGTCACTGTAAGCCCAACGCATGTGGGCATGCATGTGAAACCTGTAAGGACGGATACTTCCTGTTGCAGAAAAAAGACTATTTTGGTTGTCAAGGTAAGTTACCCTCCTTCACCACGTCTCTCTTACATATTATGTTCTTTTAAACGATGTTACTTTAGCAGATTATCACATAAGGAGCAATGAATGAACATGCAGGCTGTCAACCCTCAACACTCTACCGAAGGTTTCAATGGGCGAAACCAGCAAACCTCCAGTGGTTTATTAGCCTGTTGCAGTTCTATTCAGAGAATACAGTATATAACTTTCGTCCAGAGAGGGTGGATGAACTACTAAAGTAGTGACTTTTTCATGCCTCACAGGTTGTCAGTGTGATCTGGGCGGTGCCATCGACACGGCGTGCGATGAGATGTCCGGACAGTGTCGGTGTCAGAAGAACGTACTTGGCCTTAAATGCACCGAGTAAGATGGGGCCGACTTGAATGTCACAGGGCGTTATGGTACCTTCAGTTTCAGTCTCTGTTGTTGGCTGCAGTCAAGAAATTTATTCGGCTGCTGTGTGTTTTGGGGGATGAGGAGTACAACTCGCCGCTTGAACTCGACTAGGCTAGAAAAAAGAGGTTTCGGATATCTGTTCTCGCTGTAAGAGGAAGACGGATTCAACACCTACATGGTTTATTCCTCACAACATGTTTCGGTCACGAAGATTTTTCAAATGAGGTGGTCGTGTTTACAATCCAGGAGCACGAGTGAAAGCGGTCGTACAATCACGTAACAGGCCGTTAGGAAAGCAGAGCGACCCCTCGCGGTCAAACACCTGCGCACCTTTAGGATTTGGGCATTAACGAACACGCACTGTTTCCCTTTTTAAATCAAACGTTCATGCATCCTGTTAGTCCAGCACCGAGCTACTACTTCCCCACTCTTCACCAACTGAGGTTTGAGGTCGAGGACGGGACGACGCCGAATGCCAGACCGGTGCGCTTTGGTTACAACCCCCAAGAGTTCCCAGATTTCAGCTGGAGAGGTTACGCCGTAATGTCCCCTGCACAGGTCAGTAGGTCTTCGGGACCTCCATGTATTTGATACACTGGTTCTTCTTATGAATTACGCTATTGCCATTTTAGCGCCTCTCTGCCACTTCAATAACCCTATAGCTTTCTTTTTCTCATCTCTCTGACGCCACTATGATTGTTTTGCTCTTACCTCTGCGCTCATTTCGCTGATTCAGCACACAGCCTCCCATCATATGAGAGCTGATTGTGGACGCCGGCTCTCTTAGAACTAACACTATCTCTCTTCAGCCGGAGGTGATCCTAAAGCTTACCCTGGCCTCTGCTGGCCCTTTCCATGTTGTAATGCGCTACTCCGTCCCCCAAAGAAAGGGGAGGGTCCGCGTAAGGGCAAGGATCCTGGTGGTGGACGAAGCCGGCTCTCAGTCCTGCTGTGACTGTAAGTGAAGGGCCTGCCAATCCTTTGGCTGTGTGTTTCACTGCTCACCTCGCTTGCTGTCGGCCGGTTAACCCGCACTGTTTGCTTAAGTTCGCTGCCCACCTGACATGATTTTTTTCTTTATTTTTTACGTTTCTCATAACACACTAATCGCTACTCAGGCCGTCAGCTACGTGTCATTCTCGCCCCTGCAGAGTGAAGTCAGAGTAACAGTGAACGTTGAGCGTAAAGACGAGAGGCAGCACTTGTTCCGCGTGGTTCTGCGTTTCACTAACCCGACCAGCGCCGGTGTGAGCGGTAGCATCGCGGCTACCAATAACAGAGGCGCTGCAGGTGAGGCCGCCTCAGCCCCTTGCATCTCACAAACACCTCATGTCATCCGATCTAACTTATGGTTGATGAAATACAACAAATAACCCATGTGTAAGTCGTGTATATGGACATGAGGTGCCTTCTGCTGATGATGTTCCTCCCGTCATCTGTAATACAGAGATTTCTGCTTTTCTTTAAATTCAGGGTCAGACCAGAGTACGGAAGTGATATTCCCAAGGAGTCCCTCCCCATCTTTCCTCACCGTCCCCGGGGAGGGCTTCGCTGAGCCCTTCACGTTGACCCCGGGGACCTGGGTCGTTCACATCAGGGCAGAGGGCGTTCTGCTGGTGAGCTCATGGTAGAAGATGTGCAGGATTCCACTCTGAGCATCACAGACTTAAAGGTTGTTGCTCTGCGTCTCTCCAGGACTATTTAGTGCTGCTGCCACGGGATTACTATGAGGCACCTTTGCTGCAGGAGAAGATCAGCCGGCCCTGCACATACTTACCCACCGCAAACAAGGATGCAAAGTAACATTTTAACATTTCTCCTCAGTCATTTTGGAAAGTGTTTATACACTAATGCATGACAAGGGTCGGTGTAGTTTCTGCATCCATTGTGTCCTTCACACTGCACACACAAAGCTCTGGGTTTTTACATATACATTTATTGGCTTAGTCTCTTTACATAACATGATCCCAGGTAAGTCTATAATGACGCCTGTGAGGGCTTAGCTTGTGCAGGAGTTTTTTCATGTCTATAATGCATCATAATATACAGATGTTTTGCTCTATGCCAAAGTGTAAGAAAAGAAATCCCATAATTGTTTAGTGCATTAACAGCACGTATGCAAGATCAAAAAAGACCTCGCATCAACTTGCATACTAAGCGATGTTCTAAAGATGTGCGAGACCTCTACATCTACTAAAACTGGAGGATCATGTGACCACCTATCGTCGTTCTTGCCGACTCAGCCCGTGCGTGTGTGTCTCCGCCTCAGCTGCCTGTTGTATAAGCATGTGGACATGGACCGCTTCAGCTCCGCACTGGCCTCACAAGGAAAACTCACCAGCCACGGCGGGCGCCGGAGGAGGCTGGCCCGCGTGCGCCGGCTCACCCCGGATCACCCTCAGATGGCCGCTCTGTACGGCAGACAGGTACGTAGGAACTCCAACCCGCCTCGATGTCCCGTTTGGTTTCAATACGGTTCCATGAATCATGAGAGTAGGTTGAGAACACAGCAATAAAATAGCTTCAAACAAGGTTATAAAATATCTTCTTAGCTCCTGTTTCAAAGTACAGAATAATAGGAGATGATTACGCCTTTGGCGTCGTGACCGTGGAACTGCTTTGCGTTTAGTGATGACAAAACCTTTTATGTCACGAGTGGAACATGCGTTATTTTACTAATTAGGGTTAGGGGTTAGGACTTCATTCCTTCGTTTGCTCTGTGTCACGTAGTCGCAGCTCCAGGTGGGTCTGCGCGTGCCGCGTCCCGGCCCGTACGCCCTCGTCCTGGAGTACCCCAGCGAGGTGGACGCCGTCCAGAATGTCAACATAGTCATCAGGGACCCGTCAGGTGACCAGATCCCAGCCAGGGCCAACATTTACAGTTGTGCCCTCAGGTGAGTCCGTTTGTTTGGGGTTTGTTGCTTCCGTCTTCGCGGCGCGATAACGTTTTGTGTAACTTTCGTGTGTCTTGTGCGCGTTGCAGCTTCTTGTGCCGGAGCGTCGCAGTGGACGGCAGCGACCGGGTGGCCGCGTTCCAGCTCTCTCACAAGACGGAGATACTTCTGCAGACTTCCACCGCGTCACTCCTTTTGGTGAGGGAGGTGTTTCCACCACCCGTTCACCGGAGCTACATATCTAGACCACAGCGTGCAGTTTCAAATACTTTTGTTTCTTCCTTAGTATAAAGTTTACGCGGTTCCTGCAGAGGAGTTCTCCATTGACTACGTAGACCCTAAAGTGCTGTGTGTCTCCACTGATGGCCGCTTCACTGAGGACAGGTAGGTCACCTCCAATGGGCCCCGTTCACATTGATCACGCAGGAATGCAAGCTGTGATCTAAGGGACCTGCTGCTACTCCACATAAGAACGCTGGAGACACTTCTGTTTTCCAGGTGTGAGGACACACGGTCCTGAGGTTGCGTAAGGCCGTTTACCTGAGGCTGAACTTTGTGTCGAACCCTCTATTCACTCTGTCACCCTGAATTTACTGTCTGGGTCAGATGTTCGGGTTACGTACGTGTCCACAGCTGTCCTTTCATTTACTCTGTAATGACAGAAAACCATTAACTCTTGTCTGTTTGGTGCCTTTAATTGCTTTTATGTAAATATATACACAACAAACTTACTGCATTTTCAGAATATTTAGCACAGAGCAAAAACAGTGAACATGTTAGTGTCTATTAGTTTGTGATGTCAAGATTATTGCAATCAATGAGAGAGAAAGATTATTGTAGATTGTGGATGTTCTGTTGACCCTGGTGCCTTTATGCTAAAATAACACTTGCCAAACACTATCAACAGGCTCCAAGTGTCAACGTCTTGTCGCTGTTTACTGTTTCCAGTCGGTACTGCGTTCTGCGGCAATTCGACAAGCCGACCTCAGCCGAGATTTTAGATGCTGCCCGCGATGGACAGCTGTCTCCAGCACCAGCCGTTTCTCGCCAAAGAGAAGAGGATGAGGATTGGAGAACGAGACGACAGATCGGCGCGTTCACCGTCCCAGAGCCTCACAGTGATGGGATACTGCTCAAATTCCCTCAGGTGAAAAGCCGGTTGAATAATCGGACTCTTTAGTGGACTTTTGGAGGCTAAAGCTTCCTCTTTTTTCCAGACGGAGATCAGTTTCACCCCAGAGGTGCCTCTCCCGGGCACATATGTGGTTGTGGTCCATTATCACCAGCGTGAACATACCTCCTTCCCCGTCGAGGTCCTGGTGGACGCAGAGCGGCAGTGGAAGGGTGAGTGCAAGTTAAATTAAAGAAAATGTAAGAGTTCACGAGGGAGTTAAGGAGCACACTAAGTCCCGGTCTGAGACGGATTGTTGTGCAGCGATTCTTCCTCTTTCAATTTCAACTCTGCTTTTCTCCTGCAGGTTGGATGAACGCGTCGTTCTGCCCCGCCGTCTCAGGCTGCAGGGAGGTCGTGGTCGCTGACGGGCGCATCGCCTTCCACTTTGACCACAGTTCTGGGCAGCGGCCCAGCGTCTCTCTCATCGTGCCACACGAGAACACACTTATTCTGGTCGGTTGTCGAGTTATGTTCATGCCGGCACATTAAATGAGACCTAAATGGTAGAAAAGGAAAACATAAAGTTGGACATACTTCCGGTGTGAGGAGGGGCTTGTGTTTGGTACTGTAGGTGGTCTCCGTGGCATTGTGACGTGCTGCCTCCCCGGTGTGTATCCCACCTGGCAGCCACACACGGCTTCCTTAAAGCTAAAAGCTGAGCTGCCGACCTCTGTTGGGCAGGTTGGGCTTTGCTTGCCTGTTGTTCCCTTTCCTTCCGTCGGTTAAATGAAGCATAGAAGATGTGGCTGAAAGGCTTGAAGTCCTCATATATATGTTCCTCCTACACCCTGCTGAAAACAAAAGTGAGATTGTGGGTTCTTATCATTTCTCGTGCTTTGTGTCTTTTGTGTAGGATTATGTCTTGTTGGTTCCCGATAGCAGTTACACCCCAGATCTCTTGAAAGAGAAGCTGCTGGATAAATCTGCAGATTTCATACAGCAGTGTAGAGGAGACGGGTTCTATATTGAGTAAGTATCCACCGTGTGTTTAAAACAAGCAGTGGACGCGAAAAATGTACTTCTGAAAGTACAAAAAAACGCACTAGTTGCACATCGATGTACAGCAGAGTGGAAGTTTTAGGAAATGGTGCCCTCTGGCTGCAATAATAGAGGATGCAACCACGTCTGTAAAAACCTCGTTTGTTTGATCCTTTATCTCGTCCCATCAGCCGGAGAACATCTCCTCAGTTCTGCAGAGACTCCGCCCGCTCGCTGGTGGCGGCTTATAACGGCGGAGCGCTGCCTTGCAACTGCGACGAGTCCGGCTCTACTGAGACCACTTGTGAGCCAGTCGGAGGACAGTGTCCCTGCAGGCGGCATGTCATCGGTCGACGGTGCACAAAGTGCACCACGGGATACTACGGCTTCCCCCACTGCAGACGTGAGTGGAAGCTGACTTCCCACTTGGCGCTGGCCAGAATGTCCACGTGGTTTGAAGTGAACTCAAAGGCCCTGTGCCCCTCCTGCAGCGTGCGAATGTGGCCGTCGGCTCTGTGACGAGGTGACGGGACGCTGCATCTGCCCCCCTCAGACAGTCAAACCCTCCTGCGACGTGTGCCAGGGTCAGACCTTCAGCTATCACCCGTTGGCGGGCTGCGAGGGCTGTGCGTGCTCCCCGAGCGGCGTGGAAACCAACGCCGCGCTGGACTGTGACCTCGTCACCGGACAGTGCAGGCGAGTGGAAACCTACTTAACCGTGTACACTGCGTTCTGCACACTACGACTGTGTTTTCTGTGCATTAAAGCAAAGACACGATTAAAACAGCTTTTGCCATGTTGCCGAGAAAGTCGATTTTACTTTTGGCTACACCACTGAGGGAAGGAAATTAGGAAACCATAGAAACGTCAGATATGTAGTTATGACTCTGCATACTTATGAATGATGTTCGGTTTAATATAATTTCCGTATGGTTATTATTAGAATTATTCATAAGTATGCAGTGACATAAATACATCTCTGTACAGGGAGGGGATTTCAACATGCAGCAGTTCTCGATGTAGATTTGTAAAGGGAAAACCTATTTTATGACATTATTTTATTTTTTACAACATAACATAATTATTTATATTATGTCATAACTACATCTCTGACGTTTATAATGAACCAAACCGTTTAAAAATCTGTTTAGGTTAAATTTAGGTTATGGTTATTTAAAAAGTACACGTATCACTACCAACACAAAGTTATGAGCCAACGCGGACGAGACATCTAGCCTTTATATATATATATATATATATATATATATATATATATATATATATATATATATATATATATTATTTATATATATATATATACACATATATATATATATATATATTTATATATATATATATATATATATAATATGTATGTATATTATATAATATGTATATATATATTATGAAAGAAACAATGTTGCTGTCTATTCCTGTAGTTTGTTCCTCACTTATCCGGCCTAATAAATGTATGAGGCACATCCAGAATCCGCCTGAAGATATTGATGTTTTTCTGTAGTTGCAAGCCGAGGGTTGGCGGCCGGCGGTGTGATCGCTGTGCTGCAGGTTACTATCGCTTCCCCGACTGTGTACCATGCAACTGTAACCGGGGAGGCGTCACAAGTGACATCTGTGACCCGGACACAGGAAGGTGTCTCTGCAAGGTGAGTTCATTCGTCAGCACTCCCTCCGGCTCATTGGTGTCCATTTACCTTCTCTCGCTCTGACTTTCCCTCCATCACGACTGCCGTGTCTGTAGAGGAACGTTGCCGGCGTCAAGTGTGATGCCTGTCGGGAAGGTTCCTTCTTTTTTGACCGCTCCAACCGCCACGGCTGCACCGGGTGCTTCTGCTTCGGAGCGACTGACCGGTGTCAGAGCTCCAGCAAACGCAGGGGGAAGGTGTGTTTTCCTTTTCGTGCCCCTGCACGTCTATGAATGCCTTTGGAAATGTTCCGCCTGCAGAGCTTTCTCGCTGATGGCGGTAATGCGGTGAACGTCATTTTTGTTCACGCTGTTGCATTTGTCTCGTGGGCTCATTTCATGGGATTCTGTGTACATTCTGTGGCGGTTTGTGTGTGATATTATGTGTAGATGACGTTAAAAGCCCACGCGGTCTGTGATCCCTTGTGTGTCGTGAACAGTTTAGGGATGGAGCGTTCACTTTAACCCGAGAAATGTTCCCCGTTATAAGTTTGTTGAGATGAAGGTCTGGCGCTTGGAACGCGCCGACCAGGAGGAGGTCCCGTCTGTGCTGAACACAGCCAGCGAGACAGTGGTGGCAGACGTCCAGGAGCTTCCTCCAACAGTTCAAACGCTGTACTGGGTTGCACCATCACCCTACCTGGGGGACAGGGTGAGTTACTGGGGGGAGACAACACCAGGGCCACAGGGTCTCATCTTCATTTCACTTTTCTGTCATTTAATTGACTCGTCAGTAATGAGTGGAAGGGACTTACCCGTGTTGCATGTGGACCCAGCGTTTCAGCCCAGTAGAACCATGTAATGGAAATATTAGTTCAGCCTCACTTGCACTGTGCCTATTGTTTTATTAAACCTTTTATTCAGTCTCTGGCCTCATATTCTTTTTATGGACCAATCTTAGATTGGTAGATAAAGTCCTTTCATGTCAGATAGGAATTACGACTTTCATGTATAACTTCATAACTTTCTCTTTGTTCATGTATTCTTTTAAGCGAATGTCTTTGCCCTGACGGATATTTGGGCTTTTCCCCTCTCAGGTTTCGTCTTATGGTGGATTCCTCACCTACCAGTCCAAGTCCTTTGGGATCCCTAGTGAGGGGATGACCCTCATGGACAGGAGACCTGATGTCGTGCTAACTGTGTGTATTGCTGCTTCACTCTTAGACCTCAGCTTGTTTTGCACAGCTTATTTATCAGAGATTTATCTTGTTATTTTTCCCCCAAGGGACAAGATATGACTCTGATCCACTTGGCACCGCAAATCCCACATCCTGACAAGCTGTATCAGGGCAGAGTCCAGCTCTTGGAGGTAAAGTACAAAATAGTTTTACCTTTTTAATGCTTTTTTTTACTTGTGCACAATATAATCCACCACTAAACTGGGACGTGAAACGGAGCACATGATATAAAAGTATTAGAAGAATATGAAGCGCACACTGCTGATTAAAAATAAATCTAAGAGCCCTTTGTAGGTCCTATTTGTAGACTCCTTGGGAATCAAACTATTACTGTTGTGAAAACCTCTATGAATGTCAAACGCAGGAAGGGTTCATCTTCTGAGGAGTGTAAATGTGCTTTTCAGAGTTCACAGAAATGTGCTTTTGGATTCTCCTATTTTAAAAAAAATTCTGATAATATTGTCCGGGGGGGTTGAAGTCCCCAAAGCCATTAAGTTCATCCTCAAATACTAAATACCTATCTCTCCGCATCAATCTCAAAATAACTGATCTGTGGCCTGCAGGGAAACTGGCGTCATGCTGTCACCAACAGGCCGGTGTCCAGAGAGGAGCTGATGATGGTCCTAGCCCGTCTGGTCGGCCTGAGAATCCGAGCCTTGTACTTTACTCAGAGCCAGCGACTCAGCTTGGGAGAGGTGGGCCTGGAGGGCCTGAGCAACACGGGGACCGGTGGTCCCGGAAACGCTGTGGAAGATTGTTCCTGTCCCCCTCAGAACACCGGAGACTCCTGTGAGGTGAGAGGAACCTGTTGAATATCCTTCTATCCTGCTTTGTCTTTATTGTCTTTATTCTTGCTTGAATAAAAATGGTGTAAAAGTGTGTAGAAAATGTTAGAAGGTTTTATGATCAACTTGTGTCTTTCATTAAATCAAATAATAGTACATACTGAACCATTTTTGAGGGTCCGAGAAGCAGTAGAGACACCAGACAGGGTGCCGCACCGTGTTGATTGAATTCCCCTCTTGTCATCTTCGAGGAGCCGGAGGTCCCCCTTATGTTTGTGAGGGTGTTCTGACACGCCTGAATCACAGTCCGCACCCTTTGTGTAGAGAAAAGCGGAGCAGCCTTGGATGTGATGTACAGGAAAATAGCAGCCGAAGGGCTTCGGGGTAGGATTGGGTCATAGAAACTAGTAGTGGAATCAACCAAGATGCCAAGGAATACATATTTACTTTAATTAATATGTCTGAGCCTGTCAGATCTAATCTGTATGCAGGTGATTTGCCCGTAGTGGCTAATTAAATAGGAGATTCATTAAATACTTTATTAGTGAAACGATAAGGAGATTCCTTCCTATTGCTAAGACTGTTGTTGCCATAGCTGTGGTTACCTGCCTTTGTATTTATGAGCAACAGCCTGATCGGGAGTGTTAAAAGGAAGTTGATTAAATGCGCCCAGAGGCGGTATGACAGCGCGCCTTACCTTGACACACGGGGCGCGGCCGGTAGGAACACATTTATCATAAACCTAAGTGCACCAACAGTATATGTGTGTGTGTGTGTGTGTGTGTCAGTGCGCCCGACACGCCTAGTTGTGTCTGTCGAGTGTTTGAGGAGTGTGATGCAGGTGTGAGTTTTTGTCTGCACGGCCTCAGGATGTCTGACTTTCATATCAGTCACAAATGTTTGGACCAAAAAATGACGAACCACACGCACGCACACTAAAACAACAACAACAACACTTAGTGAAATCATTCTGTAAAACTGAATTATTTAAAGAATCCTAAGCTTTGCTTACTTTTTCAATCACTGCACAGAAGCATTTACAATATTTTGCCATTTGCTTTTCTCTATTCGTGAATCCGCTATTAGCCCTCTGTGCTAAGTGTGTGTGTGTGTGTGTGTGCACGCGCATGTATGTTTGTGACTGTTTTGTGTGCGCGCGCACACGTCTAAAGGAAAGATAGAGCACTTACATGTGCGTGCTTGCATACGCTCATGTCGATCTGCAGACTGAGTCAGGAGGGATCTGGGGCGTGTTCTCTTTGTGTGCGTGTGATTGGGTTGGTTTAAGAGGCTGAGGCAGGGGAGAGTGGAGCGTTACTTCACACACACTAGACGCTGAGAATGTCAGACGAGCGTATGGACAGACGGCGGTGCGCGGGGGTTTTGTTCCAGACCGCGCTGTGGTGGGCTTTGATCGGACTTTGCTGCGCCGGCCCCCGGCCCGCAGGGAGAGGGCAGCGACCCCGCTACGCCAGGCACCATGACAGATGGTTTCAAGGGCCACAGATCCCTTCACCTCCCGGCCGGGGGAGTCAGCGGATAGAGTTTCCATCGGTGAGCGATGGAGGTGCCCAGCGGGTACGCTACCCCTACGTGAATGACGGACAGGCGGTTCGCTATCCTTCTGTCAATGACAGCGGTGCAAGTTCTCAGATTCAGGTAAACGCCTGTGAAGATGTCATGCGTCGTGTCGTTGCTGTAGGTTGAACTTCTCAGCCTATCAGCTGTGGATTGTTGGTGACTTTAGGATTGTTATCTCTGAAAGCAAAGGGCGCGCTGGGTGTTAATTTTTAATGAAATGCCGCTCAGGTCAAGTTCAGGGCTTCACATCACAGCCAACTGTCCTCATGGAAACACTGTTATGTTTAGGCAAATTACAACAGATGCTGTAATTATAGGTTATGGGTTTCGTCTGTAAATGAGCTGGGCTGGTTTGTTGTCTATAATGAATTAAAAGACTTTTGCATAATTACGGTGAACACCTTAGTTTTTTAGACATCAATCTACTCAAAACAGACACATTCCAGTCTGATTATTTAATCTTAATGAACAAGATCTCTCTATTAAACTGTATGTATATGTAGAATTAAGTCCTGAGGTTTCCTTTGAATGCAGATGAGCGTACCCAGTGGTACGTCGGGATGTATTGCTTGTCATTTCCTGTTGGGATATTATGTCTTTACATGTTTGTGGTTTCTTTTCAGAAATGTGCTCCTGGTTACTACAGAGATCGCAGTGGCCCTTTCCTGGGCCGCTGTGTGCCCTGTGAGTGCAACGGCCTGTCCGATGAGTGCGAAGAGCGGACGGGGAGGTGCCTGGTAAGTGGAGTACCTCCACCGTGAGTCAAAATTCATCACGGTCTGGACCTGCCATCTTCAGCGTACATCTGTGGACCGTGTTTCAGTCCGGATCCCAACCCCAACCCCTGACCCCTGACCCCTAACTCTCATCCAGTATGAGATAGGATGAGATAGTCCTTTTATGAATCGTTCTCCATCCTCGATGGGTGGACAAGCCTTTACTCATTTCAAAATCTCGGCTGTCTGTTGTGTTATGTTATGAAAGACACTCAAGACCGGGCCTGTGTGCACAATGCACGCATGGATCCACACCCTGGAAGCTCAAAGCCGTATGGACACAAGTGGCTGAATAGAATCACTCTTACGCTGTCCACACACTCTTTGATTGATTGTTTCTCTTTGCCCTTAGACGTTTGCATTCCTCCATGTGATAAAATACTTCTTTTTTTAATCCATATAAAAGTGTTTTTCATAATCTGTCATCCTCCACATACACTTTGTGGTTTAATGGATACATTATGTGATTTTAAGGGCTGTCAGTACAACGCGGCCGGGGACCGGTGTGAACGCTGCAAAGAAGGTTACTATGGAAACGCGGCTCAGAGGACGTGCAGAGTTTGCCCGTGCCCATTCAGATCGCCTTCAAACAGGTGGGGGGGAAAAATACCTAAATCCAAACGGCTGCACTATAAGTAAATGTAAACCTGTGTTTCAAGAGATAAACCATGATCTCGATCTGCAGTTTTGCAATAGGTTGTAAAGAAGTATTCGGCGACTTTGAGTGTGTTTGCAGAGCGGGCTACACCGGAGACAAGTGTGAGAGGTGAGCGTCTGTGCGGATTTTGAAATTCTGTGCAAATACTGGGATTTTTCTTGCACTCTAGGCTTACACATTTCTCCGTCTAACTTATTTCTCTTTTCCACAGTTGTGCTCCTGGTTACTATGGTGACCCATCGACACGAGGAGGAAGTTGTCGGCCGTGTAAATGCAATGGAAATGGAAACTACTGTGATCACAGGACTGGAGGTTAGCTTGTGCACTGCCCTTTCATTTCATTCTCGTACACGTCATTCCAACTCAATCTGTTTTTTTTACCCTTTTACTTCTAGCCTCTAATTAAGATTTAAATTGTTTGTTATACAATGTTTTCATTGTTTTTTTTTCCAGTTTGCAAGAACACACTGGAGCCAGAAGACACAAACACAGAAGGGCCCTGCCAAGGTGAATTACCACGACATTGAGGTCTGACTCTCTGACATGGAGGAATGGGTTTTAGTTACGAGACAATTTCCCGCTGGAACAGACACGCAAAAAGGAATGCAAAAGGCGCGCCTACCTCTCCTGCATGGAAGCAGGACCCACGCGCTTTGCAGCCAAATCAATGTGTCTCCTATAGTTGTTTTGTGTCACTGTAATTGATTTTTATCTTTTTTTATATTTCTTGCTCAGCTTACTTGTTGCTCCCAGTATTTTTGAGTGACATTTTGTGCCTGAAGCCCGGGGGGGTCGGGAACCCATCCGCGCGTTTTAAAGTACAATCCCTTGCCAATCCAACACTTGTTTGTGTTCTAGAGTGCGATAACTGTGCCCAGACGTTGCTAAATGATCTGGAGAAGCTGGATGATGAGCTGCGCAGGATCAAGACTCAACTGGACAACGCCAGTGCCAGCGCCACATCGCAGGACAGCCTGAAGAAGCTGGAGAAGGCTGTGGCAGACACCAAGGTAACGCGTCGGTGTACTGTGACGCAAAAGGCCACAGAAAGGGCAGAATACTTTTAGGTGTTCATAGACTAGGTGTAGGCCAAATCCAGATCACAGGGTCACAAGGACGATGAGAACCATTTCCTCTTAATTGCTTTGGTACGTCGTGTCTGTTTCTCACACAGACATGCGCACAAATGCACACACAAGTAAACACACACAGACATGGTGGCACAGTGCTTGTTCAAACATCCCAGGAATCCCAGTTACTGACTAGATGGATGCCCCTGCTTGTCAAGTGTGTTGTTCTGGAATTTTCTTTTTTTTTAAAGATGCACAAGTGAATAAACGATTGGCAAGCAGCCGTTATCGGCCTGGAGCTTCAGCGCTCCACCAACGACATCTGAGCATTCCTCCGCGCAGCTTCATTTACATTTCTGCTGCTGTGCCTTCTGCAGATGCTTGTGAACAGATACAGCTCCGCCATCAACGCCCAGAAGTCCAGAGCCAACCAGCTGGAAGAGGACGTCAGCAATCTCACAGATGACATCAGCACCCTCAGAGAGAAGGTAGATCGATGGAGATAAGACCCACTGTCATGTGTTATTAAAATACCAACGTGTGATAAAACGTGTGACAACGTGGATACACGTGTTTTTTTGTTCTATATTTTAGGCAGATAAGAGTGCTGCTCAAGCGGACAAGGCTGTGGCAGATGTTGCAAACACCCAGAAGAGAGCTAAAGTTCTGGACTCGGAGATTGAAAAAATGCTGGAGAAAATCCAAGGTAAGGGGAACCTAAGACTACCCGCTCTGTCTTTTTGTATTGTAATCTACTTTCTTTTGGCGTAATTTCTTTGGTTTTCTGCGTTTATATTTGGTTCACTTTATGTAGTTAATCACAAGTGGTATCATACTATAGCCTCCAACCCGATGACTGAGGAGTGTGTTCTTTTCTGTGTGTGTTTGAAGCTCTGCTGGACCAACTGAAGGACGCAGGAACAGGTGGCGATGTGCTGCCCAATGAAAACCTGGCTAGTCTGCTAGAAGAGGCTGAGCGCCTGGTAAAGGAGATGAAGGACAGGAACTTCACCCCTCAGAAGACAGCTGCTGAGCAAGAAAGAGACAAGGCTGAGAAACGTACAATATTTAGTCCCTACTTCAGTAACATCTTTGTTGTTGTTGGAAACATGTCACATGAGCTACTCTTTTCCATTTTCTAGTGCTCGACTTCATCAAGGCTAATGTTAGTAAGCAGTACGACCAGAACGAGGCTGCAGCAGAAAAGCTTCGGGGCCTTCTGAAGAATTATGAGGCCAAGGTGAAGGACCTGGAAAAGGCTCTAAAAGAGGCGGGGGACTTGCTGAAAAAAGCCAACACCCAGAATGGGCTTAGTGCTCAGGCACTGGAAGATCTGAAGGTAGTTCAAGTCATCTGGTTAATCACTTGTAAGAAACACGAGGGCTTGTTGATTTGCTCAGCACTCATTGCATAGTTATTAATAAGTGAAAGGTGTAAAAATGTGCTGTGCTCTGCAGAAACGTATTAAAGGCTTAGAAATGGAGCGGGACACCGTTAAGGACCAAATGACCATGGCAGAAAAGGAGCTGCAGAAAGCAGAAGATTTGGCCGAAATGCTATCTGACAGCAAAACGGTACGTTTGTGAAACGCTAACGTGCATGTGCTGTACCCGAAGACACACTGACACTGCCGTAGTCGTGTTTCACAAAAATTCCTGTCAGGTCCCAACATGCCGTCTGCTCAGATAAACATCCCTGTTTTTTGCTCCCCTTTCAAATTGGTATTTGTTACAAATAAATTGCACCCATTCACCTTTTCCTCTGTAGGAATATGAACAGCTGGCAGCACAGATGGATGGTGCCAAGACTGACTTGACCAAGAAGGTGAATGAGATTACCAAGGCAGCTTCTAAGAAGGACCTTGTGGAGGCTGCAGAGGAACATGCAAAGAACCTGGCAAAGCTGGCAAAGGAACTTGAGAAGTAAGTTCTTTAAACATGCAATCCTGACACACTGTGACTATCGTAACCCTGAAGTCCATTGAATGGATTTTAAACAAGCACTTGGTGGTGCATGCAATTCAAGCGTAGTGTGTAATTTGCGTGTGCTCGCCATGTTCCCCTTGTCATCCTGTATGACAGTGCTGTTGCAAACGCAAGTGGACAGACTGAGGTTCGGAACGCCAAAGACGCTATTGACGCCTACAGGAACATCACAGATGCGATTAATGCTGCTGAGGCTGCAGCCAAAGAGGCCAAAAGTGCATCAGACAGCGCCCTGAACGTAAGCCACAGACAGAATGAGTGAAAATATTTTAGTGTATTGTTTCACTTTTTCATACAATAGTTTTTTTTTTTCCTTTAGAATTTAAAAAAAGAACAGCTCACAGTAAGAGCGAAAGACCTGAAAGACACCAGCGAGGACCTACTGAAGGATGCGCAGGAGGCAGAGACAGACCTCCAAGGTATTCAACTCTACAGTTAAACTGTTGTTTTTTAAGAATAAGCCAAATTGATTGACTGATTCCTGTTTTTACGTAAAAGACTCTGCGGACGACATTAACGACGTAAAGAACCGCCTGAACGACGCTGGGAAGAAGAAGACTGCTCTTGAGAAAGACCTGAATTATGCACAGAACCAACTAGATAACATCAACACAGGTAAAACTAGTCAAAGCATTTTGCCAGGATGTGTATTACCAGGGTTCATATTTCTCCTAATCACAAATTTCGTCCAATCAGATGACATCAGCGCCACCATCAATGAAGCCAAGAGGAAGGCAGCTTTAGCAAATAACAGCGCTACCGTCACTATGGACAGACTGAATGCCATCAATGGGGAACTTAAGAATATCAAAGCCACTCCTGTCGACTCCAACCTGAACAATGTGCTGAATGACGTGGACGAGACGGGTAGGGCGGCGCTTCATTGTTTTGGTACATTACATAGTCTGTAAAAAGTAAAGTACTGCATTTTTTCGCTTATTTTCTCTACTTCCAGTGAAGAACTTGCTGAAAACCATCCCGTCTTTGGATGCTAAGCTATCAGAGATGGAGAACCTGACATCGGAGTTCCCCCCAATGAGCAACATATCCGAGAACATCAAGAAGATAAAGGACCTCATCGAACAAGCCCGGGACGCCGCCAACAGGGTGAGGCCCCACTCACGCATCCACCACCGCGTTCCAAATCAAACCAATCTGTCCTCTATTTGTTCCTTCATGGGTCCATCCCCCTTTTGTGTGTTTTCTCCAGATTGGGATCCCCATGATGTTTAAGGGCAACAGCCACGTGGAGCTGCGTGCACCAAAGAACCTGGAGGATCTGAAGGCCTACACGGGCCTGTCCCTGTCGCTGCAGAGGCCGCAGGGCCGGGGTGACGGAAGACGTCGACGCAGACAGGCCAACAACGGGGACATGTTTGTGTTGTACCTTGGCAATAGAGACGTGAGTGACTCCCAAGTGCATGTGAATAGATAAACACACAGCATTTAATGTGCAATGATTGCACACAAAGGCGTTAACAAACTGTGTCTCGTAGTCTTCTAAGAACTACATTGGCATGGTCCTGAGGAACGAAGTGCTGTTCGGTGTGTACAAGCTCAACGGAGTGGAGTACGAGATGGAAACGGGTGTCATCACCAAGTCCGTATCTGTGCCGGCCAAGTTCGATCAGGTGGACCTACGCAGGTAAACCGCATAATTCTCGGGTAACATGCACGTTCATATAGTTTTCTCCTGTGCCAGTTTTTCAAATTTTTCTGTGCACGCAATGTAAAGCGTCAATATCGTAGAACCTTCTGTTTTTAGGTTTGTTTTATAACATCTGCCTCTGTGCCCTCTCCCGTATCAAATGAACCAATGAAATAAAGGTTGTTAATGTGAATATTTTTTCCCTCTTCCAATTTAGGATTTACCAAGATGCAAAAATGACCCTCGCCAAATTTTCCAACTCGAAACTAAGTTTTGCGCCAATTACCGCCGAAAGGCAAGGAGTGGAGAACAAGAACCTCCTGGACCTCAGTCCCAGTGATGTGGTTTTCTATGTCGGAGGCTACCCAGACAGCTTCACTGTGAGCAACCAGGAAGATTGTATACATGTCTTTACTTTCAACTAGCATGGGTTTTATTAATATGTTTCTCTGTTTTGCTTTTGCTCAGCCGCCAGCGTCTCTCAAGTACCCCAAGTACGAGGGCTGCATTGAGTTCTCTTCTGTCAATGACAAGGTCATCAGCCTCTACAACTTCCAAAAGGCAGTGGGGATTAATCCGGAGCCTCCATGCAAGAGGTACGACCTAGTCCTGAACAGAAAAGAGAACATTCTTACAATCTTACAGATTGTTGAAGTGATAGACAAAGGCTGTCTGTCTTTTTGAAATAGAATTTCCTGACTTTTTCTCCCCTCTTTTCAGATACGTACCTCCAACGGATTCTGAATTCTATCAAGGCACTGGATATGGAAAGGTTTTAATAGACGGAACCATTCCGGCCCTTATCATCAATATGTTCATCTCTTCTCGTTCGTCAAACGGTCTGCTGTTATTCATCCAAAGTGAGGTAAATCACTGTTTTTGGTATCTTTTTTTTTTCAAATTAATTTTAAGTCAAATTATATGAAGTATTTGAAAGAACTTGATTATTCTATTTGCCCCGCAACATAGGACAATTACATCACCGTGACGATTGAGAAGGGCATCGTTTTCATTCGTAGCAATTTGCTAGAAACTCCAGCTACAAATAACCTCGAAACATTCCCGGTAAGATGCTTTTGTTTTTTGTATCCTGCCGTCAGGTTCTTCCATAATAAGTAACGTGACTCGGAACTGACAACATTTGTAAATCAAGAACCCTGATTTTAATCTCCTCTTGCTCCTTTGTCCTTTCTTCAGACGAGTGACTATGAACAACTCAACATCATCTTTTTAAGAAGCAACGACATCATTGTGCGCATTTCCAATACTGACCTGGCCAAAGCCAATGTTGCGTACAACTTTGGTGAATTTAAGGAATGGTACATTGGCGGTGCCCCGCGGGACGTGAGGGAGAGGTACACTATCGATTTTCCTCGTCATCATCGTCTGCTGAAAGGTATTTGGTCAACCGTTTCCCATTTTACTGAGAGTATTTTATTCCCCTTCACAGGTATAATATCACCATGCAGCCATTTAAAGGATGTGTAAAGAATTTGAAGCAGAATAGCGCCGTCATATCCGTGTCCGAGCCAGTGGGCATCAGCAAGGGTTGTCCCAAGGATTCCTTGGTAAGACGCGGACCTCCGCATCCCGAACCCATTACCAGCATTCCTATCACCGACCCAAATACACTTTGGCTTGTGTGTCTGCTATGACTTAATTTAACTAACGTTTCATGTGCACGTTCTTGTCTAGGTTGTTCGTAAAGCAGATTTCAGTTTGGGGAGCTCCCTGTCAGGTGACCTCACAGGCTTTAGTCTGGCCAATGACGTCGCTGTCTCCCTCGGATTCAAGAGCACACAGAATGAGGGTATTATTCTGCAGGACAAACAGACGGTCAGTCCTTATATTTATAGGAAATGTGGTGTTTTAATTGCGACCGTCTGGGATTGCGAGTTTGTTAGAGACCACGGGCAGAACCTTTTTTTATGTTCACCAGGCTAACGGGATACAACTAGCGTTGGAAAGTGGCTATGTGACTCTCACTTTCAACGAGCAGACCTGGAAATCAAGCAAACAGTATCAGGATGGCCAGTGGCATTATTTGACCGCAACCAGAAGAAATGGAAGGTAAGAATGAGGCAAACTTTTTTTACATCAAAAAATAAAATGAATCACTTACATGCGTGTGGACACAATGCTGTGACAACGCTCCATCTTGGCCTGTGATTTGGTTCCATTTGAGCAGACGTATCGGCTCAGTCTCACACAGATAAGAAATGGACATTGACGGCCACATCCCCTCGTCCTGCGGTGGAAATGAAATACCTGTAAAACACAATGACAAAAGAAGCATTTTATTTATTACAGGGTGGATCTGCTCATTGACGATGAAGACGCGGGTCAGATGCAGAGCGGCAGCAGCTCCGTACCTAACACCGGTGGCTCCATGATTCTGGGAAAAAACAATTTCAAAGGCTGCGTTTCCAACCTCTACACGAGACGGTAATTATTTTCTTACTCCATGATGCATTGGCTGCATCATTTTTGAATTTGTCTACAGCCTTCATGGTCGAAGTGGCAAATTGCTTGTTTGCCTGTTTGCGTCATACCGGCCGTGTGTTCTGCCTGCAGGCCGGCCCAGCTTTACCAGGCCGAGGACTTGAACAACTTCAAGGCTTCTGGAGACGTGCTGCTGGGCGTCTGTACCGCCGACACTGTAGCTCAGCTGATGCTGGACCGCGGCTCCATGAAGGTGAGCTTCATCATTGTTACTGTCACCGAGTGAAGAAGCCGACGTTCGGATGAAATAATCAGAACTTCTTTTCCAAGCTTGTCGGCTTGGTTCTGTCCCATTTGAATTGAGTGAAATGATTGTTGCCGACTAGAGCAATCCGTGGTATTTAAAGGCAAAACTAGCATGATTGATTTCACTCACAAGCAGTAAGTCTGACACAACAAATGAATAATCAGACAGTGTTTGTGTTACGTTGACATGGTTTACATTATATTTTGCTGCCTTATTTCCAGAGATGAAGAAGAAGGAGCCCTAAGAACTGCCGATGCTGACAAGAATCTAATATTGACATGAAAAAACTGGCAGCTTGCACCACAATGTACTGTTGCTTATGCAGAAGCTCATTCAACCGCAGTGTACTCAAATAAAAAGTTGCATGGACATGGACCCGTTAATCATTAGAATTATTAAATGCAATGTAACCTCTGTTTATTATATTCCAAAATCCAGTAATTACAAACCCAAACTTGTGAATAACAAGCTTGAAACCAGCTCATGTCTCTTTTCTTTCTTTCATGTAACTCAGTAATGAACCACTCTCACCCTCTCACCCAAACAGGCCTGAACATTAACATAAATCACAAGTTCATCATAAACAGGATCTGCGTTTCAGTTTCTCAACCTTCTCTAGCTCATGACCCTGTGCATGAATGCATGATGACATGAATATGACACACATTAATATTCTACTTTTACCACTGCTGTTGTGGGCCAGTGAAGCCCTGTGAGATTTGACTTCATAAATAAACTTGTCTTGACTTAACCGGCAAAACTAAATGTATTAGTGTACCACTTCTTGAAAGTAAGTGAGAGTGATCATGTAGTTAGGAGGCATTTCCTGAGATGCAACGCTGGTATTTCACAGTGAATGAAATGAGGAGGTTACAATACAAACACACATTTTCACAGCCTGATTAACAATCATTTCTCCATCTCTATGGATCTTGCATGCCCACCATGAAGTACTAAGCACTACCTATTCTCCCACAAACACTGACCCACAATAGATAGCAACGATGGATTCTTAGCTGCTGCACAAGTTCTAACAAGTGAAAGAAATCTGTTGACCACAGACAGCAGTTAATCGATGCATTTATCCAAAGGAGTAACAGAAAATACTGAGGGGAAGTCGACGTAAACATCCATACTGATGTTTTCTATTAAACTGTGACCGCAGGAGCCTTTTCAAAAAGGTCTTTAAATCAATTTACAGTTCAACAATGTCATTCCTGTTGAAATCACACAATTCATAATGATCCAAACAGACGTCTGAGTAAACTGCCGTGTAAGGAAATCTCGTCCGGTGAGGCGGGTTCCGTCTCGGAGCTCCGTCGTCAAAATAAAGCCTGATAGAGGGTTTGATGAAAATCAAGCTGCTACAGCTCACCTTGATAGGAAAGACCTCCAGATCTCAGCTGCTGTGTCATTTTGTGGTTGTAATTAAAAAATGAACACTGACCCAACAGCAATCATCACTACTAACTACATGACATCATAACTACCAGACTGTATGTGGTTATTTGTCCTAACTATTGAAGGCCAGTTGTTGACCCTTCTGCATTTCACTTAATAATTCCCAATAATTCGTTTATGTCATTTTATAAGCACAAAAAAACCCTGTAACTTTTCAATTGCAAATGTTTGCTGCTTTTCTCATTCTTCTATGATCGTAGACTTTAATTGGTATTTGAGTTTTTTGACTTTCGGATGACTATTCTTTATGCAAATTATTGTAGTTGATAATCGATAGTTAAAATAATTGTTAGTCGAAGTGCTGCATTCATATATCAATGAACAACATGTCCTCTGAGTTCTCACCGGCACACAAGATATTGTCTTTTATTGGAGCCCCGATTTGATAAAGTACATATCGTATTCATAAATATGACCATGACTGCACCACTGCATATTGGTGTGTGCCGCCATCTTTATTTACTACCAGTAAATAAGTGGAACCCCATTGGAGACACGAGAGTGAGCGAACGATGATTTGAGGGCCGACTCTTCTCCTGACTCTTCTTTTCTTTGTTGTGTTCTTTTAGGATGTTGGGAAGCAGCACATTAACGAGACTAAACCAGCGTGTGCGTCACCCGCCACCATTCAAAAAGCTTATCGCATGGGCGGCCCTGTCAGCAGCCTGAGCTACAGCCTTCCACTACAGCTCAGGCAAGTACGCACGCATGCACACACACGGAGCTTTCACTGGTAGACATTTAGATGAGTCTGTCACGGCGAGGACTACGTCACAGTCATATCGAAGCCCACCCACACACTAAAGGTGGTGTCTTGCTTTCTTTATCTTTGCCAGGCCGCACTTTTCACTGGATGTCCGCACCCGGGCTTCCGAAGGTTTACTGTTCTTTGCTGCTACCAGAGGAGGGCGCTCTCATCTGGCTTTATACATATCCAAGGGCAGGATCCGACTGTCTGTGGCTAAGGAGAAGGAGATCTTCAACAGGGAGAAGTACAATGATGGAAAGTGGCACTCGGTCAGTGGACTCACACTTTTCATCATGACGTATCACTCAATCCCCTTCAAGGAGACGCCTGAATGTTGTTTCATTATGTATGTGTATGTTGCCGGTAGGTCATTTTCAGTTTGGAGAAGAAGAAATTTCGATTGGTTGTAGATGGCATCAGAGCCCAGGATGGTCAGCTGACCAATGCAGAGTGGACGTCCATGCAGCACTTTGTGTCACCTGTGTACCTGGGCAGTGCCCCAGAGTCCCTCCACAGAGAGCTGAAGGTAAGACCAACGAGTCCCTGGGAAATGTCCACCCTCGAGCAAATAGTTCACAAAAAAAGGTTTCTCTTTACTTTATTTTCAGTCGAAGGCCCTTCCGAGGCAAAGTGTGTCCGGCTGCATCCGGAATTTTGGAAAGGATGGTGCACCAATGGCGAATCCAACCACAAACTACGGTGCCGGCCCCTGCTTTGAAGGACAGACGCAAAGAGGGGCTTATTTTGCAGGAAATGGATCATATGTCATCTTGAGTGAGTCCATCTGATATAAATCTGATAATCTGACGACTATGCTGATCTCTATCATCAATTGTCGGCCATCAGCAGGAATCACATCCATACATACAGTTTGATTCTTCCTGTACAGTGTAAATGGAATTGAGTATCTTAAAGAAGATGGATTTTGGAAAAATATACTGTAATGTACAAACATGCGATAAACAACAGAAGGATGTTCTCTGTAATTAGTATGAAGGACTTCGGTGGAAACTAGTTTCATGTCAGTTCTTTCAAAGAAGCATGAGAACCGTGAGAAGAATCTACTCGATATGTTCATTTCATAGCTGTCTCTGCATTGTTGTGATTCTAATGGGTCTAAACTAGGACATATACATATATACATATGCTGTATAACAACTCCAACGATGACAGCCGTGAAAGTATCAGTTTTGTATTTCAGACGACTCCTTTATTCTGGGCTCTAACTTTGAGCTGCTGTTTAACATTCGTCCGCGCAGCCCGACTGGGCTCCTGCTGCATGTTGGGAATTCCATTTGGAACCCACGTGGACCTGCAATGGGCCACTACCTCACTGTCTACATGCTCCGAGGAGAGGTGAGGTCCGACTGTCTATTTAAAGGTGCCGCTGGGTTTTTTGTGGCAGGATACTCGTCACCCAAAGAAATCGTTTTTTGGAAAGTAAAGACTCAGTTGAACTTGGGTCTGGTTTGGAAAAACACATCTCTGCCTGTCTGTGTCTTCTTTTAGTGGACCTCGACATTACAAAGCACATCTTACATTCACTTCAAAGGTGTAACCCTAACCCTGCTCCCGTTTACAGGTAGTGGCACAAGCAAACAATGGCCAAGGAGAGTTCAAGGTGTCGGTGAAGCCAAAAGCTTCTTTATGTGATGAAACGTTTCATAAGATTTCAGGTAACATGCAGAGTCACTTCATGAAAGACATCATTCAAGATGAACTAAAGGTGCTTTTTGATGATTGACGTGAATCATCTTTTGCGTTGCATCCCGTCCTCCAGTAATCAAGCGGAAAAACGTCGTGCAACTGCACGTGGACACGATGGACCATTACAAGATTGGACCACCTTCACCCGCCATAACTTTGACCAAAGACTCATTGTATGTGGGTGGCATTCCTGGTGCGTATTCATCTGCTAATCTGAGCGTGCATGTTGTTTTTGGAATTTTTGTAAAGTTTATCCATGAATATATTCTCACATATCCCCCCCGTGTACCTTTGTGCTGCAGAGGTGTCAATGCAGCAGAAGCTCCCCGTCACGTCGTCCTTCGTGGGATGCATCCAGGACATGAGGATCAACGGTGACTCGGTCTCTTTCGACAGGCCGCCCGGTGTGTTCGGCCCGGTCAACCTCAAAGAGTGTCCGGGCTGAACGTCTCACAGCACGACCCATGGGACCACGTCCACCGCCAGCCATGTGCAATTTGTTCCCGAGACAGCGAATGTGTTTGTGTGTAAGAATGTGGATTTTATTAGGTGTGCAATTCTGTGTGTGTGTGTGTGTGTGTGTGTGTGTATATATATCACAGGTTCATAATATTTGCTGCTCGTTTTAAACAATATTTATTTCGTAACATGTATCAGGGCACCACTTCACGTATTCTAAGAGTTGTTTTTGTCTGATGTGTTGGTCCATTTATTTTATGTTATTTTATAGTCAGTGCTTCTGGAGGTGCTCGTCATGTTTATGGCTGCAGTGGCACCAACCCAGTACTTTAGAGAAACAAATGATGTGTTGGTGCTTTGAATGTGGAGCACCATTGTTATTTTTCCTTTTTTTTGTTTGTTGGGAAGTTTATTTCACAACAATTTACGTTTACAACCTAGATGCTCATTTCTGTTCCCTCCAAAGGCCAGCATATAGGACTCAGCATGGTGACGGTTAGTCATAGGGTCTTTACACAGGACACAACATGGCATGGTGGTCCTCATACTGTATTCCTGTTCTTCTGAATGAATTCTCCATGTTGCATTCCTTTACCGTGCATGGACTCCAATATAGATGCCATCAGCTTCTAACGAGTCTCACAAATCATATTTGGGACCATTTAGCTCATGTTATTATACTATTGACAGTAATACAATAAGAAAAAACAGTAAAGTCCCCAGCAAATGTTTGCTCACCTGCTTTGTACATTTGTTAAAAAAAAAACGTTTGGCAAATGAATATGCATGATGATTGGACACGAATATTTTTACATGCATTCCTGTTTTTTGACCGCTGATTTGTAAGACAATTTGTAGTTAATGTTCTTTATAAAAACTTCTCAGTGGCATAAGTATTTCTTGGAAATCATCTTTTGTCTTTGGATCATACATTTTTCAGACATGTGGTAATTAATTGTGGAATTGGACAATTGCTAATTTTGTTATCCAGTACGCCTCAACTCCCGTCTCATCGTGTCTCCTCTGCGCCGGTGGGAGTGAGTGAGACACCAGGAGAGGAAAAGAGGAATACTTACAGGAAGCACGTAAATACTGAGACGTGATATCTGATCGCAATAGACAACTTCTCACAGCGGACAGTAAATATTTGTTATTAATATAAGCTGGCTGAGTGGTCCAAAATGTTTGATAGCATGTCTTAGATATTATAACAATATCCTACAACAAACATTTATAAAGTGTGTCCAATATAAAGGAATATATGTATTTTATCATCGGCGATCTTTAAAAAAAAAAAAGTGTCATTATGATACCTGTGTTTCTTTTCTTCCGTCACAGTGTGAGTGAATGAGTGTAACTCCAACCAGATAATGTGACAGTTTGGTGAAGAAGTGACTTGCACGGACATCAGGTTGTGTATGATATCAGATATATTGGAACCACTTGTCTCTTTATGCTTTCGAGGCATCTGCATTTTCCTCTTTTGTACAGGACTGACCGACCACCATTGTCCTGAACAGAAAAACAATAACTTTGGTGAACAAAAGTAGTCCTATGCTTCATACATACACAATATTTACCCAATTGAGTGTTTCTGAATTGGTTTTGAAATCATGTCAAAATAGTAGTGTTTGTTAGAGGCCTTGGGAAACATTCATCTTCTGTAATTTCCTTGTGTTGCCACAGCCAGTAACTAGTAGATAAAAGGTGCAGAGATGCAAATCAACAAGCTTTTTTAGGAAACATAGTAAAATACATTTACCACCGCTGCAATGTTACATAATATTACCCCCAAACAGCAGCAGGCGACATGTCCGCAGCTCCTCCACACATTCACTTTCACTTCTGCTTTTGAGTCCCGTCTCGGTTGACTATTGCGCGGTCGCGTCTCGTGTCTTGACTGGAAAGGGCGAGAAGTCCGACAGCACCCAAAGGCACCACGCTTCCTGTCTGCGCAGTAACCGGACGAGCCGCCGGATCGGGCCGCGCATCCAGTCCGGCGCACCTCGCGACCGGCGCACCTCGCACGTGTAGCTGCCGGTCGGACGCAGAGCCGCTTGGACCCGTTCGCGTCTCCGTCTCCTCGAACGTGAACGCGAGCGCGCGACGCGCGCCGGCCGGAGGACACGAGTAGACCCGCGAGACGCGCCGCGCCCCTCCGCCCTCCTCCTCCTCCTCCTCCTCCTCCTCCGGTATCGCGTTTTTGTTTTGTTTTACCTCAATGGCGGACCCAACGGAACCAGCACCGGGAAGCGCCGCGGACGGGAAGACGGACGATATCGACGAGGCGGACTTGGCGCTGAAAGGGATCAATATGCTCCTCAACAACGGATTCAAAGAGAGCGACGAGCTCTTCAGGCTGCACAGGTCCGTGAGTGTCTCTCCGGAAGCACGTCGGCGGCCGATGCGTAAATGTCCCCGTGCCGTCGTGTCCCGCGGCCCGGTACCGGTGCACGCGGGTGTCCCGCTAAACTAAAGCGCACAACATCCTCGCCGTGCAGCACCGTTTGATCCGGGTCACAATCCCGTGGAAGCTCCGCGGGCGAATATCCACGCCCAGCGTGACCTGTCTTATGACTTTATTATAATAATAATACTAATATAATTTAATAATATAATTATTATAATGTTATATTTATGGGATAAGTATCTTAACGTGGTCCCGCTAGTTCGTGCACGTCGCAACCATTTGTCGGTTGCAGGTAACTGATTTGACCAAACAATGAAGTATGCACATTTTTAAATGAGCACATCCAGAAGGTTTACGAGACAATTTAAAAGTTTTTTTAATACTAAATCTTCTTTCTTTTTCACACATAACCATAATTTTCCGTTTTGTTTGGAGGGTTATTCAAAGACAAACTGGTCTGGGAGAGTTGCAAACGGGCTAAAGGTCACAAGTACTCAGTCTTTGCTGACCACACGTTCTGAACATCCAGTACGCAGTTTTTTATTTATGCTGGTGATGTGGAGGAAAAGGTTTGCTTTCAACTTGACCCAGCGAGCATTTTTTTGATTGAAAAGACGTTGAAAAGAGGTTGCAAATTGTTTTAAAAGTGTTTTCAACGTCTGTTTAGACCACATTTCAACTTGATTTTTAATACGGTAATGTTTCGTCCTCCTACTTTCTGCTATATCATTATTATTTTTGAGATTTTAAAAGTTACAACACCCACATTTGCAAGTTTACCACAGATATTAAAAATCACGTTGAAAACCGGTCTAACCCTTTTTTTCAACCTCTACGAATAGACATTGAAAAAACGTTCACTTTTGAACTAATTTGCAGCGTATTTTCAACACCTTCTAAACGTCTTTTCACTTAGTGAAGTTACACACTTCGTCACAGACAAACATGATTTTACTAGTTTGTATTTGTTAATATAAATATAACAACACTTTTCCTAAATAAAAACAACACAAAAATAAAATATATTTCAGGGAAATAAACAATGGAATTAAATGTTAGATGTGGCTCTGAGTCACTTGGGATACTACACCTGAAATCAACCTCACTTGATGATTCTTGAGGGAGTCAGAATGTGCAGAACACCACCCCCCCCCCCCCCATCAACCCCCCTTCATGGAAAAACAACAACTTGGGGAGAAACCTGAGGGGGAAACTGTAGAAGAAGTAGGTGTGTACAGTATGAACAACTTAACGATGTACACTACATTCAATTCCTTTCACATGTAACCTCCACCACATGGTAACCCTCCCTCACATGTAACCTCCATCACAATGTAACCTCCACCACATGTAAACCCTCCATGCACATGGTAACCTCCATCACATGTAACCTCCATCACATGTAACCTCCACCACATGTAACCTCCATGCACATGTAACCTCCATGCACATGTAACCTCTATGCACATGTAACCTCCATGCACATGTAACCTCTATGCACATGTAACCTCCATGCACATGTAACCTCTATGCACATGTAACCTCCATGCGCATGTAACCTCCATGCGCATGTAACCTCTATGCACATGTAACCTCCATGCACATGTAACCTCCATGCACATGTAACCTCTATGCACATGTAACCTCTATGCACATGTAACCTCTATGCACATGTAACCTCCATGCACATGTAACCTCCATGCACATGTAACCTCTATGCACATGTAACCTCCACCACATGTAACCTCTATGCACATGTAACCTCCATGCACAGAAACCTGTGAGGAGGGAAAGCACAAAGACTTCAGGAAAAAGGCAAAGTTGGTAATTTGGGTTTATGATGACAGTAATAGCAAAGTGACTTATAATAATAATAAAATTGATATTAATAAATGTATAGATGTTTACTTACATTATAAACAAGATAACAATTCATCTGCAACTTATGCCATTTCTAACAGTAACATTTCCAGGTATATTACACAGTATTGTAGTTCACTATTTCTGCTTTAAGCACACAGTAACTTACAATGTTTTGTCCCTCTTGTTTACAGACCACAACTTGAATTCAGTTCTTCCCCCATGCAATCTGTATTTAGCCCCCATTGCTTTAAAAACCTGTATTTTTTATATGAAATGGGAAAGGCAATAATATTACATAGGTAATATCAACGCATTAGCAAAAACGGAAAGATTTCTGGGACATTTACTTTTGGTCCAGGGCATCATGCTGTACCCTAGCATGCTGTACGCTAGCATGCTAACTAGCAAACTACCTGTGCTAACGCTAACTAGCTTACCAAAAAGGACCGTCTTTCCCGTATTGAGTAAAACAACTGGTTATAGTTCCAGGTGTGCTTCATTCATTGGAGCCGGTACGATTATTATGTCCTTAAAGCATATTGTTAACATCACGCAGTCTGTAGTTCCATATTTATGACGTTTTAAGAGAAATATTAAATACGTCGGAATCACGTCTTCGCGTAGACCAAATTTCGCCGACCAGTTTATTAATTATTGTGAACATTTTAATGATAATATCGTCTCTGGAGCACGTTGATGTTTCACCCACTTTTCAGCCGGTTGAAAAGATGATTAAATGAGTTCTGGGACGTTCAGACTTCATTTCCACCATATTTCAACGCTGAACTGACGTCTAGTGCTCACTGGGGACTGTTGATGCCACAGAAGGGCGAACCCTTCGTGTCCTGACCCCTGGTGGAAGCTTAAATGTCACCTCCACTAATTGCATTAAGCACTGGGCGTCATCCTGTTGTGATCGCAGAATTACAAGAAAGATGGAAGGATGTGAAACATACACTAACGAACCAGGGTGACTTTCTGTGTAGTTTCCTCATACCGTTTTCCGAGGCCTCTTCGGGTGTCTTTGTGCTTTGCATTGTGGGAGCCATAACTTGTTCACCACAGGGAATCCTTCTATGGCGTAATGCATGAAACCAGTTTGACACATTTATGTCACTCTCGTGTTTGTTGCCGTCTAGATCTGGTTGCTGTGCACGCACGCGTCTTTCACTCACATGCCGCTGTTCTTTACCCTCTGTTCCAGGAACAGCAGCCCTCTGATGAGTTTCGGGGCCAGTTTTGTAAGTTTTCTGGTGAGTCAAGAAGCAACGTCCGTTGGCTCTAATGTTTTCTTAACGACATTTTGAATTCCACTTTAAAAAGGTGTGACGGAGTAAATGGATGCCATTGAATTGTGAGTGTAACCCTCCCACATAAACCCACGTTTACATTAATATTCAAGTTGTGAATTAAATGAACATAAGCGATACAGTTGATCCTGCGTTTTGAATCTTGGGGCGGACAAAACAATCTTTTACGGAATTAACTTTATTCCCCTTAACTTGCTGCTACCTTCAGTGTTCTCTGAAAACGCAGGGCGAGGGAAATGTGAGAATGACCTGCAGCGAAGGGAGCAGATGACGAGTAATGTAACATTTAAGGGGAAATCAATCTTTGAAAATGTTCCTCTCCAATTATTTTTGAAAGGTGTAAAACGCATGATACAAAAACATACCTTGTTCAAGGCAGCCAGGGCAACCAAATTCCTCAACACAGTAAAAAACATTTCCACTCATGGAAAACAAATGCAAATCCTTGAAAACGAGTTCTGCTGGAAAACGATGACCTTGTGTTTTTACTGAGAATGAAGTAGAGTCTACGTTGCATTCTCAATGTCTCCTCGTGTTCAGGTTCATATCAACGTTAAATCGTGTAGTTTGTGGACGAGAATTAAGACGGCTTTGCTTGACATTTAAGGATTGTGGATCTCCAGCATTAACTTGTGAATGGTTGAATGCAAATACCAGGAGTGTTTATTTTCAGACCGCTATGATGACGTTCGAGGAGGAGAAGATGCAAACGGCCTACGACGACCTCAAAGCCACAGAGCGACTGTGTGAGAGGGAAAACATTGGTGTCATTGAGACCCTTAAAAACAAGATCAAGAGGAGCGTGAGTCACCTCTTCGACCCTTTATCAACATTTTGATTGCTTTGCATTTTCACGTCCGTTTTTGGCGGTTTGTGAGCTTCCCAGTTCCATCCGTGTACAAGCGCGGGCTGTTTGTGTGGGCAGACGGACTCTCAGCGGTGTGGGCTGGCTGCAGTGGACCGACTCCAGAGGCAGATCATCGTTGCCGACTGCCAGGTCTACCTCGCCGTGCTGGCTTTCATCAAGCAAGAGCTGTCATGTAAGGCGGCCGCTTACTAGCGGTTTTAAAACGCGGTAATTGAGTAGCGCGCTTCACTGACCTCCGCTTTGTTCCCCTGGCAGCCTACATCAAAGGAGGCTGGGTCCTCCGTAAGGCCTGGAAGATGTACAACAAATGCTACAGCGACATCACGCACCTGCAGGAGGGCAGAAGGAGGCGAGCCTCTGAGCAGCGAGCCGCGCCGCCCCCCTCCGACGCGTCCAAGCGCTCCTCGTCTCCGTCCCCGAGGCCGGACGCCGTCGCCGGCGAGGCGCTGGACCGGCTGAAAGGCGCGGTCAGCTTCGGTTACGGCCTCTTCCACCTCTGCATCTCCATGGTGCCGCCGCACCTGCTCAAGATCGTCAATCTGCTGGGCTTCCCTGGCGACCGCCTCCAAGGCCTGTCGGCGCTCGAGTGCGCCAGTGAAAGTAAGGACATGAAGGCCCCCTTAGCTACGTGAGTGACTACGTTTGTGTATCTGTACTTTGGCTCCACTCTCAATCTAACTCGTGCAGTTGTAAACAACATGGCAAAGTAATGGGAAGCGCCGCTGTCTTGTGTTCTTCTGATCATTGATTGCGTTGGCAACTTTGTACTTAACCCTTTTTTCAAGACTGGAAATGTGGTCACGCGTACCGAGAAATTGAAAGGTTAATTGTTCTTCACCATTTCTGCAGTCTTTGTTTGTTAAATACAGTTAATGTCACTTTCCACTGTTTCCCACCACAAGGTGTCGTCGTCTACACACTCTCATTTCAGCCTCTGTGCTTCCCTCGCAGGCTGGCCCTCTTGTGGTATCACACAGTAGTGCAGCCCTTCTTCGCCCTGGATGGCGCGGACACGCAGACGGGCCTGATGGAGGCCAAGTGCATTCTGCGACAAAGGGAGGCCATCTACCCGAACTCCTCCCTCTTCATGTTCTTCAAAGGCAGAGTCCAACGCCTCGAGGTGAAGATACGTTGATAATACACGTTTATTGTCTCAGGCCTTGTGGGCCATTCTCCTCCTCCCTTGCGAAAGCTCGATGTTGGCTCACACCTCAAAGTTCCTCGTTCTAGTGCCAGATCAGTAGTGCCTTGACGTCCTTCCGTGATGCCTTAGAGCTCGCCTCTGGCCAGAGGGAGATTCAGCACGTGTGTTTGTACGAAATAGGTACTGTTGTTCCCCTCCTGAGACATTAAACCAGTCTGCTCAGCCCTGGTCCACGTCATGATTGTGACTTTTGAACATTTTAGGTTGGTGCAGCATGATCGAACTGAACTGCGGAGAAGCTTACAGGGCCTTTGACCGCCTGAAGACGGAGTCCCGTTGGTCCCAGTGCTATTACGCCTATTTAACCGGAGGTTGTAGCCGCTCAGAAGGCTCTACAGACATCGTCTTGTCTTGAGTTTGGCAATGGCTCTAATCCAGTTCACATTTTGTCCTGTAGTGTGCCACGGAGCCACGGGTGAGCTCGAAGGAGCCGTCGACGTTTTCAAGGAAGTCGAAACACTTTACAAACGCAAGAACAATCAGATAGAGTTGTTCTCCATGAAGAGGGTGAGCGTTTGTCCGGAAGGTTTCCCGCTGCACATTTCCGATGACGCCGTGTGAATAAGTACTTGTGCTGCATGTTCTACCAGGCTGAGAAGCTAAAGACCTCCAGTCTGTCCAAAGAGCTCTGCATCCTGTCTGTGATCGAGATCCTCTACCTGTGGAAAGCGCTGCCCAACTGCTCCGCTGCCAAGCTCAAGACAATGACACAAGGTACCCAAAGCAAACGTCTAAATCTGCTAGCGTGTTGTTTGTCATTTGTCACGAAAATAATAATTGTATCTACCTTGTTCTAGTCCTGCACGGGATTGACGATGCCTCCTGTGCCGGCCTGAAAAACCTGCTCCTTGGTGCCATAAGCGGATGTCTTAATAACACCAACGATGCCATTCAGGTAGCATCTGTAAAATGTATTCTGTGATAACATACAGGATGCACTGCGCTCACCACGGGGGCTGTAGGATGCTCATCACACAAAAGTCGGTACCTTGGTGATGAAAGCTATAGCTTTAATAATGTTCCATGACAGATCTCCACCCCCCCTCCCTCCTCCTCTCCATTCTTTGCAGTTTTTCCATCTGGCGGCGAGAGACGAGGTTGGTCACCTGAGCAACTCTTACGTGCAGCCTTACTCCTGCTATGAACTGGCTTGTGTCCTGCTCACCAGTCCAGAGGCAAGTGTGTGTGTGTGTGTGTGTCACAGGAAGAGATGCGGTTTCCCTTCTGAGTCCCATAAACATCGTTTTTTTTTTTTTTCCCCAGTCTGCAGAAAAGGGCAGAATGTTGCTGATTCAGGCCAAGGTACAGTCGCTTTCATGCCATGGCTTTTTTTGCTCTGTGCTTTAATATTTTGGTTGGTTTTCCTTTGCTTCTTGATGGTGATTTCGCTAAGTAGGTGGCAGCAGGTCCACGAATCGTTCCCCGCTAGGAAGAGTTATTTAGTTCACCCCTGACAAAGGTGCTGAAGAGCTCTTTGATGAAAACTTCTGTCGGGACACTTTTGGTCGATGTCTTTTTTTCGGATGTGCGAGAAGATGAATTCACTCACTACGTGATTAGATAACCGCATATCCAACGAAGCCAAACCTCCTGCGAGCATGCAACGGGGCACAAATAAAATAACGCTTTCTGTTTTTCTATGCAGGAGGACTATGGCGGCTATGACTTTGAGAACAGGCTCCATGTTCGTATTCATTCAGCTCTCGCTTCAATTAGTGCCGCTGCAGCCCCGACTTGACGGTTCGTCTGCACCCCAGAAAGGACGGGAAGGAAAGTCTGCTGAAAAGACAAAAGCCACATTGCCATTCAGGTCACCAGTGAAACACTGTTTTATTTGATTTTTTATTTCAATACATAATTTTAATGTACAATATACATATGGGAGAGCAGTTAAGTGATGTTTTATTTATTTGCAATTAATACATTGGGTATTTATTGCTCATATGTTCAATTTCCAAACTAAAATCCGATCAAATGAGTTGTAAATGATCAGTTATACTGCTTCCGTAAAGGGAACTATGTGTTTTTTACAGTAAAAGCACACATCCTGTATTAACTGACGTAACAGTTAAAATGAATGACTTTAATGTAAAAGCTTTGCTAGTCCATAGGCATGAGGGCTAGCCCATATTTTTAAGCAGAATTGTGTTGCACAGTTTTACTATATAATAATCATATTGTGAGCAGCCTGCTCGTGTTTGTTTTTAAGACAATAAAATTAATATAGTAAAACGTCTTGTTTCTTGACTCTGTATACATGATAAATGTGTTCTAAACATTAACTGACATTTTTGGATACACTAGAAAAGTGTTTCTGCAGAACAATGTGAAAATAACCTTTGACCTTCTGGATTTAAAATGTCTACGAATTACTTTATCCTAAAACACATTTAACATCAGTGAGCTTGTGCTTCCACCACCAAAATATGAGTTCGTACTTTAGTACAAGCTTAAGTTTGTGCCGAATAAGAAATTCCCTCAAGACGGACAAGCTGGAAACGCCTCCATGGGCATCGCTCGCTCGGTGCCATTGAGTCAGGATACTATGAAAAGACCATAGAAATTGTGTTACAAAAAAGGACCGTTGACCTTTTTCCACAGACTTTGATATACAATATATTTACGTGGAGACATTTATACTGATCTTGTGGGACCTGATGGAAAATCAAATTCAAGTTCTTTGCACAGTCAAGATGCCGATTTATTTATTACATTACAGGTCATTTAGCTGACGCTTTTATCCAAAGTGGCTTACGTTGCATTTTTAACCCATGGCCTTTATTTATTTTTGTACATTTTTGCCCAGGGAGCAATTAGGGGTTAGGTGTCTTGCTCAGGGACACTTGGACACGGGGGAGCCGGGGCTCGGACCACCAACCTTGCGGTTCCCAGTGCCTTCTCTACCCACTGCCCTACGACGACCCGTAATCAGAATATCATATATAAACTGATCAAATGCACATGAGCAGCAGTGCATTTATTCCATTATTTAAAAAAAAAAGGCACTGTAATTATCCATCCATCCATCCATTGTCAAACCGCTTATCCTGCACACAGGGTCGCGGGGGGGCTGGAGTCCATCCCAGCCAACTTCGGGCGATAGACAGGGTACACCCTGGATTGGTCGCCAGCCAATCGCAGGGCAACACAGAGACACACAACCATTCACACAACTACGGGCAATTTAAAGTCCCCAATTAACCTGATCCCCAGAGCATGTCTTTGGACTGTGGGAGGAAGCCGGAGAACCCGGAGAGAACCCACGCAGACACGGGGAGAACATGCAGACTCCACACAGAAAGGCCACTGGGCGGAATCGAACCCAGGACCTTCTTGCTGTGAGGCGACAGTGCTGACCACCACGCCACCGTGCCGCCACTGTAATTATTCTACGCTTAAAATATATTAGAAATAATTCTTGAATCTAGTCACATGTAGAAAGGTTCAGACAAACGTTATGGCCAAGTAGGATGTGGGATCACCGCATAGTGAAATAACAGGTTAAGTGCCACTCATCTCAACTGACACCAATCTAATAAGGACATTTCCATAAAATCACACAAAATCAAGAACATGTAATTCATATTAAGGATTTATTAAACAATTTTCAGTATTGAGAAAAACATAAAATAAAATCCAAAACCTACAGCAGCGATCCACAACATGAGAAAGGAAGTGTTCAGTGCTTTATTGTGAAGGAGCCACAGCTTGCGTATAGTGATGCACATGCATTAATTACAATAGTAAATTAGGAGAACAGCTAATTGAACCTAACAACGGCATAATTCTTACACACACACCTATAGTTGCGGAGCTTGTGTCCTTGGTTTAATGTAGTAATAACAAACGTTTTAAATGGTGTATTTGAGTAATTTGTACTGCATCTTAGCATGCACAAGTACAATCAGTGTCAAGCGTTCAATAAAAGTAATCCGGATGCATCAATATGCTCTCCGTTGTAGTGACAAATGTGCTCACACCAAATTCACACTTATTGTATATTAGCACGTGTGTACAAAATATACATTCTAGTTTTTACAATACGCGCCTATATCCCACACAAGTGGTCACGAGCTGCAATTAATAAGCGTTAGAGTTTGTGCTCCACTGTTTACACACATCTATCGAGAAGAATATATTCCACTGGTGTTCACGCAGTGTTTTTACGGCTTTTGACTGTTTTAAGACATTTTTTCAAACACATTTCCTCGGCCCCATCTACTGTTCTGCATCAGCTTTGTGACGTTGCTGCTTGCCCTTGAACCCAACCCAGAAGAGATAAAGTCCGAAGGTAGTACACGTAGAGATCCATGTGACTGGTGTCTGCTTATTAGTAGATGTCAGGCAGGTCGGTGTAGTTCCTCTCCCAGTAGCCCTTCAAGTAGATCCAATCCTGAGCTTTGTTGTGAGGGTTTTGTCCTTGCTCAAACCACCTGCAGAGTTTTAACAATGAGAAGATCCATTTAGTAGGAGAACGGCATTGAGGGCAAGAGGGGAATAAAATCAAGACACATCAAACACACACAGGATAAAAATGTTGCTGGTGCACCTTGTTCAAACTAAACACTGGTGCTAGTTTGACAAACGCGTTCAATAACACACAGATGTAGTAGTGGCTTTAGTCCGGGAGGGGGGGGGCACTTCAAACCAGACAAAACCACAGCACGAAGGCAAAGCGTTGAACCAAACCTTGAGCCAGGGCCACCGCTCCTTCGAAGGTTGATGACACAACACAGCAGGGACGGGATTAGAAATAACAAATGAGTGCAGCAGTGGCAACACATCACATTACCAACTCACTAACCTGGTTTTCCATTCAGCCGGTGATTTGCTGCGATTTTTCCGGGCCATTCTCTGTTTTTCCTCAAGTCTCTTCTTCTCTGAACTCGCAAAATCTATGAAGGCGTGAAGATTGCAGAGACCGTTGTCAAGCTGATGTGGCACAATGGGGAATCAAACCGGAGGCCAAAACACCGCACCTATGTCTCCGTTCTCCATGGCGCGAATGTCCGGTCTGAAGCGGCTGTCTGTGGCCGGAGCCACTTCCTCCGTGCTCTTGTCCTGCTCATTCAGGTGCATGGCAAATGTGGAGAACGCATAGAACTGCCAGAGACAGAGAGTGACATCATTACGGTACCGGTCTACAAAGGGACCCGGGGCCACACAATGACAGAGCGCTGGTCTTCTCCTCCCACCTGCGCCGAGTTGCCCGGTCGCGGCGTTATCTTCCAGATGAGCTCACTGCCCGGGACGACCGGGACCGTCTCGGCGTCGGGGGGGGGCATCTCCTCCGGCTCCTCGTCCACGCTGCCCTGCGATCACACAGCCACAAAACCCAAGCTTGACTTGAACCCGAGTGGAGGCGGCACGCGGGTGATGTTGGAAGCAGCAAAGTTAAATACCCGCTTGTTGTCTTTCCTTTCGTCCGAACTCTTTTTGTCCGTCTTTTTGTGGGAATCAAAGGTGACCGGATCTACCGCGTACAGGGATTCGGTCCATTTGCCGTATATCGCACAAAGCTTCTTTTTGCTGAAAAAAATAATAATTAATAACTTTTAATATTTGATACATCACTGAGGTTTACTGTTTCTACAATACTTATGTTACACACAAAAGAAAACTTAAAATGTTTGTAATTCATGACACATTCCCATTGCTTTTGGGCAATATTAAACATCAGATGAATGACATTAAATTAAACGAAGAAGAAACCTTTTATCTTGGATGTATCCTTCCACTTTATGGAGCTCTTTCCCAAAGAGGCCACAGGGCTTGAACATCATGCTGCATCTCTCTCCGGTCCTGCCACCGAAGGACAGAACGTTACTAATTCTCTTTCACCGTCGTCATTCTGCAAACTCAAGCTTTCAAACCTTAATTATCCTGCTTTTCTATTCTAATGGCAACTGTCCCAGTTCCGCTGCCATGATTATTAAGCACAATCTGAAAGTAGATCAACGCTCCGCTGCAGAGCCAGAAAAAGATTCTGACCCCCCGGAGTGTCTGAACATGCGATCGAATGGCACGAGAATGTCCAACAGACACACACAGGACAAAGAAGGGATCTGCTCCTACTTGTGATTGATCACTTCCATGCTGCCGTACTGCTCTATCCAAAGCTGACCGACAATGATGTTGTGCACACAACAGGTTGGGTTGGTCCAGGTGTAGGCTTCATTATACCTGCAGAGGCCACGGAGCGAAAAGGTAACGACAAAAGGAGCGTAAGATGACGCTACCCGCAAGAGGGGAGCCGGTTTTTTGTTTTCACTCACCTGGGAAGCTCCAGTGTGATGAGTCCTTTGGGCTCGGCCTCTATGCTCTTTCCCCAAAACTTGAGCTTCGGATAGATGGAGCCGTGGAAGACAAAATCCTGGTTGAGGCCCTCCGCATGAAAGGCACTGACTGGTGGGTGATGGCTCACTTGCTCCGACACCCACCGGAAGCCTAAATCCTCTCTGGGGGAGAACAGGCACGTGTTCTGTATTAACATTATGAGATCAATCTTTACTACCCGATTGGTGTAAAAGGTGTGCGTTCAAGGACCTGATGAGCTCGTAGGTTTCCCCCAGTAGTGGGTTGAAGGGTTTCCCAGTCCTCTCCCACTGCGACGCTACAGCAGACACGGCAAAGGCTGCAACGCACTACACGGCATTGATGTGTTTTAACCAAGTTACCGAATGAAAAACCAACAGGGCTTTTTCCCCCCCTCCGACAAAAACACATCCATCCTTAAAGACTCTTGTACAGCAGTTAGACAATAGAAGACGCCCCTTTGGTGATTAGCCTTTTGAGTTGTGTCCATTGCGTTCACAAAGGCAAGTACAGGTTGGATTGTTATACCTTCATCCTCTCCACAGAATCCGTCGTGGCGTTGGCCTTGTGTATGAGGTACGTGTGCTCCATGTATTCCGTTAACCGCTGGAGGAAACTCAGAGGCTCATTAAATATCACGGGCATGGCAATCTTTGACAACTCCTGGAAAAGACACGAGAGTTTATTATAATGTGCAGCTGTGAATTCAGCCACAATATAATAGTCAATCCCTATGTTTTTAAAGCATATACACTGTGCAACACATTTCTACACAGAAATGAATAACAATGACAATATTGCTCACGCTATTAGGGAAGCATTAGGTTTCCTCATTGCACACGCATACTTTAAAGCGAGTCGTTCTTTTCTCTCAACAGCAGATTAATGCAGCATTAACGTTAATTAGTGAAATGAGAAAAGCCTTCTCACCATGCCGATGCATTTTTTCAGGATACCCCAGATGCTGACGTCATTCCTCGAGAACATGGGAGTCGGTAGAGATGTTCTGTCGGAAAGCAGTATAGAAAGAGGAGCATTCAGTCACAAAGAAGAGAATTACAGTAATCAGCAGGATTAAACTTGGGAATCAATACCAAAGTGTATGTTTTATATCAGCGGCGCAATTCATAGGAGGTCAAAAACCAACACCTGAGGACACGTCACCTGGTCTTCTACACACGGACAAGGAATTACTTCTATAACATATCACCAAACACAAATCCCGTATCTAAATGTATTGAGCACATATTAAGAACATCCGTATTTTGCTTATACCATTTAAAAGCCTACACAGCTTGGACCCCCTTTAGGGAACAAAGTCACCTGTAAGCAGTCAGCCGGTCTGGTCGAGCCTCATGCGACACCCATGGAAGCAACTGCAAATGTGCGTCGTGTTTTTCTAGACTGTTAAAGACATTTGCATTTGAAGCTTGGCTCATAAAAAAAATAAAACCACAACCTTCAGATTAATTGATGACGATTGAACCTTCTCTGGTCTCATTTCTCCACATGCATTTTTCCTACTCTCTTTGCTGCTTGAGTAAATCTGTCTGTGGTGCGACAGAGTTTATTTCCCAGCCCGGTTTCACTGGAGGCAGATGGTGTCCTTGTTTGAGGCCGAAGCAGCAACACAAATAAAAGGCATTACGTCAGCTAAACAAACGGGAGGTAGGGGTGCCGGCTTGCTCCATCTGCAGGAGGAGCAGCTCGGGGATGCAAGGCGCACTGTTTTTATGGTTCAGTTTGTGATCCATCAGCCCCAAAAGGAAACTTTCTACAGAGGACGTTGATGAAAATACAAACAGGAACTACGTTTTTTTTGGGATATATCTTTAAATTAAAAAAAGGTACCTGCATTTATTTTTTCGAGTTCATCTATTTGACTTATAGTATATGCTCAGAAATCCTCATTTTCATGTTTCCAAAGTACAGATAAATAAAACTTTTAAATCGATACTTGAAGCAAGCATTTTTGAACATATATAAAATGACTAGATCTACACTACTGTATGTGTAATATCACATTAAAGAATGTGTTCGGTACATTTTTTTAAGAGAATTTATGGTGAGGCAGATGTTCTAAAGAGAGGAATGTTAAACAGTTAAATCTACAGTCAACCAGGGACAACAGGATCTTGAATGACAGGAGTAATTCTAAATAAACAGACGGCATGAATGTTTAATGCACAACCTCGAGCACGAGCACGTGCACACGCACTTCTGCCAACTCCTCCATCGAGCCAGCACGTGCTACATTATTCATGGGTCACTTGTTGGATTAAAGAAGAGAGGCCGAGCCAGAACCAGGATTCACAGAAAGTGATTGTCAAATCTTCACCAAAGGAAAACCCCATGTGCTGCATTGGTTATTGGCTTGGGGAGTCGGATCGGTCCGGGAAATAAAACAGGGAATTCTTCTGTGCTCAAACAAAAACACCCACTACAAATACACAGGGGAGTGGAGAAGTAGTATCCCAATTCACCAACTGAGCCTTTCGCTATCCTCTTTGTAATGAGGTCTGCAACCCGTCCTGCATACTACAATGTCACGAGCAATAGAATTAAATAAAATGAAATACTGAATTGTATCATCAGCTGAGACAATCTTAAGTAAAGCCTTTGACAAACACGCTGTTACGTTGTGTTTTTGGGGGGATCCTCAGGAAGCAGTTTGTTTCTGTACGGTCTGACAGGTTTAGTTTTTGTATCCATGTTTAATGATAATATCTTTAAATTGATTTCAATAAATCGCAGACGGGTCGTTTTAAAAGAGCACTCGGCCTGGCTGACTTTACATTTCCAAACGTTCCACTGAGCCAGTAAACAAGCATGACATGGTAACCGGAGAACGTCCCACCTGTGCTTCTCGACGCCATTGTGCTGGTTGCCATGGTTACCCTCCCCTGACATTCCGGCAGGGCCCCCGAGCGCACCGGGACGGCGGAGGCTGCTGAGAAGGGGGCTGTCTCTGCCCTCGTCCTCTTCCCCGGAGTGACCGGCCACCGACAGGAAGCCGCTCACTGAGAGCTCCGAGTCGGACTCTGTGGGGTGACGACAGGGGAGGGGGGTCCCGGGTCACACACAGGTTCCAGTGGCCCGGCTCAGAAAGCGGCAGCCTGAACCGTACAATGCCCACGAAAAAGTATATGCGCTCTAGTTCCTCTCTGACTCCCCCCCCACCTCCCACCTCCCCTCCCTGCTGACAGCCAAACCCCAGCAGAGGATTGTGTTCCAATGAGAGGCCACACAGAGGCTTCATTTCCTCCAACACTGTTTGCCGTGTGCTCGCTGGATGCTGCTCCTCCTCCTCCGTCGGTAACATTACAGGTAGTGTCACCTCCACAAAGGGAGGGAAGAATAGTGCGTGTGTGCACTGTGACGCGGGACTGGAACATGCAGCTCCACACTAAATAAAGTCTAGACAGACGTGGAGGTTAAAGACTGCAGAACTCCGCTTGCAAAGAATGATCAAGTACGTGTTTAGTGCCTACGGGCGAAGGAATAACTCTGGCCCGACGATGAATAATGCAACGACTCCTGAGAAGGCTGCACAAACATGTTGTAGAAGGAAGCACATGGGAAAGCTTTTGGATAAACAAACACACTACTTTTTAAGATCCACTTCACTACACATGCAGCTAAGCTAGAATTTTGAACTATGCAAGTTTTGCTACGAGTCAAGCGAGAACCGAATACGGAAGCTGTTCGATACTAGAACAACGGGCGCTGATGGAGGCGTTTGTTTCCGACGAGTGTGTAAATACAGGCAGATGTTTAAATGTTTGAAGACTGAACGGTTTTCACATCCGTTTGCAAGCCCAACTTATTTGCACTTGACAGTTGTCAAACAGCAGAATGCTGCGAAACCAACACTCTGCATTTGCATTGATGCCCATTTGTGAATATGCAGAATTCAAACAAAACACTTGCTCTGCACTACGATGATGACCCGTCCAAATAACTATGACCAGTGTTGAAAACAGGATAACCCCAGTAAGATATTAAGTAAGTTTCCACCTAGCGGCTGCTGACCTGACAGAGCATCATAGAAGTCATCTTCATTGAAGGTGCTGAGGACAGACGACCTCCTGCTCTTGCCACGAGAACGCTCGACTTGGTGGTTCTCTGTGGCCAACGTCTGGAGGGCCTCCGTCAGAGCTCGGTTCTTCTCCACCTCCTGCTCAAACTTCAGGCTCCACACCTGCAAACACAGGAAGCCCCCCCGAGAGATAAAGCCCACAGACACACACTAAGAGACGAGGTCTATGCATCCATTCAGCTTTCGAATATATTACAATTTGATCGGTAAAATATATAGACAGTTTTGATTGACATGAAGGTGCTTCTATGGCGGCCGCGGCGTCTTTGTGCATGTCATCGTTCCCTTTCCACGTATCCAGTTGCCTCGAGTCAGAACCAAACACCGCGGTCTCCCAGATCCCTGTGGCCCAGGATTGAGTGTCCCTTCAGGGCAACCTGAGCCAGATCAGTGTCCTATTGTCCAACACGTCTGTCTAACTGAAATGAAGCGGAATAAGACAAATGGCTAAAACACGATTTATTTTTTTTAAGAAACTGCATCTCCAAACTAAGTAAAGAGACAACAAGCATTCACAAGGCAAAGAAAGTTCTCTGGAAACAGCGAAGCCTCCCTGGATTAAAAGGCTGCAGAGAGAGAAACAGGAGCTTGCAAATCACACTGCAAGTCAAAGACTGCAAGGCGGCGCCAATGTCTTTTATTGGAGACCAAGAGTTCATCCTCATTACTTGAAGCTGCCGGAGGTTTTATCAGAGAGAAATAAACAGCTGCCGATGCGCTGAGCGGGGGCTATAAACCAAACCATCAACCACTGCGCTTCACTGATCACCACCACGGAGATTTTGTTGTAGCGCTGATTGGCAGGAATTTTGGAAATCTTATGTAAATAAATAAAACTATCGATAATGACCCGGAGTATTCCGCAAACACACATACTGTTGTAAAAAAATACATGAATGCTGGCCGCCCAACACCAGCTGAGGACTTGTTCTGTAAATACTGAAGTGCATAATGAAAACCTAATTTATTTTGAACCCTGGACTACATAACATTACATTACTGTAATATACAATATGCAGATCTTAACTCTGCAATGAACAAAACACCTTTGATCAAAACAGCTCTAGATCCATGAATTCAATCATTACCTCCTTTTTATGGCGTCCGTTTCTACAAATAAACACATTTGTCATCCATAAGCACTTGTAAGATTGCAGTAATTGTGAGGGAAGCCCTGATACTAGATCTTTCAACCTCGGCCCTTCAGCAGCCTGCCACCCACGGTCAAGGACACGTTTCACTGGAGCGGTCGACACACCTGCCCTATGTTCCACCCCCGTAGGCCTCGTTCTCAGCGGAAACAAATACAGTTCAGCGTTTATGCTCAATTCTCTCAGATTCTGCCTCCAACTGTAAGAGCAGTACATTCATACAGAAAGAAAGCAACGATATCAAATGTGTGCCAAAACAAAAAAGGATCCAATTAATTTGTGGCTCTTTTTCTGTGCGTGGTGTAGAATAATGGAGCTCGACGCTGGGGAGCCCTGTACCAACACTCCTTGTCCCAGCCACTTGGCTAAAGAGCCCATCCAGGAAGAGGACACTTTGTTGTGTAACCGGCCCAGCCGGCTCTTCTGCTCTCACAGCATCCTCTCGCCCGAGCACAAACCGCGCTATTTTAAGCCCTGCTGAGGCTGTAGTTGCTGCAGCCTGGGAGGGAAGCTTCTCCGTGGCCAAAACCCCAAAGGGGTAGAAATGGTACTTTGTGTCGCTCTCTGTACAGTGCAGCACTCAATGTCACAGACTGGATTTGTAAATTGAGCGGTCCATGACTGCATGATGGCTGGGAGCTAAGCAACTACAGAAATATTACCAGTACACCATAAGGAGGCAGTGCCAGTTAAGTAGAAGGAGTACTGTGATCACCTGGTACACACCTCGCTAAAAGGTCAGAATCCCAAAAAGATAAAAGGTAGCATACGCACTCCCTCTTATCCAGATCTCGTGTGACCCGCTATGAACGGAGAAGAGGCCGACACAAACATTCAGCTGTGGCCTGTGAAGTCTCTCTTGGGTGAGGCAGCAGGTCAGCTACCTATATGGGGATGGTGAATGTAAAAGGTTAAACAGTACTTAGTAAGGGCTTGAAGGTCAATCTGATTTCTTACCGGCTGTAGATAAAAAAGAAAAGAAAAAAAAGACTATGAATAACTTCAGATGGGGAAGAAAACGGGACACCATGCTGCCTTCAGAGCAATACAAGCTGTCAGACACGCTTACCTGTGCGTCACCACTAAGTGGCTTCATGCTGTAAACCTCAACTTGTTTTCTTGACAGCTGTGGAAGCCATGCTGCCAGACAAAACACCCCCAAACAGGCTGGGTTCAATAGTCTGCGTTGTCTGAAGGACATGAAACGTGTAAGCGGCAGCAATAGAGGCCTCTACGGCAGGACCACGGGAGCGGGATTAGAGGTAATGCTGCCCAATACGCACAGTCAGCAGTGTAGAAAATATAATCCCGTTAGTGCACGTAGTAGAACCACTTTAGCATGAGCCATGTTTCTTAAGAAGCACGTTACATAATGTTCGTTAATACGCTTTCCTCGATTGTTTCGGAGAATCGTTTTGTGTCCATTGTTACGTCACTTGGCTTCTCGGGCGATGAGACTGCAATAAACCTCGCGGCGAAAGGAGCGCCGGGTTATTCCTTGATAGGCCAGCAGTACTTGTTGCCAATTGACACCATAACTATTTGGTTAGGCAAAGCACACGTCACTGTGTAAACAGGCAGCATCGGGCATCATACAGCCAGGTGACTTAAAAAACGTCCTCTCATTGCCTCGGATGGGAAGTTTATTTACTGATCTTCCTTCCATTTCAAATTCAATTAAACATTAAAAACAGATGAGAGACCGATTCATAATCTCTCAGTGAAACACAAAAGAGCATACGTTGTTAAAATGGTTGAACCCACTAATCCTCTATGTAATTTAATCTCTCTCTCCCTCCATGCTCTTACTTTGACAGGATGCTTTACATTAACGTACAATTAACGCACCACTTCAAACATGCTCAACTTCACACTATGAATTTAGATAATTAAATCCACGAGAATGACTTCGTCACATTGAGGAATAGCTTCAGACCATCTATCAGACCGGCAGCATAAAAACATCAGACACCATCCAGCCTACGGGACACTTCAGACGCTCATCAGGGACCAGCCCACTGCACACGCACACACGCACACGCAGTTGTTTAGCGGACACCAACAAACGCTGAGAAACTGCTAGATAGAAAAAGAACCATTGCCGGGTTTGTACCTGTGCAGATACTGGACGAGTCTCTCCTTTCTCCTGTGCTCGGATGCTTTGGCGTGTGGAAGTGTGCACGCGTGTGAGTATTTTCAATGTGAGAGGGGGAATGCATGCACCTCCAGCAGAGCCTGTGAATATGTACGCGCTTCAGCTGCTTTGCTCAATGCACAGCCTTTCCCTGGAGCAGGAGTGTGTGTGTGTGTGTGGTACAAGTCCATGGGTGTGTGTGTGTGTCTACACTGATCTGCAAGCTGAATGCAGACCTAAGCATTAAAGCGGATCTCGCCTGTGTCCTTCCAAACTGCCCCCCCCTCTCCCCCTCCCCATCCCACCCACCTCCTTTCCCATAAAGGACACAGCACAGCCATTGGGAGGGACAGGTGGACATGGACAAACAAAGACATCAAAACCTGATTGGTGTGAATTAGCCAATGTAAAGTGGCAGAGCTCTGGGATTATCATTCAATATGATCTATTCAGCCAATATGAGCAGCGCACAAGGGAGAATATTCATACAGGCTTAGTGGGCTGCGGCTAAGGGTACTTATCTAAAAAGATAACTACCCTCCAAAACAATTAAAATCAAGTACAACATTTAACTAGATCTTAAATGAATAACAATTTTTTGTGAAACGCTGTGTGCATGACATGAGGACATACTTTGTACCTTAAACTGAATATTTCCCTCGTACTTTTACTGCACATAGGATTGTAGGCTGCTGACTCGAGCACCAAAGTGGGCCTGTATGTATCATGTTATTTATGCATTGGGCTTTCTGGCATACTAAACATGGCAGTACAGGTACAGGATTGCACTGTAGATCTAATGTAAATATCTCATTTCTGGCCTTACAATAAAAAAACGTTACACACATTCATAATAAACATCACCATAAAACAGTGTTTAATAACACAAATTATAAGTTGTTATGGTTCTGGCTGTATCTGCATACGTGTTAAACTAGCATGATGGTGGACCACATAGCCCAAAGCATCCTGCATTTGGTGCTCAAATCTCTTCACTGTGTACATGCTGATACATGCCTGATTAAAGATGAAGATGTGTCTACCTCCTCCTGTTCTGACAGCAGTTCCAGGCACAGATGGAGAGCAGCACAGGTTCCACTGGAGAGCTCACTGGTCTCTTTGGCTTTCAGTAAAAGAGGGGCAGCCAATGCTTTTGAAAAACAAAAAAACCCCATAATTTTAATGTAGAATTTTACCAGAATTGTTTGGAATTCTTTTTCTGTCCATTGACAAACAAACAGTTAATGTGCTCATCTTCTTAGCACTGGTATAAAAGTTCAAAAACAGATAACACTCTTGACTCTTACCAGAATTCTCGTCATTCTTCACCATCGATTGAAATATTGACACTTCACTATGCAACTTCTGCTGGGAAGTGCTGGCTGCCTGAAAGAGGACAAAGGAGACGCCTACATTACACTGTTCCCTCCGTTCGCCACCTCTTCAAATACCTGATTGGAAAGGTCCGGACTTAAGCTTACCTGAAGGGCTTGAGACAGATTCCTCACAGTCACGTCATCATCTGCGTCGTTGCACGCCGGTTCTGGGGGACAGTGACCTGCGCTAAAGGACGAATGTGCTTCCAAAGCATCCAACCATCTCTGGGTGGACAAAGTAACACACCTTTACAACACTGTCCACCCGTACATGGTCGGGTTGTTCAGGCCAGAGCTAAAGCAACAGTATAGAAGGTGAACCTCATCTCACTTTTCTGGTTAACGCTGGATCCGTCTTTGAGGAGACCTTAAAATAATATACGGTGTCATCAAAGCACCTGAGCATGAAGAACCATGGATCCCATGGTTTGACCTAGAACGACAAAAATCAAGTTTCTTACACTCCCGCATGGCCATTAGACATTCAAAATCACCCTCTCAAGAATTCAACACAAGAGCTGAGGACATCTGTAGGGTCATGAAGGTTACTCCATTAGAATGAGGGTCTGATCTCCACCGCCTACCATGCAGGTGGCGTCTTTCAGAGACTTGCAGCCCTGTTTTCTGACACCAGCCATCGCATCTGCCCTGCACGGAGGAACAGAGGAGAGAGCAAAGACATCGTCACAGACACACAACGCATCACACGAGTCATTTGCATCTCGGTACAGAAGCAGTGGAAGCTTGGGGAACTAGTATGGATGCCTCCATCTCAAAAGAAATATTATACTTTTATTTCAGCTACTTTAGGTCACAGGTCTGGTTAAACGTTGCTTTTTACGGGTATTAAATGTTGAATGATGGAGTAGGAAGAAAGAAACTTCCTCCATGACAAACAGGCTGAATACAAATAAGGAGATTGGTATTAATACAAAATAATCTTACTGTTTGGGATACCAGGAGATGGTTCCGTCCTCAATGATCACCCAGTGGGAGCGCCATCGAACTAACCGGGAACTCTGTCACACAAGTCAACAGAAACTATGAGTAAATATAGCTTATTCAAAAATAAGAATTAATTAATTATATATATAAAAAAATCACATTTGTAGTACCATATCTTAAGCGTATGCATTACTGAAAACACATAAGGATATTGAATACAAACCAAAGCACAGAGAGACATAAAGGCTCTGAAGAGAAAATGGAAAAAGTCTATAGTGTCAGAAAAAAAATATTGCCTGACACATTAAGAGTAGAAAAGAATACACTCCAACATCTGGGTACCTTCCAAAGGCGGCCTTCAATCTTCTGCGCCGCACTGCTCAGATCCTTTGTGGGGGAGCGGGGGATGATTGTCAGAGCCATGTGCAGACACAGCCTGATTGATCGAGTGTGTGAGACCAGAAACACCAAACTCCTCTAGTTTAAACATTTTGTGGGGAAGGATCCAGGAGGTTGTCTCCACAATAACTTTTCAATGGTAAATCATTTTAATTTACTCAATAGCTTAGTGCTTTTCTGCCATTTCCACCATGACTCTGCAATGCTCTGCACTGAAGCTGTGCCAGTCTAATCAGGCATCCAAACAAGAGCTGGACGCTGAAGGACTGCTGGCTTCCAAGGCGGGTTTTTAGTCACCAGGACTCAAGGGAGCATGTTATTGATGTGTGGAAGCAGAAAATGCCGAAACGTAGTTGCGTGCAGGTTTGTTTTACAACGCTATTTCCCAAAAAGAGAAAACACCCGAGACGTCCACTCTATATTTTACGTGCGTCACACGGTTTCGTGGCGGTGACAGTGGAGTGGCCTGAAGATGGGCGAAATAATAAAGAATCATCCTCTGTGGATCACGAAAGAAATAGCCAACTTTAAAAGCAATTAGGTGTCAAGTCGATGTTTTAAATCAATAGCTGAATGACACTGGCTCACTTTTCGGAGGGTAAATGTGCGATTGTACCTTGACAACGCAATTAAAAAAAAGGGACGGTGATGAACATCTTGTGTGCGCTGACCTTGGCTTGATAGGCCGCTAGGATGGGTCTCAGTTCGTCGCTGCAGACGAGGTCTAGCGCGGTCTGGTCTGCAAAACAATCAGCCGTACAATAAATCATCACGTAATGTAAAAACCCAGGATCCAAACTAGCAGAATAAAAAAAAGGTATGATTGCAAACATATTGCACAAATCAGAGCGAATAATGTAAGATTGAGTTGATACACCATTGCTGTTTTTGGTGGTGGGGCTGGCTCCAGACTTGAGCAGCTTTATGATGCACTGCTTCTGCCCCCTGTAGGCTGCACAATGTAACGGCGTATTGCCCACCGAGTCCCTGCAGTGAATATCCGGAGGTTCTGTCCCACTGAGCTGAAGAACAGAAGAAAGTTAAGCACGAAACCAACGAAAAAAATCAGAAGAGACTCACCTTTGCCTATTTTACACCTCCAACAGATCAGACTATTGACAAGCACAGTTTAATGTGTGAATTATTCTTTAGGTGGGAATGATGCTGTCAAAAGTGAAATGCACTACTCAAAATTCTCGGTAAGGTCAGAGGTTAACCAGTTTGGACAGAGCGGCGATTTCTCCCTCTCTGGCCGCCTCCAGGAGCTTCTTCTCCCGCCGCCTCGTCTCCCTGGTCTCCGCGGCTGCACACATCACCCAGCGGGCACTGAGAACAAGAGCCGCTGAACCACAGCATCAGCAACAACTAAAACCGCGTCATACCCTCCAGCATGGTTATGACTTCATCATCCATTGTGACATCTTTTGGGATTTGAGCCACTCCATTGATTATGCTGCAACAGGCATCGTACCGCAGCAGCAACAGGACGATCTCCTTGAGAAAGAGAAAATGACAAATCATAGTCAATCAATTGGGGAAAATGGGAAATATTTGGTGGCGTCTGTTAAAGCGAAACCCAACCCAGACTCTCATCAATAGTGGGGTAGAAACGGAGCAGGAAGGTCGTTCACGTGCACCTGTCTTCCAGTAAAGGCCGCTTTGTGCAGAGGCGTGTCGCCCACGTGGTCCTGCACGTTGGCATCGGCACCCGCCTGCGAAACGCGTGGAGCAAACGTCACCGGCTGTACACGGTCACGGGACACCGCAGCGCGGCGCGAGCCACCGTCACCTTGAGCAACTGCTCCACGGCGCCGCCGCGTCCGAAGAAACAGGCCAGGTGGAGGGGGGTCCATCCCGGGCTGGCTGCGGCCTTCGCTGCGGGGACAGACGAGGGGGACGTGAGTGGTTCCCTGTGCGCGCCTCAGGTAACGGCGCCTTCTCTTCACCTACACGTGCAGTTGACGCTCAGGGGGCTGCGTCGGTTGGTCCTCGACTCGAGCAGCAGCTGGATTTCCGCACAGTTGCCCTCTTTGGCACAACGCAAGAGCGTCGCCTCAAGCGCGTCCGCCTCCATGAGCGCAGCGAGGCCGATGATAAAAACAAGCGATTCCAAATGCCTGTAAACGAGGTTATTATTAACGGAGACAAATACTAGCGGAGCTTACTGGTTGCAAATTGACATAAAGTCTCTGGAAACAAATAGGCTTAAGGGCTAAACGTTTGGTCACAAGCTAAGTAGTATTTTAAGTTTAATTTCACTTAAACTCGCGCATGCGGGGAAAGTGTTGTTGTTTTTAAACCGACAGGCAAACGCAAGAAACGCATTAACAAAGTAATTAGTTTGCACACTAAGCGAAATTAGTTAGAAAGTTCAGACTCCGTAGTAAGGATTTTCAACCGTCCAGCCAGAGTCGAGCGACCCGAAGCTGCACGAGCCGAAATTTGATCACGTCACCAGCTGACAGAAGCCGCGGGGGGGAGGCGTCACGTGACCAGGCCGCCGCTGTGCGCGGGCGCGCGGGCACGCAGCGACGGTCCAGTAGGTCTCCCCCTCAACCCCAAAGTAGTAGTAAAAAGCACACACAAAACCAAACATTTTAAATCATTATGTGATTTTAAGAATAAATTTAGCTTTCAGTGCCTCGGAAAAAAATGCTAGTTGGATCACAAGTGGATTAGTTTTGTATTTAATTGGGCGGGTAATTGATCAATTGGGCTCCAGTTACCATTCAGGGCACAGATGGTTGTGTCATATCCAAATCAAATGTACTTCCCCCCCTTTTGTTCCTTGAAAATAATTGTCTAATTCTGTGCTACATTAGAAAAAGCAGACTCTTATGTATCATTACATATTACATAATGGGGTTCCTATTATTTGGTTCGTCTTGACTTTGCAGTGCAGAAGCACCGGAGCCCAATTCTTCTTTTGTACACTAGATGGAAGTATCTGCTGTACCAGGCAATGTAGCAAGCTGTGTTTATTTCCCACGCTTTTGTCAAAGACAAATTAACCCACAAAAACCTTCTGACATGCCGTAGCCACATATCAACCCTAATTGCACCTGACTCGAGTTTTAAAGGTCAATCATCTCGGATATTTTTGGCTCTATTCTATGAAGAATTGTAGCTTCAGACAATTTTGTGGTTTTGAAGGTCAGTTGTGTGAGTGTGTGGCTTTTAAGCCCTTTTTACTTTGACCAATTATGTACGGTGGTGAAAGTGCATCTGGCAGAGAGGATGATGGGACGTCTTACTTTAATAGAAGTACAGTAAGTGTCAGCGATGAATTCAAAGACGAGTGAGCAGCTGTATGAGAAGAGAGATGCCTTTTTAAGGGGCTTTGTTGACCAGGAACCTCAATCATTGACTAGGTGATACCCAGAAGAGCTGCAGGGCTTGATCAAAACAGGACATACACCACCCGAAGGGATTGGACTTAAATGCCAAAGCAACTAAATCTGCCCATATGTGTTTAAAACACATCATGGGACAACTAACAGAGCTTGAAACAGGCCAACACAGTGGTTCCTAATTTGGAGATTCACCCTCAGAACAAATTCAGAGTAGCACGTCTAAATTATGCCAACCACAAACAGACCAACAAAAGGAAATGTATGTTGGCTGTTTGCAAATGTAATCTAGTTATATTCAATGTCTAAGTAATTTGACATAATTCATTGAATGAAGATGATTTATTCATGAAATGTTTTCACAATTTGATCATCAGGCCCCACATTCACAGCGAAGAAATGTAGAGTTAATGGTTTTGCTGCGAGCAATCATTGACACAAACAGGACATATTTGTCCTTGGCCTATTATCTATTAGTCTTGGCTATTAAGGAGACCACGTGCTTGAACTCAGCTCTCGCCCATCTACACACACATCATGTTTAATGCATGATGCTGGAGGTGAAAATAAAGACTAAAACAAAAGGACAAACATGTCTTATCCAATTAGGTCCAGGCTCTACTCGCAGCTATACGGCTGTTGATTGAAAGGAGTACCTGCTTAAGTCAATGGAGAAATGCATTATGGGTTGAAGGCGGTGTTTCAACTAATTAGCTGATAGTCATTCACCTCATACTCCAGGGATGTTTGTTTTAGTTTTTTCTTCTGCACACACATGAGCACACTGCATGTGTATATAAAGAAAGACTGTGTGTATATGTGCATGATATAAAATGGCCTGAACATATACATACATGAGCAAACATATCTGATGTTCGCATGTGTCATATACTTCAATATAGTTTCCAGAAGTGATACTGATTCCGAGTAACCACAATTAAATCTTCTCCGTGGCAATCGTCTCCCTTTGTGCTTCAGAACATCAGCCCGTACGCGTATTTCTTTGCATACATCCGTCAGCACGTAATAGTTCTTACATATATAATTACAATGTGTGGGAAGTTGTTGAAACACGGCTGCGGACATTAATCTAAGCATATTCATCAAATCAGGTCTGGTGAGGGAAAGAAGCGCACTGGGCTAGTTCCTGCTAATTAGCACGGCAATTACTGTAAGCTGTCACAGTTCTTAAGCAACGGGGTGGACTGTGTGTGCTCCAGAGCGTAATCCCTCACAAATTACAAGATAATGGAGGCAAAGAGAGGCCGCTGCTTCAAAAGGAACCAGGAGATAGAATCCCTCGCGGGGACATTTTAGGGACAGCGAGGGAGACAGCGAGCGAGGGAAAGGTATGAGGGGAAAGAAGCACAGCGATGGTTTTCTTCACATGGAGGCTCATTTCACTGCATTATGTGATTTGCTTCAGAGAAATCAATTTGTCCTTCCTTTGTCACATTGATGCTTTTTTTTTTTTTTTGGCGCAGTTGTAAAACGTATGTTGAAGTTAAGGGCCATTAAAACCCCTGCTGGTTCCACTGAACTTCCTGTTGTACGGCAGGAGAAGATCAATACTTCGCTCGTCTTGCGTCGGACAGTACGCAGAGCGCTTACCTGCCGTGCAAAATGCACTATTAAAAGCTTACTCTAAGCAAGCGATGCTAATGCTTTCCTGGCTGTAGGAGCTCTTTCAGCCGAATTGAATGTGGCATTCGCACAGTCTGGACTCCTTCGCGCTCCTTTGATACAGAAACTCTCACTTCAATACGTCTCATCACCAGACACAGCGGCTTTTCTCCAAAATGCTCTCCAAAGCGTTCTCTCCTCCTTAAATTAACCCAGGTGGATCATCAGGTTAAGCGACTATTCTCACAAGGTTCTAGTCAATAGCGTTGATAATAGGTATTTATATTCACTTTAAAGTCATTGCTGTGTTAGTGCCTTTAAAATGAAAGATAGATGAGACACGTTTTTTGAATAGATTATAACTTTCATTTGGCTCTCCATCTTCATCAAGCAAATTTATGTAAATAACCTCATTTCAAAGCATTCTGAATGCTTGTTTTGTTATTTTACATTTACGCTACAAGAAGCGAAACGTATCGATACGCCACAAGTGCTGTGTGCATCAAGGCGTGAGTAAGCATTTAAAAGGAATATTAAACGATATATGCAATTATGAGTTACATAGTTATTATTATTGCCATTCCGTCATACAAACTATTTCTGTAATCCTGAAAACACTGCATTCTAGTAATAACATGAATAATGAAATAATGCTTAGAGCCATATTTACTGCACAAGATGATCACAATGATAACTTGCCTTTTTTTAATATGAGGGTGTGGCCCAAGTGATTCATGGAGCGCTTAGCGCTTTTGAAAACGAAATGAAAAATTCAACAACTGAGAATGTTGTCACCATGAGGCACACCCACAGCATCGCAATGAGCTTCGGTGGGTCTGCAGGGTAAATGCCAGCACCCTTCATCTCGGGAGCGGCGCTGCCAAACAGAGTGTGGGGCTGTGAAGCCGTCCAACCACCCGGCCACATGTCTCATTAGTGATCAGCGCTGTGACAACCAGGCATGTTTCTGTAATGTTCAAACAGTAATAATACCCAGCATATTGATACTGGGTTGTATTTGTGTTCCCTCTTCCTTCAACATCACTCTGTTAATAATATACATATAAATACATCACTAAATTTTGACGAAAACCTTGGGGGCAAAAATATCAAAACAGCAAAAAAAGTTTTTATCCAATAAAGCGAAGTTCTGAAGAAAGCAGGCTTATTTGTATGTTTTTAACACACATTTCTATTATAGTCAGCACATGGTCTGCTCTATCCAAGCACATTTATCCATTTCTAAACCTTAAAATCTAATTGCGTCACTATGCAAGACATAGATATAACATAATATGTAGCAATTATTGGTATTTATAGTAAAAGACAGTATCCAGCTGCAGAGCCCCCACTGAGGTCAAATGGTACAAGACGCGGTCTGTACATCTCATAATTTAATTTAAACTGTGATTACTGTGGATTACAGGCCCACTGTTAGAGTACCATAGCATCAATACTCCCGCCCAGCATCCAAACACAAACACTTGAGTACTAGAGTAATGAAGAGCCCCAGCAGGGCATAGTATAATCAGCAACACTAGAGCCTCTGTGTACCCTCTGTGACACTGCTTTGTTTCTGAGTGCCCTCCATTTTCAGATGAGTCGCCGCACTTGTATTTCAAAACCCAACAACAGTGCACCTGCCAAATTCATTGCTTCCCTGACACACTGTCATTGCATTCTGTTTAATATGTATGCAGTAGTTTACCATATCCTACCACGACCACGTATAATTTTGCTGAAATAAATACACCGTGGTCTATGTTGATACTGCTCCCAATGTGTCGGTGTATCACTCACCGGGGCATCAAGAACACCTAAAGCATGACCTTTGCAGTAGTACTGTAATATTAATGTTGCATTTAGACACCAGCGTGATCTTTATATTATGAGATTTATTATTTATAATTCATCTGGAAGATAATAGTTTGCTAATATGGTAGAAGGAAATTAAAAATATTCATGCATGTGTTTTAACTTTTTTATTTGGTACCCTATTGGCTAATGGCAGGGGAAAAAAAATCTATAATAAAAATCTTCAGTCTCCAGAGCACATCAGCAATGGTACAGCCCTGGTCTATAAACAGCGTTATGTGAATGCGTTTCCATGACGACGCGGCACCACCTTCCACGACGCCTCTGTTCCTTTGTTGCTTATTTGAATGACTTTGTCAGTAATGGATTTTTCACCACCACTAGCCTTTTTTATAGGTAGACAGAAACTTGAATAGCAAATCAACAAGTCTGATTATAAGGGGAAAACCAATGGATATGAGTATTGTAATTCAAGGATTTTAGATAATTTTTTTCGTCAGTTATTCTTTATAGTGCAGCAGTTAATTATACTCTATATAACTTCGTACAGTAAGTTTGCATAGAACATTTGAAACAACTTCCAACAGCCTTTCAACAACTATTACCAAATGTAAAACAAATACTTCATTTCAGACATTTCATCAGCCATCATGAGGTGTGAATCACACAAACACTGTATGATTATTCTCCTGATGATTAAGAATTTGATTTTTTTTTTTTTTTTTTAACCGAGCATAAAGATAGCTAACCACCTACTTAAGAGGATCTGCCAAAGCATGGACACATTTCTAAAGACCCGATTTCATTTCGATTGAGCTTATTGTGAACAACACTGAGGCGTCTGAATGCTTCGCCTGCACAGGTTCCTGCATGGCCTCTGTGACGTGACTGAGAGACGGTGGTGGCTCCATTTGTGGGAAAATATCAGTAATTCAAGCTGGGCTCCTTCAGTCACTTCTACTGTTCTGTAGTGTTTCTCATTTCTTTTCGGACCACAGCTGTGGAACTGTCAGGATAGCATCCAAATGCAAATACAGCCCACAGCTTTCTGCACTGTGTGGAAGGTTGTGCACCCGAAAGGTGTCACAGGAACTGCAGGTTATTGAGGAGCTACTGGCAAGGATGCTTAATATTTAACGACGAGCTGTTGTCTGTCAGGCTGTTGCTTGGGGAAGGAGGGGGAAAACAATGTATACGAGATTCTTTTTTTTAAGGGAAAATGTCTCAAGCTGAAAATGTAACACTGTCGTTGAATGTTCAAGTGTGAATTTCGGTGAAACAAAAGCCCTCAACAACAGACGGGCATCAATATGACAATAAAGACCAAATTAACAACACAAACTAATAGCCACGTTTCCTTGTTTATTTGTACAGTAGCTATGAGGCAATGTCCAGTGTGTGATATGGGGAAGGTCACCACAGTTTGCCTGTGCCATGTTTTTCGTTGTCCACGTCCTGTCTCACATCCTCTGCACACCCGCAGCGTGGTCATTTGAGGGAACAAGCAATTACGACGCGAGTCAAACGCAGGTTTTCTATGAATCATGTGGCGCTAAACGTGTTTACTCCGCTGATTGACACCAGGAAATATATGGACCTATGGTCAAACTCTCAGTTAATGCAATATAAGTATGGATTTCAAGAATCCTCAGCTAAAAATAACACTCAGAAAATTACCATTTGATAAAAGAGCCAAACTTTTGGGTTGCGTCTCTAAACCCCGTCGTGCCACTTCATCACGCGCGCACGGATCGCGAGGCTACTTTAAAGATGAAAACACTGCGTGTCGGCTCGGAGAGGTGACTCCTCTGCCGCGAGGCGTCATCGCCGGCCAATGCGTAATTGTGCCGGCGGCGTTTTGGGGAAGGCGCCGTGCGCTCTCTCGTGGATTCTCCTGCGCACTGTGCGCGGCGGGCAGCTGGGCAGCGGACTTTGTGCAGCATGCATGTGGGTGTCGAACGCAGACTCCCTCCGCCTGTCACCTGTTGCCGGCTTACTGCTTCCCTCTGTGTTGGTCTGAGGACATAACGGGGGGAGCGATCGTCCGTCGTCACATCGGGACCATGTCGGAGGAGCAAAGTGATTCCAACTCCAGTCGCTACTATTTTAACAACACCTCAACTAGAGTCCAGATCAGCTTCGTGTTTTCGGGACCCGTTTCTGTCCTTTTGATGGTGATGATGGTGACTATGGTCGTTGTCATAGTGTTGGGCAATGCACTGGTCATCTTGGCCTTTAAAGTCGACAAGAGTTTGAGGAGACAATGTAATTACTACTTCCTGAATTTGGCAATATCCGATTTCCTTGTAGGTAAGTTCAACCTCACTCTTTTTAATATACTCTGTGTTTAAGCTTTAATTGTTCCATGCTAAGATGTGCTGTGATGTTTGCACCCAGAGCGAAGTACCACATACGTAAGTATGTTTTGGAATAATTTGATTGTCATGCATTCCTGCTAAGGAAGCGCGTTAGTCCAATACTTGAAGTCCACCCTTGGTCCCTGATTACCTTCCCAATGGCTGTGCTTCCGTAGGGGCGTTCTGCATTCCGGTGTACATGCCTTACATCCTCACCGGCAGGTGGACGCTGGGCCGAGGACTCTGCAAGCTGTGGCTGGTCATGGACTACCTACTGTGTTCGGCATCTGCCTTCAACATCGTCCTCATCAGCTACGACCGCTTCCTGTCAGTCACCAGAGCAGTGAGTGGATCGGCCTCGCGTCTCGTGATGCACGCAGCACCCACGAAAGTTCATTTACAGTGGTGACTTATAGTCGCCGTCCAAACAGAAATAACTGCAGCGCTTTGGAGATTTGTCCCTTCCCTTACCCATAAATGTGTCCACTGCTGATGTCTTTCGCCTGATATCTGTCCGGTGAGTCTCCCAGGTTATTGGTAGTGGCGGTGCCACCTCATTCTCCCAAATGTGCCCATCTGCGGAGGTTAATCATTTCTGACCCGCTCAGGCCCCGTGCCACCCCTTAATTACAGCCTTTCCCCAAGGCCAAGAGAGGAACAGAAAAGTCACATTTTAGCTTTGGGATGGACTGCGCATTGCAAGTACGGACACTGTCACTGACGTAATATCAATAATAAAAAAGAAATACTTTCACCTCTTTTTTAGTAGATTCTAATTATTCCCTTGATGTTCGACTGCTTTGTTATTATGAAATGCGATTGAACAGCATCGATTATGTCCGGTTTCTATTTGGATCAAGTAGTTAGGAGACATTTCCAAACCTCCCATTGAACCTGTCGCTGTGCATTAGCCCACTGACTGCATGCTACACGCGTGTGCTAACTCAAAGGTGGGATGAGGCTTGGCATGAAGACAAAGAGAGTGTTCTCTCTCCTTTCACAAGCAAACACTTAACATCAGACCAACGAATACAAATAACACCAGAGAGAGAGAGAGAGAGACAGCGAGAGACAGGGAGAGAGAGAGAGAGACAGAGAGAGACCCTTATTTAATCAACTAGCTTTGATCATTGACATCCTCTTCCATTCCATGGTCCCTCCAACCTGGAGAGATCAATCACAGCTGAAATAGGACACCGGCAGACAAGCAGAAATCTCTTAAAAGCATTTCTCTCTGAACATTGAAAGACAAAGGATCATCAACAGCCACAGGAAAAAGTTTGTCTTTGGGGAAAAAAAAAAAAAGTCCGATTAGACGCATGTATTTGGCAGTGAGACGCATTAACAAAAGGAGAGCTGCACAGTATTTCGAAATGATCCTATTTGTATGCATCATGTGGGATTACAAGAAGGAGGTGAAGTCAATGAAGCTGCCAGTGTTAATGTAGCAAACATTTAAAAGATGTGCTACATTTTGGTTTGGCTCCATGAGCCCATTTCATTCATCTCGTTGAGCGTATTGAATCATTTCACCTCTACAAACATTTAATGTGTTCTTTGAGGAATTCTTGTCATGACGGGACAAACAGCTGTAGAATGTGGACATAACATGTGACACTCATAGTGCCTCATTGACACATTTCTGCTGTCCAGGATGCCACATGTTCTGTTCTCATCTACGATTTCACAAACTTTGTGTCCAACCAAAGATCACTAATATTGGATTTACATGTAATTCGCCTAATTGGTCATTTATTATCTTTAATCTTTAATAGTTTTGAATGGTTTCACTAGAGTTTTTTTGAAAACATGGTTCAACGCGATGGCTTCAGGTTGATGGGGGACTTCTGTATTAATTGTTATCAGTAAAAGGGCATCAGTGTTTTGTTTAAGCAAATCTAACCAAATACTTTAATATCGATGTACTCTTGTGCTCTTCTGCTTTATTTGAGCTCATGTGCTTTTGACTCCATCTGACTGCTATAATCACACCACCGGATGCTTTTCAGATAGATGTTCTTGCTAAAAAAACGCAAAAAAATACATTAACATTAAACTAAAGAATAGTATGAAGTAGAATACTGACATTTAAAACCGTTACATAATATTTAACTGTATTATGGCTCTTTAAAATCTGAATACCTCTTCCACAACTGAACCTCCCTTTTTATTTCTACAATAATGTCAGCATGCAGCAACTGCACGAAATGAAGCGACCCGACGGTAACGGTGTCACTCCGTGTAATTTCTCCTTTCTGCCTGTACTTGCAGATAAGTTACCGTGCCAGACAGGGCATGACCCATCAAGCGGTGGTCAAGATGATTGCTGTCTGGGTGCTGGCCTTCGTCCTGTATGGACCAGCTATCATATTCTGGGAGCTGGTTGTGGGCAGAAGACGTGTACCAAAAGACCAGTGCTTTGCAGAGTTTTATTACTCTTGGTACTTCCTGCTGAGTGCCTCCACGCTGGAGTTCTTCTCCCCTTTCATCTCCGTGGCTTTCTTCAACCTCAGCATTTACCTCAGCATACGCAGGAGGAGGCTGCACAGCAGGGAGGCCCAGCGGCACCTTCAATCCAGCGAACCCGCCTCGGCCCAGGGGAAAGGTGTCCCCTCGTCCCACAACTGTGGGTTTGGGATGAAACTGGCTGTAAAGGGCTCCCTCATCTCCCAGACCTCCTCTCCCAGTTTGTGCAAACGAGACCCCTCGACCAGCAGGGCTGCCCAGCCTAGCCGGCTGTCCAGGGATAAGAAAATTGCAAAGTCCCTGGCCATCATAGTTTGTGTGTTTGCCATCTGCTGGGCACCGTACACGCTTTTGATGATCATCCGTGCTGCCTGCAGAGGGCGGTGCATCCAGCATCACTGGTACGAGGTCACCTTCTGGCTCCTGTGGCTTAACTCTGCCATTAACCCGTTCCTGTACCCACTGTGCCACAGTAGCTTCCGCAGGGCCTTTAGCAAGATTCTCTGCCCAAGGCGGCATACTGCTCCCCTCTCATCCGTCCTTCGCTCAGGCCACTGACAAGCAGAAAGCAGAGACCGATGGACAATGTGCCGAAACTGATCGTGGAAATCCTCCTCATTAATGACTATGGCTAAACCGTGCATTGCACTTATCACAAAGGACAATAAATCGTTTCTCGAAGCTTTGCCGCGTTTCATCGTATACGGTTACACCTTTGCTGAGGTCAAATCTAACGCTTGAACCATCATGGGCATAAAAATGATTTTTCCTGTCAAGAAAATCAATAAATCCATCAACTATGTTGTCTAGTCTGATGTGTTATGCAGTTTGCATCTTGAATATAAATATCTGTATATTATATTGAGGGTTTATGTTGTGTTGTATGTGGCGCAGTGACGTCCCGTGAAACAGATCGCTATCACTATCTGCTAGCAGGTTCACCACCGATCATCATTCACAGAAACACGGAGATAAAACCAGTGACATGAAGCACACGTGTTTATGACCAGAAATGTGTTCTGTTTTTGCGCACGTTGTTTTACAGAAGAGCCACACACGGGGTTCATTGTCTGCATTTATCATCTTGTGTAAAAGAAACATGTCTTCTTTGCTAAAACTTCATGTAAGTTGGAGAGTGAATCTGTTTTCAAACAAATCACTTTACTGTGATCAGCAAATGCATGAATACTTGTGCTCCACTAGATGTCACCATTAACCTTCACAGCTTCCTGTGGCCGCGGTTCCTCAGCTGAAAGCATCCATTCATCAGGGTTTCCATGAACTGCTTTGCTTGTTTTGGTATTTGTTATATATGTCTTATATTTTAGCATTAGAGGATTAGGATTAGAAGAATAGACTGCTCTACTTTACAGTATATCTATGCTTTCACTGTTAAATGGTGTCCCTTGTACGACAGGTACTCTGCTTTACAAAATGTTCTGTATACTCCTGCAACTGCTTTTGCCGCATATATTTTTTGTAATTTTGTGTTTACCTTGAATATTCGTGGTAGCGGCATAAATGTTGTTCTCTTGGCTCAGAGTAAAGTTCAATCTTTGGTGCTTGAGTAAAGTAAATCCCAAATAAACACATCTCTGTCATTGACCGAGGGTCTTTATGCATATTACTAAGCAAATTAATTAAGGTCTGTGATGCATTTGTAAATGTAGATGCTGCCCACCTGATGCTAATTGGGTCAGTGCCAAGTGCCGAGTGGCTTTTGTTTGATGTGCAGATGAAATGCTGAGATTGCAACACCATCTTTGTATTGTTCCCTAGTCTCGCTATATGATTTGATGTATTAAATGGGTTCTTTCCCGATGCACACTTATTACACCTGTAATTACACCATCATGTTGGATAGTGGGGGTTACGTCTGCAGGTGCCTTGGGTCCCACGCGGGACTTGCATCGCTGAAATTGTTGCTGTTGTGCGTGTGCACATCTGGGGCCCCTGGTCAGGTGCTGGGAATAAGGCCACAGCTGCAGAGAAAAGCCCTCTGCTCCCGCATCCCGCCCCACTCCCTCTCCCCGCCTGTGGCCCGGTGTGGGGACAGAAGCACACTTCTGACCACAGGGATGCAAGCGCAGATCCCTCGGGACGACAGAACCGCGTTTGTCAGCAGAACGGAAGACCGCTGTATCTAAATGTGACAGCGAGAGCCGGTTTGGAACCCGTTATATCAGGAACACTGCTGCTATTGATTTTGTGGATAGATTGAAATGTCGTGGCATGTGTGCCAAACTGGTAGAGCGACTGACTGAGGCGGTTTTGCAGATCAACCCGACTTAAATTGGTCCAGGGGTGGAAAACACACAGATTGTAATTATGTCCGCACACAGAGGTGTGTGTGTGTGTTCAGTAAGTGTACACGCATGTGTTCATCACAGGGGTTTGCATGTGTGTGACTCCGAGCAATAGATCTAAAAGCAGTGACCCCGAATGAAGCGCACCTGTGCCCCTTAAGTTTATAGAGTCCCATTAGCAGAGACTCAGCGATCAGAGGGGGGAGAAGGCCTATATAACTTCCCCGTGAGATGTGTTAACCTCGTAGAGTTTTCACTTTAGCACCTTGTTAGGACTTAATGCAGAATTCCCTTGTTTAGAAACTAATCTACAGAGTAGACAATACAAAGTAAAAGGTGTGGAATGAAGCCACTACAATATGGAAAGAATATATACATCATTTCCAGCAGTGTTCCTAATATCGCAAAGGCCAGCGTAGCATTTTAAAAGTGAGCCGTCAGACGAGACCAAAGCACTTAAGTCGGCAGATACAGGTCAGAACGTTGACCTCTTTTGAAGTTGTAGCATCACTTAGTGTACATCTTCCCCCCGCGTAGGCTGTTCACTTTCTCAGCGAACTAAATGTAAACTGCAGTTTAATATTTCATGACAGACGTACTCAAAACGCAAAAACAGACTATTTCTGCTTCGTTTTTGCCTTTTCCGTTCTTCCGTTTTTCCCTCTGCTTTTTCCCGCAGTCTACTTCCTGACTAGAGATTAAATAATTCCACTGGAATCCTCTTAGGATGGGTTCCCAGCACTTGGCAATTAAACAATTACATTTAATCAGCATGGGGCGACGCTTCAAGTCACCCTCATTTCAGACGTTGATTAAAAGCAATTCTGCAGTGGTTATAGCTGTCGACATTGGAAACTGTGCTTCACTTAGGTTTACTGCATCTGTGGGGTCAGGTTGGATAACAACACGGCAGGTTCAGTGATGGTCGAGTGCCGTGTCTGCATGCGGCGGGTAGAACAGTAATGATAGAACTCGTGGCAGACATAATATTGTCCCTTAGGTCACCGCTAGTCAGAGACTCTCTGACCCTCCAGACAAGAAAGACTCAACTAACAACAGAAAGAAGAGGGACATCAAGTCACGCATGTGGGAGTCCAGATGTGTGAGCGCGTTGGTCCTTTTCCTTTTCTGCATTTGACTGCGTCCACGCACGGCTGCCTCTTCCTGCATCCACACTCAGGTGCATCTGCAGTGGATCAAATGCACCTCGACGTAGGCGATGTCATCGCGCCGCGCAACAACGTCCCCCTCTGAGCTGGAAAACAAGCCGAGAGAGGGCGCCGGGGGCGGGACGTTTTTTTTTGTTTGTCTTTGACGGTTTGAGACGCAGCGCAGCGCCGGAGAGAGGACCGTGGGCCTTGCCGCGCAACGCATGGTGAAACCCAGGTGCCCCCGTTTCACAAGGCACCCCACCCCACTCCTCGGGCCTCTTAATTAGCGGCTTCCCGTCAGCTGGCACCAAAGCCTCGGAGCACCAGTCGCCGGCCTCTCCTGCCGAAGACATCCAGATTGTCAGCTTTTCTGACAGATGGAAACATGGGCGGGCTCAGCGAGAGGCATCAAGGTTTTTGCAAACCTGTAAAATAATCTGCCGACCTCCTCGTGTCCGCTGCATCCATGCTGTTGAACGCTTCCTTGGTATTAACAAGGCGGAGAATCGGCTCCATGTTTGAGTCTGTAACCAGACGTCGACGTTTTTGGATCTGATGAAGTCAAATATAGATAAAAGGCATCACCAGGACCTCGTTCTCGGCGCAGTATCAGAGCAGCGCTGTAACAATAGTCTCTTCTAATGACATTCCCCTAGTAACTTCTTGCCTCTAAGAATCTCACGGGGGAAGCGCTACAAAAAGTGATAATTACATGAAATATACATAGAGAATAAAGGGAGCATGTTTACATAACCAGGCCCATAAATATCTGACGGAGAAGACATTGTTCTCCGACTCCTTTTAAGCCGATCTCCCAGGGATGCCATTTTAATGACATGATGGTTTAAAGAGATGCTGCTCCATCTCGTTCCATATTTAATTAACTTTTGCTTTTCTGACGCAGAGGAAAAACCGAATAAAGAGACAAACACACACGCGATAGCGGGGAGACAATAACAAATAGCTGGGAGAACAGAGAGGGGAGGCAGGGGGAACACGAGCAGAGACCGTGTCACGCTTTTGTGAGCTGTTTACAATACAAGAGATGCAAAGGGAGGAGGAGGGGCGGCGGAAGAGCGAGAGCGATGAAGACTGACGCGTGTGAGGGACGACCGTAGTGAGGGGTGGGAGGGACCGCACGAGAAGGGACAACAGATTTAAGGGAAATTGAGGGATACAATTGAGAAAGAGAGGAAGAGGAGGAGACGAGAGAGAGAGAGCGGGGCACTCTGGAAGTATGAGGCTCTTGTTTTCCCGAGGGGCTCCATTATGGAGCATTATTTAGTTCATCACCAGTAAGCGGGAAATAAATACATAACTGACGGTGACAGTATTTGTTTAACTGTCTACGTGTTCCAGATTTACCAAAATAAATACAATGTGTTCTATTTTAGCATTTTGTGCACCTGCACCTGAACCGACCATAGAGTCAAAACCATCTGAAATCATTATGTTCATGTTTTAAGGCCTGCATAGAAGAGACAGAATTCGGTGGGCTCTCCTCCTTCTTAGGAAGTGTGTTTTCTATTTTTACTGTCAGCTGTATACGGTGTACGCTGCATTATTGATACCTTCTTCCCCTTTTCTCTCCTCTTGTTAGACTCTTCCCGTGTCCTCATATCAGCACATCGGCCACATTGCTGCGCAGCCTGGAGAATTGCAGTGAATTTGACCCCACCTGGTCTATATTTTATTGCTTGCTGTTTAATACATTTTTGAAAATCCTCCCCCGGCCTACACACACACACACACACACACACACACACACACACACACACACACACACACACACACACACACACAAAAGATCTAGTGCTTTGTCTTTTTCAAGTGTTTGTCTTGGTGAGATGACTGGAGGGGGGTACTCACCTTCAGCTCTCCCAGTTCGGGAGACAGGGGGCATCATTATGAAGGCTGCATAGCATGCAGGGTGAATGCTTCTCCCCGTCCGTGTGTGTGTGCAGCTTGGTGATGGACTGACGGATCGGCCAGGGTTCACCCTGCTTTTTGCCCAACGTGTTCCCTGATGGGTCCCCACAAATACCACAAATAGGATGAGCCGTTTGCAAAATGCATGAGGCGGCATAAAGAATTCTTTCTTTTTTAAGTTTTGTCAGTTAAAGGGTGGGATGAAGGTGGATATCATCCACATCTCTTGGTGCCTTTTGTAATTATTATGTGGGAATCGTCTGTGTGACAGAAACAGGGAGTGTGCAACATTACACAGGGCATGAAGGCAATATAACAGGCCATTATGCTTGATCCATAAAACACACTGAAGCTGGGGCGTCCATTTTGCTGACACAGTTCTGAAGTGAAGAGACGGCTCTCTGGATGTGGAGTGCCGGTGTGAGAGATTGGGTTACCCCGGGACACTCCCAACGGATCTCCTGGCCAAATGGATCTGGATCTCACGCTTGGGCGCACATATTGAATGCCATAAGAGGTCCCTGAGGTCTCTTTCAGTGGGAGGACTGCGCAGCCTAACAATGTGGAGTTTTCACCAAACTAAATTTTGCACCAAAGAAGAGTGATAGCAAGGACACTTGAGCATAAGGGACAACCGGCGAATGCACCTACATCTGTGCAGGTTGCTCATAGCGGATGAAGTGGCTCATTCTCAGCCTTGAGCATAGCAACGCCGTGCACAGGTTCTGTTGGAATTCCTTAATAAAGTCTTAACACTGGCCGCCGTTTTTCCTCCAGGGGACTTAAGGGCTGTCAAATGAAAAAATCCAAAATGGCATTTTGCACACATCCTGGACAAGAACAATTGGCATTCAGCTACTCGCAAACATCTGGCCCGACTGCCCGGCCGGGCTCAGAGCAGCAGTGAGTGCCTTGTGCTTGCATCGAGGTTATGTTCAGGCAACCACGCCGCCGAGGATCAGCCGGGCTGAGTTATCTCTAAACAAGCCATCCATTCTGCTGCCTTCTGATGGACGAATACTTGGGGGCTGTGTAATTATATTGCTTTAAACGAACCCCTGAGAACGCCGCTGCCAAAGCGCCCACAAAGTCTCTCACACTTGGGCGAGTGTCAGAAGCCCACCGCTTGCGTACGCGCACATGTGTGTAACCGCGTGCGCGTGCGTAAGTGTTTCGCTGCTCAGGCCGGCGTTAAAAAGGGAGGCCGCGGTGGTTCTGATACGCCTCACAAGTGAATTTAATTAAATCATAAATATGAGCTGGAGGCCGCCACCCAATTTAATGTAATGGATGATGTGGGCCAGTCCATCTCTGGCAAAGCTAAGTTCTGGACTTGCTCAAATGCCCTTGAAGCTTATTAAAAGTGTCTGGCACGCGGAGATGCTAGCAAAGTTGTTTAATGGATGCCCAGTTTGCATTCAGGATGACAGTTAATGTTGGG